TTGTAAGAGTATTTGTAATGTTAAGTAAACAGTACAATTACTAAAAAAGAAAATAAATACTTTGTCGTAGGATTGACTAAAATAGAAAAATGAATAGTTTGTTATGGGATGGAAGGAGTAATATATATAATAGTTTTTTTTTTATATAAAAAATCATTGATGAATAAGATCAAATTTTATATATATATATATATATATATGTGTAATCAGATAGGTTTTGAAATATTTAGCCATAGTTTAAAATTCATATTAATCAAAATAAAGTATATTTTTTTAACTTAACTTTTAACCACGATCTCAATCAACAAACCCAAAAAATGTTAATATATATACTAATAATAATATACAAATAAAATAAAAAGTAGGAGGGTTGGAAGAAAAGCTATAAGAAAAGTAAAGTAGATGGCGTGGAATCCACAAGCCCTAACTCACTCTGATGTGGAAAAGGCCCTTCATCAACGTGTAACACATAAACAATATACAGGCTAAGTTTATGATATTTTATATATATATATATATATATATATATCATGAAATATTGTATTAAACTAAAATATATTTTTTTTTTTAAAAAAAATCATATATAGAGCCTAAGTTTATTTATTTTATTTCTTTGAAGTATTCTCTGCAATATATATATATATATTCTCAATAACTTACTATAACAAAAAAAAAAAAAAAATCCCACAAATATTTTCTTTTTTGGTGGTGAGAATATAATGGTCGAAGGAAAGAGCAAACAAAACTTTATGATGAGGGTGAAAGCAGAGCTTTTGTGTGGTGTTGTAATTCATGCACACATACGTGTACATTTCTTGGTTTTATTTAAATAATAATAATAATTACTGTTCGTATGTGATACTATATATATATATATATATATATAAAAGGATTTTATTGTAAAAAAGAAAAATTAAATCAACTTCTAAAAGTTTTAAGAATTTCTTTTAAAAAACAAGTATTTTTTTTTCTCTAGAAAATATTAAATTAATTACAGAGTATTTTTTTTTATTTTTATAGTTATGTTAAAAAAGTATTTTTACATTTAAAATATTAATACATATTTGTATCACATCAAATATCAAATAAAAAAAAATACTAAGTAAAATTAAATTTAAATACAAAGTAAAATAATTGGTTACTATTCTAAGAAAACAATTACTCATTTTGTCCCACATTGCATGTATGAGTTACTGTAGATATGAAGATTTATAAAAAAATATAATTAATAAATAATTAAAAATATATTAGTTAAAATAATTAATCTATAATATAAATAATTATATATTAATATTAAGATAATTCATTAGTTTAATTAACAATAAACAAATTATAAAATTTAAAATAAAATTAAAATATGTAATTTTTTTTTAAAAAAAAATGATATCAAATATGTAGAAATATAGACATAATAGTTGGGTAAAAGTACTATATTAAATAATTACATAAACTCGAACTAGTGCGCCTATATAATAAAAATGGAAGGCAATAATTGTTGAAGAAGCCTAAAGGTATTGGCTCCATCCATATAGGAACAGATTAATTTTTATACTACATTATATTATATATATATATATATTATTGGGGTGCAAACCCGAGTCTCATATTAGAAGTGGTGAAAAAATTACACACCTTATAAGTTCCAAGTAAATTCCACTAGTACGAAGACAATATCATACTAGTTATGAGTTGACCCAGTCCCAATATGTATATATATATATAAATAAAAATAAAATAAATGTAATTACATTTTCAATCACACATACATAGTAATAAATTGGAGTTTTTAAATAGTAATTTTAATATATAATCTTTTTATAATAATATATTTTATTGTTCATAATCTTTTTATTTATACATCAATAAATAACAATAAGATAAATAAGGTTTGTTTGTTTTAGGAAAAAATATAAATACATTATTTTAAAAAATTTAATATATTATATACACTTATTATTTTTATATTATTTATATTATAATAATAATAATAATAATAGAGTACAGGTAAAAGAATAGACTATACTGAAAATGGTCGGGAAGACAGACAAATACACAATAACTATAAATATAGTTATTGAAAACTAAAAACAATAATTTAATATTTAAATAAAAAAGAAAAATCAAAAAAAGACAAAAGCAAGTGTATTGCAAGAATCTTTGCCAGCCAATGGATGATCAGATCAATGAAAGCGCCTTGATTTATTTATTACTAGTTTTTATTTTATTTATTTAGCGCAGTGGTGCCAACTGCTGCACCCCCACATCAAAGTTAGGACATTGAATAAAATATTGAAATTTAAAATTATTATATTGTTTTTAATAAAATAAATTATTTGGTATAAATATTTTGAAAAAAAATAAAAATTAAAAGAGTATCAAAAGTTTTTTAAAAAATAATTGTTTCTTTTTTTTTTTTTTTTTTTAACTCCAAACTAGAATATTTTACTATTTAGATTGTGTATTTATTAAAACTTGTGCATGATCAAATAAATATATTTGTATGATCGAGGAAATATATTTTTTTATCTAACAATATATTCAACCATATATTATTTTAATATCAAATTCAAACCAAAATTTTCTCAAACCAATTAATCAAAAGAAACCTAGTAAATACTCTTACATGATTTTGGAGTTTTGGATTAATTTTAAAATAATAAAAAAAAATAAAAAATAAAATAGATATATTTTTTATATGATTGAAACATGTTGAATATGATATGAATAGCAAAAATAATTATTATGAAAAATATTTCCAATAAAAAATAAACATGAGTATAATATATTTTTCTTAATTAAACACTATTAGTGGATAGTATACAAGTAAAATTGAAAATATAACTTATTGTACTCTCTCTCTCTCTCTTCCAAACGCTCCGCAATATTTCTTTTTTTGTTTGTTTCAAACTCACTGCAATATTTTCAAATTTAGAAATAATTAATAATATTTATATATATATATATTAATATACACTTCACTTTATCCCATCACATCACTCAAATAAAAAAATAAATAATCATTTATCTCTCCAATCACATCACTTAATATCCAAATTATCTCAAATTAACATACTTAATACTCCCCACCTAAATTCTCATGTCAAATACAAATATTGCACGATGTTTTGGAACGGAGGGAGTAACATTTTTTTTTTCCTTTTCAATTCTACATGATTATTTTTTACATTCCCACATCTAGGCTGTATTTTTTTATTTTATTTTTGTGTTATTTGATATATTTTATATTCCATATTTATAAGGTATAATAAATTATTAGATTTACTAAAAGAATCGATGATTTATATTTGAACAATGAATTATATTAAATGATACTATAGTAATGTTACTATATCCTGTAGTAAAAGAAGTAATGTATATATATGTAAAAAAAAATAATAATAAGGGCAAATTCTCTTATTTTAAGGAACGGTTGAAATAAAATGTTGAATTTTTTTTCTTCTTAATTTAGCATATGTGAAATATATATTCAGCTTCTTTGTGTCAAATAATAACATAAATATATACTAGTTGTACGCGATTGTTTATGGGTAAACATTTATATTATATTAATATATAATGCTCATATTTTATAATAAAAACAACGTATTTATAATTGAACACAATTAGTATATTTATTCAACACAATTCTTAGGGTATGTTTGTTTGGAGTTTGGATTTTGATTTGAACTTTGAATAGTAAAAATTTGAATTTGAATATTATATGATGTGATATAAATAGGAGTTGAGCTGATGTTTTGAATATAAAAATAAAAAATAGGCGTTTTGATTTGATATTTTGATAAAAAAAATTAAATAAATAGTGTATCCAATTCCCCAAACAAACACACCCTTACTGTATTATTTAGCACATAGAGTACGCTGTTTGTTTTTATATATGTGCTGTTAGTTATTTTTCATTTTTCACTTTATTTGTTTGTTTTTTCTAAAAAAAATAATTATATATTTTAATTATATTTTATGTATTATAATTAATAATTCTTAAAAATGGAGTCTTTGTCTAAACAAATTATATAATAATTATTTTTATTAATATATAATTTAATTCTTTATTAATTATATTTTATTTATATTTTTGTATCTAGTAAATTGAACCTAAAATGTGAGATGAACGAGTCTGCTTCCTTATCTTAATTTTTTTAAATTTTATTATTTAAATTCTAAAAAAAAATATATATGTTTTTACAAAATATTTTATAAAATATTATTTTAATATTAAATTTAAATTAAATTTTTCCAAACTCGCAATTAAATAAATATAATATTTTATCCGTTGCAATACAATAATCTTGTATACTATTTTTGTTTGTCTCAAAACAATAATATTTTCATAAATACTCATATATTCCCTCCGTCTCATAATAAAATATCTATTTTTTCATTTTAGCCCGTGAAAGTATCAATTTCATTTTTTAGTAACTATATTATCTACCATACATTACAACTACCCTTACAACTTACAATATATTACACAAATATCATTACGTTTATATCACATATACCAATAAAGTTATTTTAGTCATTTCTATTTTATTTTTACTATATCCCAATATAATACTAATATTTCTAAAACTACATTGCATAAAGCAAATAAATATTTATTTATGGGACTGAGGGAGTATATCACCGTAAAATTATTTATATTTTTTTATTATTATTATACAAATGCCACTATTTTTTACGCTAATAAACTGAAAGAGCAATAAAGTTTTTACTCGTATTTTTTTTCAACTATCAATATAATATCAAGATATGATGTCCGGAAGCAGTAACTTCTCATAAAAGCAATAACTTCATTTACCAAACCAAACGGAAGTCCAGGGCCTCAACTCCCGGTACACATCTCAGGGCATAGATAGTCCAGCCAGCCATTGTTCGTGGAAAAGGTCCAATTCGAGCCTGGAGCTCCAAAGACGACGAAAAACGTAGACTAAAATACACTGAATAAACCAAAAAAGCCTTGAAAAGTTGCTTCTCTCTCTCTCAGCAGCGCCACTCTCTCTCTAACTTTTGGCTTTCCGCCAGTGTGTATATATACATACAGATATATACACACAGCGCCAACCACCATCGCCATAGCCGTCGCCGTCGCCGTCGCCATCCCCATCGCCATCGCAGCCAATCGCAAGCATTACCTGTCATCAATAAAATTCCCTTTCTAAGTTAAACAAGCATCAGCGAGGGTAGGAATTACTTCGGGGATACTTATTGAATCAATCAGCTAATTTCACCGCTCGAACCTTCGAACCTCCACTCAGATCTTCACCTCTGTGTGATTCTGATGCGCAGCTGAGATGATGGAGCAGAAGCACGTAATCCTGTCGGCATTGAGTGTCGGAGTTGGTGTAGGGGTGGGGCTCGGGTTCGTCTCTGGTTCTACTGTCAGTAAATGGACAGGAGCTGCGAATTCCGACGCTGAAGGTGTCTCCGCCGAGCAAATCGAGGCGGAGCTCCGTAAATTGATTGTTGATGGAAAGGAAGCCAGAGTTACTTTCGATGATTTTCCGTACTACCTCAGGTAATCACAACTTCTGAAGCTCTTTTCCTTTTACTTTCATGAATGTTTTTTTTTTCTTCGGTAATTGTTATTGACTTCACTTAATTTCAGTTTTCAAAGTTTTTAGATAGCTATTGATTTCGTAGCCTCTGAGATTCATTTCGATCTGCTCATGCCTTGAGTGTAAAAAACTAACTAATCTGATCTGAAAAGCATGAATTTGATGTTGTATCGGATATAAATACACAAACACACATGGAGTATTCTTGATATGGTGCTCAATTTGATTTGAAGATTTGGAGATTCAGTTACCTTTCAGGCACTTTTTGAGTATGATAGCTAAATCGCATCTCTGTTCTCATATAAATAAAAGGAATATTCATTATTCACTCACTTTTCTCTGTTTCCATTTCATTTTTCAATATTGTTTCATTGTCAGTATGGTTCTGGATTGGTTAATGGATAATGTTGTCCCCAACAGATTATCTGCTTAAGCTCAACCACAAAACTCAACATATTGTTTGCCGGTCGTGCTCATAGTTGTGTCCTTAGTTACCTTTTCATTTGCAACTAATTTACGGCATTCGCCTTTACCAGTGAGCGAACACGTGTGTTGTTGACGAGCTCGGCGTATGTTCATCTGAAGAACATAGATGTGTCCAAGCACACTCGGAATCTTTCTCCTGCCAGCCGTGCTATCCTGCTTTCCGGACCTACAGGTATTCTTGCTTGTCTTCTTTCGCGTCATAGTATTCCTTTCATGGGTAAGCACGATTGGCTCAATTCCTTTGTAATGTTTGTATGTTATTCCCTTTTCCATATTTTGCTAGAATCATATCAGCAAATGCTTGTGAAGGCTCTAGCACATCATTTTGAAGCAAAGTTGCTGGTGTTGGATGTACACGACTTTTCAGTCAAGGTCTGTTTATTTGCTGCAATTATCTTCTCGAGCACGGTCTCTCTGTATGCTTAACAGATTTCCTTGTTTTATTCTTCATCAATGGCCGGAGCAGATCCAAAGCAAGTATGGTATAGCCAATAGAGACACAGTAAGTTCTATATGAATTCACTGATATAGAAATATGCTATTTAGTTCTCTGATGTTTATGTGCATTCATGGTTTCAACGTTGTTCATAGTAATTTTGTTTTCAAGAAAAAAGAATTAGGCTAATTAACTGTCTTTCTCTTGTAGTCTCTCAAAAAATCTATCTCAGAAACAACTTTAGAGCGAATGTCCAGTTTCTTTGGCTCTTTCTCCGGTCTCTCACACAGTGATGATAGCAAAGGTATGAAAAGAACTACATTGTTCAAGTTTTTCGGAATTATGCTCACAAGCAGACAATTTTCAATCTTGAACCAAGATAAAACCGACCTATAAGATAAACTTATTGTTATTTTTCATGGGTGTACATTATCAGGACAACGAAATGGAATTGATGCTGCAGTAAGGTATGAATTATGAATCTGTGAATTAAATCCCAATTTAGATGGAACACCATAGTTATTCTTGATTATTCTCATTTAAGGAGTGCTGAATGATTTGTCAATTCTCTCAGGCCCCGCAGAACTTCTTCGGTCGCTTCAGACATCAGCAGCAGTAGTGCACAATCATCCCCCTCAGTTCCAGGTTTCACATTATTTTTCTTGTTGGTTGTTGATTTTTCCAATATATCATATTTCTTACTAATCTTCATTTTGACTTTGTTAGTCCCTTCCAAACGCATCAGCAGCTTCCCTTTCGATGAGAAAGCTTTGTTACAGTCACTTTATAAGGTATTTATAAAACTACCATCAAATTGCATGTCCTTGTAGGATGATGTGATGTCCCTAATCGTCATGCAATTTTGTCTTTAGGTGTTGGCTTCGGTTTGTCAAGCAAATTGCATCATTCTCTATATCCGGGATGTTGACAAACTCATTCTTCAATCTTCAAGGCTTAACAAACTGCTTGATAGAATGCTGAACAAGTTAACTGGATCGATCTTGGTTCTTGGGTCCCGTATTCTAGGCTTGGATGAGGAATCCAGGGTAGAAGTTGACAACAAATTAAATCTCTTATTCCCTTACAGCATCGAGATCAGGCCACCTGAAGATGAGACTCATCTAATCAGCTGGAAGACTCAGCTGGAAGAGGACATGAGAAAGATACAGCTGGAAGACACCAGAAATCACATTGCTGAAGTACTTGCCGCAAATGATCTTGAGTGCGATGATCTAAGATCGATTTGCCATGCGGATACCATGGTTCTCAGCAACTACATTGAGGAGATCGTGGTTTCTGCTATTTCATACCATTTGATGAATAACAACCAGCCTGAGTATCGTAATGGGAAGCTTGTTATTTCATCCAACAGGTAAGATTGGAACATTGTTTTCTTCTTTCACCTCTTTTCAATTTATGTATGGTCAATATGTATGAACATACTTGTCTGGATTTGCTGTAGTTTGTCCCGCGGATTGAGCATTTTTCAAGAGGGTAAAAATGGGCACAAAGATAGCCTTAAGATGGAGAATAATGCCGACTGTTTTAAGGTTTGCCATTTTTGCGATTCTGAGTCATTTATATTGAACCTTCGAGTGTTGCAGGATTCATACTGTTTCTTGTTTTATTCAATACTAGGATTCTGAAGGGAAAGAAACTGGTGGAACAAAACCCGAATCAAAGTGTGAAAGTGTGACAATCGAAAGCAAAACTGAGACAGAAAAATCAAGTCTTCCAACAAAGCAAGAAGGCGAGACTGCACCGATCCAAAAACCACCGGTGAGTTCTTTTGTGTTAAACCATGATGCATCTAAAATGTGTTTATAGATTACATCCATGAGCCTTATTCAATTCTGTCCCAACAAATCCAGGAAATTCCTCCCGATAACGAATTTGAAAAGCGGATTAGGCCAGAAGTTATACCTGCAAACGAAATAGGCGTGACGTTCAACGATATTGGTGCTCTAGAAGACATCAAAGAGTCACTTCAGGAGCTTGTCATGCTCCCTCTTCGACGCCCCGATCTGTTCAACGGTGGCCTTTTGAAACCATGCAGAGGGATTCTTCTGTTTGGACCTCCCGGCACAGGTAAAACCATGCTTGCCAAGGCAATCGCCAATGAAGCCGGGGCGAGCTTCATAAATGTCTCAATGTCGACCATCACTTCGAAATGGTTCGGAGAAGATGAGAAGAATGTCAGGGCACTTTTCACGCTCGCTGCCAAAGTTTCCCCGACAATCATTTTTGTGGACGAGGTTGATAGCATGCTCGGGCAGAGGACAAGAGTCGGCGAGCATGAAGCAATGCGGAAAATCAAGAATGAGTTCATGTCACACTGGGATGGGCTCCTGACTAAACCTGGCGAGCGCATTCTTGTTCTTGCTGCAACAAACCGACCTTTCGACCTTGATGAAGCCATTATCAGGCGGTTCGAACGCAGGTCTATATCGATATAAATACACACACATATATATATATATACAAATACAATATTCCCGGCATCCTTTTTAATCTCTTGCTTCATGTCGAACAGAATAATGGTCGGTCTGCCATCCGTGGAGAACAGAGAAAAGATCTTACGAACCTTGTTGTCGAAAGAAAAAGTTGAGGATATCGACTTCAAAGAGCTGGCAGTGATGACAGAAGGATACAGTGGGAGTGATCTCAAGGTCTTAAATCTCATCTACTCGAAATCTTGTCTTAAATTTACGTCGTCATCTGCCCTTTTGACATATGAATATTTCGAAACCAGAATCTGTGTACGACTGCTGCATACCGGCCCGTGAGAGAGCTCATAGAGCAAGAGAGGCAAAAAGACAAGGTATAGAAACCTATCTCAACATCCCAAACTGCATGCAACAAATTCATCGTAGCTGACGGTTTTTGTTTCTGTTCAGGAGCGAAAGCAAAGAGTAGTCGAGGAAGGCGAGACCTCACAAGTTGCAAAAGAGGAAGCAAAAGAGGAGAAGGTCATTTCTCTAAGGCACTTAAGCATGGAAGATTTGAGGCAGGCAAAAAATCAGGTAACAAACAATTCGATCATTGACAGGGGATGACATTGGCTCGTTTTAGTTACGAGGGTAGAGTGTTTCAGGTAGCAGCGAGTTTCGCTACAGAGGGTTCTGTAATGGCGGAGCTGAAGCAATGGAACGAGCTTTACGGGGAAGGAGGGTCGCGGAAGAAAGAGCAGCTGTCTTACTTCCTTTGAGCTGGTTTCGACCCTCTCAATGTATGTATATCAATCATCATCATCATCATCATCATCATCGTATTGTTTTCTTCTTGTTCTTGTGGATTTCATTCCATTTGATCTCGATCTTAAATTGAAGGTAGTATTAAGAGTAGTAGTTAGGTTTGGAATAGATTGATGCATTGTTGAAGAGGAGAGAGAGAGATTTGAGTGAGTTGGACTCGTATGTTACTATTATTAAAAGAGTTGAACTTATGTGTTTGAATATTTCAGTTCAAATTTGCTATATATACCACTAATGAAAAATAAGTTTAAATAGACAGTTCTAAATAACAACTAAACACACCTTGAATTCTTTCAAAATAAAAAGGCTTATATATATATATATATATATATAGAAATACAATGTAATATTGTACTTCCTTTGTCATGCAAATTTGTGCTCATACAAATTTTAATAAAAGTGAGTAATAATAGTTATTTTTTTTCTTTTATAATAAAAAAGTATAATAATTTTTTACTTAAGTAACGAGAATATTTTTCAATGACAACTCAATATGTTAATTAGTTCCAGTTAACATGCACATATCTTAATAATAATAAATTGTTTTATCTTACAAAATAAAACCTCCCAAAAGATATCTTTATCTGCGAATTACGAAATGATATTTATATTTTATATATTTGAGTGAGATATAATGCTAAAAATATTTAAAATAACACTGCTCATATAAACAAGTTCCTAACTAACTAAAGGGGTATTATATAAATATATTATTTAAATTAAAATTTAAATAAAAATTATAAAACTAAAATCAAACAGAGCCTTTAAAAGAACTTCACCTCCATACTATAGTTCAAGCCTCGTCAGCAGTGATTCCAACAAGAAAACCCAACCCTACCCCCCTACCCTGGTGAGGAAATGAATATTACAGACATACAACCTTAGCTTGTTCCATTCTAAATCACACAACACAAACAAAAATACCAACAGTTAAGATTCAACAAAACTTGTAAATTCTTCCAAATAGTAAAATTATAATGAGTGAGAGTGAGAGTGAGAGTCTATCAAAGGGACTATCCAATTCCCACACAAAAACACATAAACCTCAAAAATTGTCTGAGTACCACAATAAGTTTACGAACCAGACAAAATGGGAACAATTCAAGAAACGAAACTAGTACCGCCACCTCGGAGGGATCTAAGCCAGCTTCTTATCTTTGAGAGGGCCTCTCGGAATTTTACTCAAAACCTTAGCATCAAAGACAGCAAATTGTTTCTTGATTTCAATCTCAGCCTTCTCACAGAATGCATCCACCTGACGTTCGTATTTCTCATACAGAACAGGTATTGTGTGCAACAGAACAAAACCTTCATGGATAAGAGAAAATAATAATTGCTTATGATAATTGCACACTTGAAAAAAAATGAAAGAGACGAATAGAAACAGAGATACATACATATGTAAAACAAGGTAAGGAAGTTGAAGCAACTTCCCAGAGTTGAAAGAATCCAAAGGCCAGCTATCACCTACAAATCGAGAAACATAGATAAGCAATAAGAAATCTAGCAGCTACGACTGCAATCAAATAATAAATGTCCAAATTCATAGAAGATTAGTTAGCATGAATATTGACATACTCCAAGAAATTTCTTGAGATCTCTATCGGATGCTATATCATGAAGTATAGCAAAAGCTCGATTGAGTTCTATCCTAAGTGCAGAGGCTACTCCCAAGAATACATCCTCTGGAATCACAACTTCAGGAATCTTCGGTGGGGATCTGAGAACCATCAAACATGACTGAGAAATGCCAATTGGATGTACAGTTTAGGATATGTTCCTTAAGTCGTTGTAAAGCTTACTTTTTGATATAGATGGATGCATTCGACCACAAGAAGATGAGTGCAAGAACAAGAATTAGAACATGGCAAACCAGAGTGAGCAAGTGATACTCGAGCAGTTCGAACAGAACCCAGATAGCAGTGACAAAGCCCAGCACACCAGCAGTAATTTTCTTGTCTCTCCAGAGGAAAATATCAGCAGCTGCAGAATGAACAAACAAAAAAAATAAAAAATTCACCATTAATAAGTAAATTGATTAGAGCAATCTAATGATTTTGTTCCTTCATTTGCATCAGAGTAAAGCATCGATCCGTGGTAATTCTGACACATTAGTCATTGCAAAATCTTCAGGAACTAACTGCAACTTCAAACTTGATTCTCAAGAAAAGTGTATGAAATTGACAAGGACTAATAAGCTGTGTAAGAACCTGATAGCAATGGATCCTTTTAAACCAGCGAAATGGACTAAATCAAACGAAAGTATATTCATTTTCGAACAAATAAACCGATGCAAACGAGGAGTAACAGATCTGACAAATCAATCGATCGCAGCACATAATCAACAAGTAATCACCAAAACCTAATCACGACACTTTAAACCACAGAGGCACACAAGACAAACACAACTATAGTTCCAATAACAGAGCAGAAATACGGTAAAGCAATACGTTACCACAAGATCACAGAATCCAAATGCAACATTTTACCCACACAAATCCACAAGCGCTGCCATTCACACTTAATCGAAAACGTTCAGAAAGTAAAAATAAAATTAAAATTAGAAATCCGTACGCTTTCCACCGCCCAAAGCCTTGTGCACTGGCTTCTCGCGGCCAAAAAGGCGGTAGATCTTGGCTTTCACGGCGGAGGCCGCCGATTTGAGATCCTTCTCATCCTCGGATTCAGAGGAACTCCCATGGAATTTCTCAGTGATCTTATCGATGATAGATTCTGCAGCAGATTTGTGATCGTCTCCGTCTCCGGCGTGATCGGCCATGGCAATTAGCAAGCAATTTCTTCCGGTGAGACACGCCGGAAAGCAGCAGCTAGTAGCAATGTAGAATATATTAGTAATACCCTTTTCTTTTGCGCTCTAGGAAAGTGAAAGTCGAAGGAATTTAAAAAGCAGACGTGCCTGCCTGCCTGCCTTTACGTTAACGGACGTTAACTATTTTGACGGCGCTAGGGTTTCCGCTACATTTCAAACGTGTAGCCTCTAGTCTCTTGGTTTCAACTTCAGTCTAACAAATACTCCGTATTTTCAGTATAATTATTATATACTAAATGTTATATTAATTTTTGAAATTTTTATTTATTATTTATTAATAATTATATTAAATGGAGTTGTTTTTAGTATTTCTAAATTTTTAAAAAGTCTAAAAATTCTATCTAAATAAAATCTAATATTATGTTGTAGGATTGACAATAAAAATTATTTAAATAAAAAATACAAATAAAAAACACAATTCAAATTTAAACGAAACAAACCCTAACATTTCACGCTATGTTAATTGATCCAAAATGTATGTGTCGGCGATTCATCCAACTTTATTTCAGATCTGAATGCAATACAGTAAAGGGCTGCGACAAAAAGTATTACTTTAAAATGTTGATAAAAAATTTTAAATTTTACAATGTGATTTAATGTGTTAATTACAACAGATCAGTTATGAATTGAATGTGTTTGTTACAGATCTTTATTTCTCACCCTATATAATATAATATATATTAAAAGTTTTTAGTTTTATATTTTCATTTACAAAACAAGTATATAATTACTTTTGTTTAAAAAATTGGTTCCTATGCTTTCCAATCAGTTTAGTCAGTGTATTTTTAAAAAAATATTATATCAAATATTTATTTTTATTTAAATATTAAATTATTATTATTATTATTATTATTATAAACATCACATTTATTTATTCAATTTTACTAAATATTATTTTGACAATACTATATCTATCCATTTCAATTTAGAATACAAACATTATTTAAAAGAAAAAATAAACATTAGTGTATACTGTATAGGGACAAATGGTAATTTGCGCGCGGCGTTGTCTAGGTGATACTGGGCCTATTGGGCCTATAGTTTTCGAGTAATTGGGCCATATATATTCATTAAATGGCCCACAGAAATTCCTCAATTACTACAAACAAATTAATTTCCACGAAACCAACAAGCCGACCATTTGTGTCGTTTTCAGCCCATTTGAAAATAACGAATTGAATCAACCTCAAATAATTCAACTATGCTACAATTCCGACAACAATTTACTCTGCCTGTTGACTTTAAGTAAGACTGTCGTAGACTGGCAACTCTCGGTCGCCTTGCCGTAATTGATCCGCCGTCTTTGATTTAACCCCTTTTATGATAATTTTTTTATAAATTATGATAGGAATATTATAAAAATAAAATAAAATAAAAATTTGAACTGCCTAATAATGGAATTATAGAGCGTGCATTGCTACGCTATAAAATACTTTCACACTATTTTGTTACTACTCGCTGATTTTCGTAACACGACATTTGCGACATTAAGAAATGCATTTTTATTAATTAATTTAAGCATAGAAAGTTCTGGAAATATGACGTCATAGCCTGGTTATTCCCGCCTCTCTCTGCTTCGTCTTCTTCCCTGATGACTTGTGATTCAAATGCTGCAGCATCAGTTTTGGTCTTTCGGATTGGATTTCTTATTTACCCTCCGGCTTTCAGATTTTTCGTAACGAGGATCGCTTGATTGCTGGAATGGTTGCGTGAATTCTGAGGTTTGTTGGTGAACAAAAATTGTAGTGTTAATAGTTTAGTATGGCGGAATGTGGAGTGAATTGGTGTGGTAGAAATGGATTAATGCGCACCTTGAGATGAAGAATTGTAGGATTTTTTGCAATGATGAATGGCGCTTTGGACTCCGTCGTGTTGTTGCTGCAGGGAATCGTCTCTCCGCCGGACTGACGGCGGCAGATCTACTCCGACCGCGGCAGACGCCGAGCGGCTTTTCCGTAAATTCCTTGGAACTATCGTGAAGCTTCCTAACCTGCTTCCCTCGTTGAGCTTCCTCACCGGAAGATTCGCTGCCGCGGTCGCCGGAGAAGGCGAAGGCGTCACGGAATCCGTTAACTTCACCTTCTTAGAAACCTTGATATAGAATGGCTTAATCAGTTTCATATACTTCGGAACAGATTTCTCCGACGATACGCGAGTAGTAGTTTCAGAATCGGAGGTTTGTTTCACAGTTTCGCACCTTAAGCTGTTATCTCTCGCAAAAACAGGAGCAGACGATTCCAGCGTTCTGCATTTTGGAGATGAACCATAGCTCGACGATTTCGACAACTGATTCAGAGGTTTCACCTTCCAGTCGACGTTTGACGCAACTTTCTCGCATTTGGACGATTTTCCGAATCCGAACACGAACTTAACTTTGAATTTCTGAGCAGATCGCAGAATAGTAACCGTCGACGTAGCCTTAGAACTATCCGAGAAATCAAATTTTCTCATAGCATCATCTCCACGAGATTCAACGAACTGTACATCCTTCTTCGACTCTCCATCTCCTCCTAACCAAACAGCATTCTGATTAGGCGAATTGAGAACCAAATCAAACAACTCGTCTTCGCCGTCTGTTTCTTCATCTTCCGAGATTACTACCGCCGCACCTCTCCCCGAGCCGCCGACATCAGATCTCGCCTCCTCCTCCGCCGCCGCGGCGTTGCGCCAGAACTTAAGAACTCTCAGACCATCCATTAGAGAGGGAGAGGAAAGAAACTGCATATATAAAATCACAACAGAATCAGTGTTTGGTGAAACAGAAAAACAAACCAACGGTGTGCTCGCATTTATTGATACAAAATGAGAAAAAATAGAGGAATCCAAACACGGCGTTAGGTACTCAGTGAAATTGGCAGTTTGGCACTGCGCGCTCAGACTGCAACAGCTCGAGCATCTCCATTGGGCTTTCTTGGAAACTCCGGGACCCCAAAACCCTATGGACCACCCCGCCCTACCCGCATTTGCAGATGCGGGCCCCACCCAAATTAACTCTTAGCCGGTATCGTTAACCCTGCCCGATATTTTCGACCGGGTTAGGTTGGAGGTGATCCAACGGTCATGGTTCCTCTTCCATATTACTATCCATCACCAAGTTGCATTTATATATTTATTTAGATAAACCAAAAAAAATATTATTATTATTATTATTTTTGCTATGCAATAAAAATTAAGCATATAGAGTATGTAGGTAGAAACGCGACTTTGAAGAGTCGTGTTTGGCTGACTAATGATTGGTGGCAGAAAAGAATCCATGAGCAATTTCCTATGAAATATATTTATATTGCTTTACGCATATATATTTGTTTATGGAGCGACTAAAGTATGCACATAACATAAGAAAACAATTAAACAAGGAATAAGATTGCGATTTGTACGTAGGCAGTCATAAACTGAAGTGATTGGAACAGTGAAAGATGTCTCCGACCCACCTTTTTGACTAATTTGTGTATGGGCTTTGGATTTTGAGTTGAAATTTGAATAATAAAAATTTAAAATTTGAATGATTGTATGATGTGATATAAATAGGTGTTGATGTGATATTTTGAATGTAAAATTAATTATTAAGTAAAATAAATATTTAATTTGACGTTTTTAGAGGAAAAAAATAAAATAAATAATAAATTTAAAATTCAATCACCAAACAAACACACCCTTAGTAAAAAATTGGAATACATGCAAGCCACTTTAAATATTGCTAGACTTTTGTTTCTTTCACATTGCTAATGGAACCAAGCCTAATTCTTACCCCAATGATAATAATACATCATTAATTTAAATGTATGATTTAGATGAAATAATCATTTAATAATTTATAAATAAAAAGTTTTAAATTAAATACTTAGCTTAACTCTCACCTCTCCAAATTATATCAAATTCTCCGATCAACAATGGCGCCAAAATTGCCCTTTCATATCCTTCCTCATATTCCCCATTTCCCCGAAAAATTCTTACACGACCTTTCCCAGCCTAAGGCAAAATCGGGATGCGGCTGAGCCCCAATATATACGAGGTTGCAAGAGCATTGGTAACAATAGCATTCACGAAAGTGAAGTGCATTTGATTATGGGTTGAAGTTTAAATTAAAAGTAGTTTATTTTATTAATTAATATTTAATTTGTGATGTAATATATATTTTTACAAAACTTTTATATGTATTTAATATTTTAAAATTGATATTTTAATAAAATATATAATATAAATATTATTTTATACCAATAGAATTTAATATAATACAAACGAATTTTATCCCGTTGACAATTCTTTTGTCATAAATAATAATTCTTATGTATTTTTTATTAATTAAAAATAGGATTAAGGCAGTGGCGGCCCACAAATTCTGAAGATAGTGGATGAAAGAAGAAAAAATAATAAAGTATATAATAAAATGATAAATTTATAATCAGATAACAATTTTAATACTTTCTCCGTTCCGAACTAAGTATCTATTTGCTTTTTGCACGTAATTTTAAAAATATTAGCATTATAATGAAATATAGTAAGAATAAAGTAAAAATGACTAAAATAATCTTATTAATATATGTGATATAAAGGTAATGACATTTGTGTAATATATTGTAAGTTGTAAGGGTATTTGTAATGCTAGGTAGAAAGTACGGTTACTAAAAAAGAACATCAATACATTGTTATGAGACGGACTAAAATAAAAAAATAAATACTTTATTATGGGAGTGAGGCAGTATAATTATACAAAATATAAATACAAATTGCGGCAAAGGAAGATCCACCACTGGATAAGGGTGTGTTTGTTTGGCCTTCCAATAGTTTGGATTTCGAGATTTCAAGTAGACTTGGTTAAAATGGAAGTCTTGAAAACAAAACCAAAAAAAGGACTCAAGCTTTAAAATAAGTTCGAAAAGAAGTCCAGTTTGGCCTGGTTAAAAATGTTCGGCCCAAACTTGTAAAATCTGGTTGTGTCGTGGGCCCAACCCAAAATTTTAAGCAAATTAAAGAATATGTTACAAATTTAAATTAATTTTATTATTTAAATATATATTTTATAAAATAAAATATTATTTCTATTCTAACCAAAAGTGCTTCTTATATAAGGTGATAATAAATTTGAATAACAGATTTAAAAAAGTAAAAATAAATTTAATAAACAAAAACATACATTAATATTTATGATATTTTAGTAGTAATTATTTTAATTTAAAACTGCAGTAGTCAATTTATATGCAAACCTAAAATCCTACCCAACCAAACACTCAAATATCCAAATTAAATATAAAAACTTACCGTAATTCAATCAACATAATTTTCAATAAATATTAACTTTTCTTTTTACAAATAAGCTATTTAAATTAAAATTCTAATAAAAAAACTCAAATTTAAACTAAAATTAAATCACACCATACAAAATATTTTTTTAAAAAAAAAAACAAATCAAAATTCCAGTGCATAGTTCATCTACAGACAACATTCCGAACCTCCGGCAAAGCCGCGACAACGTCCATACCACACTCCATTTCCGCCGATCTTTTCTTTTTCATAACAAAAATCACCTCAACTCTCCCGACCAACACCGCGCGGCTTGTCACGTGCAACGCCCCCGCCGGCAAATACCCCGCCGGCAAATCCTCCGCCGCCACTCCCAACTTCCAATCCGCCGCCGTCGCCTCCAACTTCTTCGTCGACTGCCACCCCACGCTCGACGCTGCCACCTCCGCCGCCCCAACTTGCATTCCCTTATAAAAAAACGCAACAGTGGTGCTCCGGTACCTGTACCGCCCGAAATTGGCATTCCTGAGGCTGAGCTCTGCCGTCGCCACGGCGGTGAAGGAGCCATTCGATTGCTGAGTCACGTTGCGAAACGTCACCGTTCTGACATGGAATTTTGGGGTTCGAACTTTCGTGATGACAAGGGCGAATACGAGGATGATTACGGCGTGGAAAACGAGGAAGACGATAAGGTAGAGTAAGCATTTGATGTAGTTGTTCTTGTGCGGCTGCCGGCGGCCGTCGCCGGCGGGATATGGCTGTGGATTTTCGACCTTGTCTGGCATCTTTTTTTGGCTTATGATTACAAGCAACTTGTAAGTTACAAAGGGAATGTTGAGTTATCTATATAGTGATGTATTTTTTCTATAAGAAATTGTAATGATTATATAATAAAAATTTAAATTTAAACAAAACGTGGTGTTGATTTTAGTGGAATGAATAATGCTCACTTCTTAGTGGATGAAATACTAAAAAGATGATGGTGACTTTTTGGCTCTTGACTGGGTCTTATTTGTGTTGTCAAGTTGAAGAAGCTTCTATTCTGTATAAGTTAAAGTGAAGGTTTGGGAGCTCCAGGGTGTCCAAGTCCTGATAATGGATCGGGTCTATCCGTAACTGAGACCCGTAATGAATACTTTTGTTGGATCCGAAATTCAAATTGGATTTGACTATACTACCCAAATCAGACTCGAACTTGAACAATATCCGAAAAGATCCGACAAACATAATAAAATTTTTACAATTCTTAAAAATTTAATTAAAAAAAGATGTTGTAACAAAACTCTCAAACAGGACAAGCTTCGAACAAACCGTTGATATACTACGTTATTTGGGCCGTGATAAATTGAGTTTGGGGAAAGATGAATTTGGGTCAAGAAATTGAAAGTGGAGTTTGGCCCCCTCTTTTTTTTTTTTTTATCAAATTTGAATTCATTTTTTAAAAATTGCAAAATTGTCAAAAGCAGATGCATTTTATATTTGTATAAAAGTTTAGATATACTAAAATTAAAATTCTTTTAAAGCATACAATTTATCAAAAATGATATATTATTAATATAATTATATATATTTTTTTTATTAAACTTCATAATGTATTTTAAAATTTTATATAATCTAATTTAAAAATATATATTTCTTAAAATTTGATAACTTAGAGTAGTATTTTAAAATTTTAATATATATAAATTAAAAATAAAATTACAATTAAATATTAAATTAATTGTATTTGATCATTTATTTTAAAATTTTATAAATTATGAGTATTGAATATTTTTAAAATTTTAATATAATTATATTTTTAAATATTTAATTATTATATTTATATCTAAAATAAAAATATGTATAATTTTGTGAACGGATGTAGACGAATATTAATTTAAATTATAATCATAAAGCAAAACACAGTTTGAATTAGTATAAAATAGGATTCCTTACCAACTATATATAAGGATATAAATATAATTTTATTTTCAATATTATTTTAATTATAAAATTGTATCATTCGCAGAAGTACATTAAAATCAAATAGTAAAGATCTCACACACGCACCAAACTCTGGACTTTCCGTGTCCGTACATCAATATCGACCGTACAATTCATTATCCCTTTCTTCTTCCTCCTGACAATCCTTAAAACCTGAATCTTCCCATCAAACGTCGCCTCACCGGACAGCCTAATTCTCCCCGACCTCAACTCCTCCTTCCCCAAATTCCGACCACCCGCCAGCGCAGCAATGGTGACGTTCACGTTTTCAGTCGATCTCGCGGCGGTGCTTCCCGCCGGCACCACCGTCCGGCCGATTACCCTCCCCCTGTGGAGGATTGACACGTCACTGTCGCCGAACCTGAACCGCCCCAAATTTGGGTTTCTTACGGCCAACTGAGCGTTGAGCCGGACGCGGACCGACGGCGAACCGGTGGAATTCGAAACCAACGGTTCGTCGACGGCGACGGATCTGAATCGGACTTTTGGGTTTCCGATGGGGATGAATATTACGATTAGGGTTATTATAATTAGGGTTTTGAGAATTATACCTGTTATGATTATCGCTAGGCATCGTCTCCGGCTTGATTCAACGTTTCCCGGCGCCGGCATTATGTTACTGTGAATTCTTCCAATTTCAGAGCTCCAATAATTATATTAATGGCGGTCGGAAATATTCGAAAATCACAACAAGTCTCGAATAAAACAAAAACAAACAAAAACAAGTTACAACTTTTTCATGGTCACATCTGTAATAAATCGATGGAGGGCCACCACCGAGGATCCATTCTCCCTCGTCGCCGCCTCCGCCGACTTCTTCATCTCGGCGGCGCGCCGCCGCAGAGCGCGGCCGGCGGTGGACTCCATCAGCTCCTTAATCCGCCGCTCCAACTCGACGGCGGTCACGACTCCGCCGGGCGCCTCCTCCAGCGGCAGCGCGAGCTTCATCTCCTCCACCGCGAAAACACGGATCATCCTCTGCTCAGCGTAGAGCGGCCAGCCGATCATCGGAACTCCGGCCGCCGCCGCTTCCATGACCGACACCATTCCACAGTGCGTCACGAATCCCCCAACCGACTCGTGACTCAGCACGTCCCTCTGCGGCGCCCACGTGCTTATCACGTGACCTCTCCCTTTCGTCCTTTCTTGAAACCCCTCCGGCAGCAACGCCTCCAGCTCCGGCTCCCCGCCGCCCTTCCCCGCCGGATTTCGCACCGTCCACAGAAATCTGTGGCCGGAGTTCTCCAATCCGATTGCCATTAACTTCAATTGCTCAGCAGAAATAACTCCTCGTCTTCCAAAACAGAGAAAAACAACACTCTTAGTAGGCTGCGAATCCAGCCACCGCAAACACTCATCCCCTCCGCCACTGTACTCCGATAGAAACGGTCCGACGAAGTACGCCGGCGGAGTCGGCGCGTCCGGAACCAACAGATCATTCGCCATCGCCTCCTTCGCCCGATTCTCGAGCGCTTCGAACGAATTAACAATAACTCCGGCCGATTTCTGCGCGTACACGGCGGCGCTCACAAAGTGGTTGTAAACATTGTTCTTACGAAACTGTTGAGCCTTGGGGAAATCCGATGAATGAATCGGCGGACATCCAGGAATTTCGAGAAAATCGTTCAGATCTGCTAAGTCTCCATCCACAGTTTCGTCGATCGTCGCAGCAAACAGAAAAGCACAGTGCGCAAAACCGCCGGAAGAGGCGAAAAAGTAGGTAGGTATGTTCAAGCTCGTCGTAACTTCAAACGCAGCGCTGCAGAAGAAATCGATGACAACTGCTCCGATGGTGGATTTCTCGGAGATCTCTAGCAGGGCTTGGCGGAGGCTAGGGTTGCTCAGGCGAGGAATTTCGAACAGGAGAGCAACCGGATCGGAGGTCGAGGTAGGGAGGGTAGCCGGCGGGGGGAGCCGCCGGTAAGTGATCGAAGGAGCGTCGTCGACGATGGGTAATTCAACGGCGGAGATAAAAACGACGGGGAGGGAAGGGCGGTGGTTGGCGAGGAATTTGGCGAAGGGTAACATGCAATTTTGATGCTCCGGTGAGGCGTACAGAACCAGTGTGGTTTCCATTTTCGTCTTTCGGAGTATGGCGAACCTCGTGGTTATAATTATAGGCATCCACCTCGCATTCATGTTAAAAAGTAAACCATAATCTTGCACGGACGGAGGGAATATATAAGCAATAGTATAACTAAATTATTATTTTAAATATAATTCAAACAAAATAAATAAAACTTAAAAATAAAATTATTACACAGTAAAGCAAAATTTTTAAAAGACAAAAATGTCATTGAATAATATAAAATTAATAATATTTGTTTAATATAGTATAAATTGGAAGGATATTTATTATATTAGGTAAGTAGTATAATTACTAAATTAGAAAATGACAGCCTTATTTTGAGATGGATAAAAATAAAAAACGGCAATCTTTCAATGGAACGGAGGAAGTATAAGAAAAAAATATATTCTCTCCGTCCCATAACAAAGTATCTATTTTTCCATTTAAGTCCGCTCATGTCCATTTCCTTTTTTAGTAACTGTACTATCTACCTAACGTTACAAATACCCTTACAGCTTATAATATTACACAAATGTCATTACATTTGTATCACATATGGTTATTTTAGTCATTTCTACTTTATTCCTACAATATCTCAATATGATACGAATATTTCTAAAACTACGTAAAAAAACAAATGGATATTTAGTTCGGGGGACGAAGAGAGTATTATTATTATATATATAAATTATACTATAATACTAAAAAAAAGAAATTAAAATTTGAAAAAACATAACCCTCTTGCTAGAATGCTAGTTTGCATATGTGATTTTTTTTCTTTTACTAATATATATTCGCTGATTCCATTAAAATTATCTAGTTTGGTCCGATACAGAAATTAATTAAAATAAATATTTTATTAAAAATATGACAAATAGTTGAAAATCTTTTTTAAAATTTATTTAGAAATTAACTAAATAAAAAGAAAATATAATAAAATTAATAGTATTTGTTGTAAATAAATATTGATACTAAATAATGATTAAATATTAATTTTTTAATTTTATTAAAATTATTAATAGGATAAATTTAACTGACTAAAAAGAAACGTGATAATAAATTTGATAGAAAGAATAATATATTTTGTTACGTAGAAATATATCAAATTTATATAGCAACCAAAACAAACCAAACGGCACCTTAAAAATCCTCGTACAAACGATGCCAAAGCCCAAAGGCCCAAGGGTTTCGACTGTAACTCAAAAGGAACCAGATTTTCTGACAGCGTTATTATTGGGTTTTCCTCTGCCTAAAAGGCTAAAATGTGTACTTCACCCTCAAGTTAGTACAATTATTTAGAATTTAATGTTTTTATTACCCTGTCTCAACTTTTTTTTATCGTTCTTTAATGCTTTGTTCAAAATTATTAATAAATTTTAATTGAAAATATTATTTTTAAGGTGCCTTTGGTCGAGGGTTTGAATTTTGAGTTGAAATTTAAATAGTAAAATTTTTAAATTTGAATAGTTGTATAATGTGATATAAATAGGTGTAGATGTGATATTTTGAATGTAAAATTGATTTTTAGTATAATATAAAAAATAAAAAATAAATGTTTGATTTGATATTTTTTTGAGAAAAAAATGAAATGAATAATGTATTTAAAATCCAATCCCCCAAACAAATACACCCAATTTTATCAATTTTATTTAAAAGTATTTTTTAAATATTTTATTAAAAATAATTATATAGTAATATCATAATACATTTAATTTTAAAAATTACAAATATTATTACATAGACAAATATTTTATATATAAATTCAAAAGAAAAAAAATGTTAAAATCACATATTTTTACTGTAAAATATTACTCTCTTTGTCTGAAAGGTTACCATTTTCTATTTTCCTTTGTCCCAAAAACAAGCTTATCATTTCCTCATTTAATAATTGTACTACATATTTCACATAATAAATATTCTTTCAACTTACAATATATTACACAAATGTCATTACTTTTATATTACACCATACTAATAGGAGTATTTTTATCTTTTTTACTACAATCCAATATAATATTAATAATAAAAAATCTACGTGCAAAAAGCAAATAATACCCTTGTTGCGGGACGGAAAGAATATTATTTTTAAATTTATTCCAAAATTCAAAAAAGTCCTTAATATATTGAAATTAATCATACTATCTTCGTCCATTTTAATTCAAAATTTTCATTATTCAAAACTCAAATATAACATTAAAAAAAAAAAATCACAAACAAACACTTCTCTACTTTTATTAAAAATAATAAATACTTGATAATAATATTTTTAATTTGAAAAACAAATAAATATATAAACTACCAAAGTCCAAAAATATCTTGTAATGATGTTGAAATTTATAGTAGCTACCAATTATAATATGAATTACAAATAAAAGAAAGTCATACTAAATAAAATTATGTGTACCAAATAAAATAATAATAATAATAATAAAAAAAAACCATTAGAATAATAATAATAATTTTTCTCTTTTTATCAAACTTAGTTACGGCGATTTATTGCAAGTTCACTAAAAAAATAACAATTACAAATTTTTTAATCAATAAAAAAAGAAAATTATTCTCTTTTGTTTTTTAAGATAGTAGTATAAATTTTGTTTTATAGTTATTGAAAATTGCACAAATATTTTAAGAGAAAATAAATTTTAAATATTTAACTTATTAAAATTTTTTATTGATAATAATGAGGAAAAAAAGAAAAATGCAACGCCAATGTTTTCAAATTATGATAATTTGGGTTGTGTGGCAGCAGGATAGCCACGTGAGTTGCACAAGGAAAGTTTGGTATGAGGAACGGCTGTAAAATTGTGTTTACACGATCAACTTTTTTTGATTGACTTTTCTATCTGCTTTTATTTGTCTAGACATTTTTGGAGCAATTTTGGGCTGTGTAAAAATCTTTCTTTTTCATTTTTTATATATATTATTTTATAATTTTTATTATACAATTTTATTGACTTCATATAAATAAATTTAAATTTAATATTTTAAATATAAAATATAAAATTAATATAATATAAAATAATAAAAATATGTATTTTATTTGATTTTTTTTAAAAAAAAATTATGAATAATAGAAAATAGGTAAAAACCCTACAATTACGAGCAAAGTTGTATGATTGTTTTGTAAAATAGTTAAAAATAATTTTTTTTTTATATAAAATATATTAAAAAAATATATGGTGAAAAAAATATGAAAAAAACACACTATTTAGATTTTAAATTCCTGCGAGATAGGCTCGGCCCATTTTGAATTTGGGCTTAAAAAATCAGCCCCCCAGCACAGCTCTTATTATTATTTGTTAAAATTTGATTTCAAGCTTGTTATAATTTGTCCATTATTTTATTTAGAAATAATTTATATTAACTTAAATAAATACAATTAGAATATATCATATTTTTATTGATAATTAAAATTTTTAAAAAGTTTTTTCTTATCTATAATTTCTTTCCTATACCATAAAATATGTATAAATAACTAATAAAACCATCATACATAAGGTATACAAGAAGCTATGTGGCAGTTCATTTGTTATTAGTATTATTTTATTTAGCCCATTTTGTTAACACACTAGAATCCTTCCTCTGGTCATTTTTAAAAGCTTGATTATTTCAATAACTCAAATTAAAAACTTGAAAATCATAATCGAATCAAAACTGAATTTTTTAAATTCGATTTTGAATGAAATTGAATCAATTGAGTAGACAACTTAAATCGAAAAAAAAAAAAAAATTCAATTTTTTTCGATTTGGATGACAAATTCTTAGTTTAGCAATTTTATTTTCAATATCAATTTCAAAAGGACAAAAAAATTACCTACAAATTCATAATCATACTAAGCTAATGTTTGATTGAAGTTTGAGTTTTAAATAATAAGATTTTTAATTAATATAATTATTAAAATTAATATAAATACTTATTGATATGGTATTTTAAATATAAAAATTAATTTAATATTTTATAATTTTTTTTTTCTTAAAAAAGTAAATATAATAATATCTTATTATGTTTTAGCGTAAATGGACAAAATATTTTATATTTTATTTATTATGTAAAATTTCATTGTATTAAATTAAAGTATATACAAAATATATATAACTAATAGAGGAAAAAAATAGAATATTCAATTTAATAAGTAATATTGAGTAATAGAGCAAAATTTTCAAATCAATATACGATTAACTATATAGATTTTATAAGTAAGGTACAAAATAATTGTTATAATCTTGAATTATACTGTACTAATATATCTTCTGTAAATAAAAATGGTGGAGACCCATACGTCCTTTTCAGTCATTTCCACGTCATGTATACATGGAGCAGACAATTCCATCGCCGCCGTTGGAGTAGGCGGCGTCACGGCAGAGACGACGACGGACCATCGGAAAACGATTCTCCACCGCCAATCGATCGATCGGAATTTCGATATCGAAACGTTCCCAAAACAATTTCCTCATCATCAGTCATCATCGGAATCGTATTCTTATTTAGGTCATCTCCGCCGCCGGCGACCTCCTCCTCCGCCATCTCAACGTCCTCGTTCTGCTCCGCCGCCGCCCATTCCGTCGCCGGAGAAGTACTGGAGTGTGAGCCGGTCGATGAAGAAGAGAATGAAGCCTTACCTGAAGCCAAATTATTGTCAACGTGAGTCGTCGCCACCGCCGGCGAGGCGGCTCCGGCGGCGGTCATGGTGGTGCCGTATTTTCCTCTGATGCCTCCGGCGAGCGAGCTCCGGTGAGCAGGGCGTGGGTGAGTGTGTTCTCCGGTGTAGGATACCAAGAAAATCCCTGGCTCGTCGGAGCTCCGCTCCACCTGCTTACGGGCGGCGCAGCCTTTCGACGTGCTGCACCGGTAATAATTTCTGATCCAAAAAAAATCGACGAAATCTCAATCACAAAATTATTACTGCAATTGATCGATGAAATTAAAAATAAAATGATCGAGACAACCTCGGAAAGGGCGACCCTTTGATCGGCTTCTGGCCGTACTTCCGCCATGCCCAGGAATCAGCGGCGAGCTCTTCCTGCGACGCTCGCCGGAAAATTTTCGCATGCTGGTTTTTCCTGCCGGAAAAAGATATTTATTTAATTAATTAATTAATTAGTACTTAGCTTAATTCTGATCATTAAGAAATTTTAATCATTACCTTTTCCGTTGCTGGACCGACGCCGGAGGACTGAAATTGGAACCGGAGATTCGAATCGTAGAGTTTGTGAATTGCATCGTACTTTCCCGACCTTGAATGCTGAAGTTTTTGTCGATCGGAACTGGCGGCTGCATTTGTGGAATTTCGAGATGTAATTGTCGGAAAGGCGCGGCGGCGGATGGTGTAATGGGGAGTATTCCGGCGGGGTCGTCGCGGCGGAGTTGATTGTTGTAGAGGCGGTTGCCGCCGGCTAGGGTATGGAGATGATCAGTTTTGATGTGATCGGCAATTAGGTCTGTCGATTGAAAATGATTGATTTCCGGTAGGGCGGCGGTGGAAGGGATTTTGAGGTGATTTGTAGGTTCCGCGGCGGCGGATCCAGTGGCCATGGCGGCGTAGCCTGATCTGACGACGGCGTAGAGATCCCAGTCATCATCCATTAGATGGGCGGCGCTGACTTTTTAAAATAATTGTTCTTAATGGGTGTGTCACTGTGGAGTGTGTATGTATATATAGAGAGAGAGAGAGGGATAGAGAGTAAATGGGGATTGTGATATTGTTTGCCATTTATCAAATTGGTGCAAATATTTGTTAATGAATTAAGCATAGGAAAAATAAAAAAAATCTCAGTTTGGACAAAGATTTTTGTAAGTCTTGAAATTTTATAATTTTTATTTTTTAAAAAATAGTATTAAATGTAATATCTCTTTTTACAAAAAAAAATTATTTAATTTGATATTTTTAAAAAATAAAAATGAATAGTTCTAAAATTTCTTTGCAAAACAACATTTTGAAAATGAAGTGGGAGATTTTAGGGTTTAAAATAATATTGACTTTTGGCAAATGTCAACATGCAATCATTGTTTAGGGATTTTTATATAGATTGCACTTGCATGCACTTTTCTACAATGGAAAATTTGCTTTGGAATGTGTGGTTTGAAACAATATGCACTATTCACTTTGAGGTTTAGAAGTCGTCCAATATTTCATTGTATTTTTATTTCAAAATAATTCCAAATATATAATCGGATTTGTTTATTTTGTATTTTTGAATGTATTTATTTTTTTATACATCGACTATGAAAAATTATATCGTTACTATAAAAAAAATATTATATTGAATTATTAAATTTTTATGAATAAATACTATATAATATAAGTATATATTTATATTTTTTATATAAGTATTTATAAAGAACGTTATCATTTACAAATACAACACGCACTAACTCATATTTTTTACCACTTTTATACTCCTTCTGTCTATTTTCTAATATCTTATTTGATATTTACACGCATTTTTAGGCAATTAGAGTTTTTGTTATAAAATGACAAATTTGCCCTTAATCTTGTGTATAGAAAATGAAAGAGTAAATAAAGTAAGGGTAAAAGAATAAATTTTGTGTATAAAAATTAAAAGAGGACAATAATTATTGGACATTCTAAATAGGAAATTAGGATCGTTAGTCTGTGGATGGAGGAAGTATAATTTAAAGAATTTCGAACAATACTTTTAAAAACTATAAGAAAGTATTACATAATTTTTTGGTTACAAGAGAAATGACATAAAAATTTTTAAATAATATGAAGTAGAATTAATTTTAATTAATCTTCAAAATCAAAAATAAAAATCAAACTTTAAGTAAACAAGATTATGAGAGGCTAATACAATATTTATTTATTTTATTCAATATCATACTGACAACACATAAGCTGGGATAGACGGTACATAATATATATATATATAAACAATACAAATTATATTTTAATATTTCCTTCGTCCACATAATATTTATACTTTGTAGTCGGACGGAAAGAATATAATACAAATATATTATATGAATTGACGGTACATAACAATAATTGATAAAATAAATATTATTGATCTCAACACAAAAACTATATCCATATGACAAACTTCATAGAATATAAACTATCAGCATATAATTTCAATTAACACAACATATATTATGTGTCTTGTGTACTGTGTTGAATAAAATAAATTATTATTGTAGCAACATAGCAACACCCAAGTTATTAAATTGTTAGTTAACGGTGTGTTTGTTTGGGGGATTGGATTAGATTTCCACTGTTAATTCCATTTTTTTCCTCAAAAAATATCAAATCAATCACTTATTTTTCATTTTTTATATTACACTAAAATCAATTTTACGTTCAAAATATCACATCAACGCCTATTTATATCATATCATACAACTATTCATATTCAAAATTTTTACTATTCAAATCCCAACTCAAAATCCAAACCCCTCAAACAAACACACCTTAGTGAAAAGTCATTCTTGATTAAATAATGACATTTAAAATCTATTTAAATTTAATAATGGTATATATATATATATATTATATGGAAGTATAGGGTGTTAATAAACTAGTGTAGATAATTTAATAAGTCTTCAATAAATTTTTTGAATCTTGATTTATATTAGAATCTTATTATGATTGTGGTGATTAAATAAATCATTATCTAATAAATAAGTAAATAAATATTCCATCGCATAATCAATATATTAATTAAGAAGTACATGAACTTGCTAAGTACTGATTTCATAGAATAATCATTATTAACTAGATATTGACAAACTTACTATAAATTTGATAATTGACAATGTTCTTTTGTATTTTTTGATGTTTTGATTTATTGTTATTTTTTTTAAATTTAATAATCTACCAACTAAATTTACAAAGACAATCACAAGATGTACCGTATGATATTTTTGTATAAAAAATAAATATATTTGATTAACAGTGAGATTGTATGATATTTAAAAAAAATTTAAAAAAAAATCAAAATGACAAAGTACATAGTGTGAATCTAATTATTAAACGATGCATAGGTTTCATTAATTATTTATAATACTTCTTTCGAAAATCAAATATTTACTTTTACAAAATTAATAAATATTATTCTCTCTATTTGACTCTAAGGGTCTGATTTACCTTATGTGTCATTCTACTTAACATTAAAAATATTCTTATATTTGTATAATTTTTTACACAAATTTCATTATAATAATAGATAAGACACTAATAGAAGTATTTTTGCATTTTTTCTTTAATTTGTACTACGCCTATAATAATTAATATTCAAAGATCAACACGCAAAAAGTAAATAAGACATTAGAGCCTATTGATGTAGTATATTTTAATGATAATTGATGATAATTTTGGTATATAAAAAGTATTTTATCCCTATAATGTGCAAATTTAATTTAAAAATATTGTCATATTAATGTAAATCAATATAAATATAAGAGTATTTGTAATGTAGAATGAGATCTATAAATATTTTAAAATAAGAGAGTATAATTAAGTATTGTACTTATTGTATTGAATTTTGTTTAGGCACTAATAATTAATACTAATGTACCATGTAATTAATAACTCTGAATTAAATGAATTGTATATATTTTAATAATACTAAAAATTTTATTGTTATTATTATTATTTTAAATTGAGATCAACACTATTTAATATGTATAATTTTCAACAAAAATTTACATTAGGCGAACTACATATAGCAGATGACTTGAAAGTATCAATCCATAATTACACGATCATGAATCTAACCCACGCTACAGGTCATTCCTTGAACTGTATTTTCTATATAATCTAAGGATGTGTTTGTTACTGGGTTTTTCTAACAATTTTTTACTATGGATTAAAAAAAAATGATATTTTTAAATTCTTAACAATTTTTTACTATTGATTAAAAAAATGATATTTTTTAAATTCTTAACAACTTTTTACTATTGATTAAAAAAATGATATTTTTTAAATTTTGTATAGAAGCTATATCGCATTTTCGATATTTTTTTCATCCTATAATTTAGTATATAAAACACCTATTGAATTGGACATGAGATTTAAGGAATATTGATATTATATTGATAATTGGTAAAAAATATGAATAAAAATTTTTTTTTGCCTTGTGAGTATATTAGTATAAAATGTAGTGGCTTTGTATAATAATAATAAAAAAGTAAATATAATTTTATGGTGATACACATTTTTATGGAAATGAGACTATTGGACATAAATGGTAAACAAAACTATTCTATTTGGACGATGGAGTATATTTTTATTAAAAATAAGACAAATTAAATAATAATTATTTTTTTATTGGAAATAATAAATCTGAGACAACCTTAGTAAGAAAAATATATCCAAGTATAAATAGTGTCACCACCATGCCTTCATATATTCATCACATGCGGATTGTGGTGCTTGCTCCTCCTCTAACTTGCATTCACCTAAACAAAAATCAACAAAAAAATAAGAATAAGAATAATAATAATAATAAAATAAAATAAAATAAACTTAATTATTAAATTAAAAAGTCAACCACCCAACAATGGAGATTGGGGCATCTTCCATTCCACCCATCCACTCACACAGTGACACAATCCATATCCATATTGTCTCTGTCATGCAAAAATATTGCAAACTCAAATCACTGCATGCAACTGTAATCGATGAACCCTAATAAATAATCTCTTCAATTCACCATTCCTTCCTATCCACACAATAATTAAGTTATTAATCTTTACTTCCTCTTCTCTGTCTGTGTGTGTGTTCTCAGCTATGGCTGCCTCCTCTCTCCCTGACTCATCTCTCTCATGATTCACATCCTTTTCACTTTGGATGAATGCCAATTGCAAAAGCTACCAGAAAGAAACACAAAAAATTCCGACTCTTAAGCCGATCCCGATCCCGATCCGCGAACCCATCCTGTTGAGCCAGATTTAAATGCGCCGGAATTATAGTCTCCAACATTGGCTACAAACAGCGGATCCCTCTCTTCAGCAGCCGATTCACTGCCGATAGGGCTTACTGATCGTTCTACCCGATCTGCCTTCTCTAGTTCTTTGGTTAACCCTTCCATAGTCTTCTTTAGTGCATCTTTGTTCATCTTCCCAGGCTCGCCTGTTGAGATTCCAACCATTGTAATCTTGGGGAGGAATGGGGATGGTTGCGACTCTTGTCTTTTTCCACGTTGATGATTGGTGGAATTCTCGTCTCTGCCAAGATAGGATCAAGAGATTTAGCGCGAAAACAGTGCAAACAGTCGCGTACATTGAGAGGGTATACGATAAAAACCTTGAGTCAAAGAATGTGTTTTGTTGTTTCAACCAGGGAAGCCGGAGCCAATCACCAAAGGGAAACTGGAAATTCAGTAAAGATCGTTTAGCAAGAGCACGATCTTCTGTTTTTGCTGTGCTTAAGGCGGCAGTGTTCTGTACAGGAGCCTTGTCTTCGAATTCAGAATTGGATATTAGGTGGGGTGGAGCTTTAGCTCTCCGAAGGGAAGCTGCACTTCTGCAAACATGAGATACTAGGATGACTTAAACCGGAATTTGTAAGATCTTCCAATGTTTGAAAACAGAATTTTGGTAAGTGTAGAAAGTACTTTTTCTCAAAAGAGTCGACCATGTATGGAAATTTGGGTTGAATTCCGGTGGCCCTACGCAACCATCGATTTCCAAGAATGACTTTGTCCACAGTGTGCATAAGCTGAATTTCGGCGACCTTTGATATGATGCTCAACGGTATACCCGAATGACCCACTTCATCAAGCATTTCCTGAACCTATATCCATAGCAGCAGTTGAAGAAGAAAAATTTCAACAGTCAGATATAATTAGAGATTTGAACCGAAATTACTTCATGAAATATTAGGGTATTAGTTTTGAAATTGGTGTTAGAATCATTAGATATTTTGTAAATGATAGATGACCATACCTCTGGAGGATCCCACATGCTATCCCGCATCTCTTCAATTGTTTCAGAAGTGAGACTATCATCAATAGCATCTCGCCGGCGATGAAAATGTCTCGTTTCGATCAATGCATGGAAATGTTGGTCTACAGAATCTTCGAGAATGTTATCGAGCATGTTCTTGTCAAAGAAGTAAGGAGTATACCTAACCAGACGCAAATCCCAGGAACAGCACTTAGTATTAAAACAAAGTCACTTACAAACATATGAAAGAATATTGCAAACAAATCAATCCTTAAGTCCAAAAGAATTCATACATTCCATCCACTGATATTTCCTTATCAATAGCAATACTGAATCTCAGTTATCCAACGAACTTAGAATACAACATTCTTTCATGAAAAAACAATGGGTGGAGTAAGCAGCAAAAGATCCTCAAGATTCACCACAGGCACATGAAAATTATACTCATATCTACTAATATACAAAAATGTAATAAATTAGCAGTTTTTGTTACTGATATACAGAATAAAACTAACCACTTGATTCCATCCTTTGTTGCTATAGCAATATCCAAGTTTTGAGCACTGAAAACAGGAACACCCTGCACTTTCGTTTTCTTATTGCTGTGTGGTAAGGTCTTCAAAAGTTTGTTGGCTTCCTTCACCTGAAAGAAACAACTTAGGCTAGGCATTGATAGTGCACCTTAAGGTAACGACAATGTATATTAATTCTTTTATGTACATATGGAGAGATAGCTCATTATTGAGCCTAACCTGTCGTCCATTTGGTATGAATTGAAACCTCTCGGGTTTCTCCTGCATTACATGTGAAATACACAAAGTGATTCCAAATTAAATAAGCATTACTGATAAACATAAAGATGAAATTTAGGGGTAGAATGATTATGTTCGATTTTGAAAATTCAATATATATATATATATATATTCATCAAAACATAAACTGCCGCAATATGTGACCTCAAGTGACCAATTAAACATAAGATCCGGGATAAATAACCAACATTCAAAACCATGTATTTCATGCCGAATTTAAGGTTATGTCAGCTTTTGGCAACGTTCAACTTTCATCTAGCACTTGCATTATCTGCATCATGCATGACAGAGCAGATGCAATGTCATAGAACAGATTTACACATTTTACTTTTCAACTGCTATATTGATGTTACTTAACTGTATAGTCATTCTCTGTTAGATACAAGTTGCTGAAGATCCGTAAAAAAGTTCAAATGTGACTTGAATGAACTAAACTAAAATAAAAGTTGTACTTGAATGAACTGCAAGAATAGGCAAGCTACTACCTTAAAATGTTCATATGCGATATCAAGACGGCATGCACCAACAACACCACTGGGTATATTGAGCTTTTTCACATAAGAAACTGAAATGCAATGAGTTAGTAACAAAAATCACTTCATTCCTACAATCAAATTTCACTAAAAACATAGATCTTTCATGTCTACATTTATATTCCAGTTTCCATCTAGAAAATTAAGGAAACTGCCAACAGTAAAACAACTAAAATGTTGAGCAATAAAATTCAATAGAAGTCACTGAATTTCGCAAGAAAAAGTGAACCCGACCAGGGACTTTCAAGCACTACACTAACCAGACAACAAGATTGCCATTTGGAAATAATATGTATCTTCTTATATCTTTCCAAGACCATCATTCAAGTGGGACAGTGAAAATAATGTAACAGTTTATTTAATCAGCATCGAAGGACTAGCAGAATAAGGTTCCCAGAAAGCAGAACAAAGTAAAGGGAAGAAGATTGCGCTGTTGAACCATACCAGCATCGCCCACATCCATGAAGAAACTAAAGATAGGGGCGGTCCTCTCGCTCTTGGTCACTGCAGCAAAAACCTTCTTTAACCACTCTGGTGTTCTGGTGAGAAGCAGCAAGCAGTATATCAAGTGAGCAATCAAACGAACATGGTTGTCAAAATAAACATCTTTGCATGATAAAATCAATGACACAATTTAGCCACTACAGTAGGAATATCAAGAAATACAATTGGATATTGTTAAGGATTAATCTGATTTGTCGAAACAAATCATATGTTATGAATTCAAGAAAACAATTAGCTTCCAACATATCAAAATAACAGATATCAGATATGTAAATGCCCGAGTTAATGCAAAAATAACAGATATGTTGAACACAAATTTCTCCAATTTTCTAAACCTTACTAAAAATTAACAAAATATTTAAAAGAAAAAATGACAAAAAATCTAACATATCAAAATATTTTACTTTTGTTATCACTTGATGCTACTTTCTTCTCTGCAATTTGAAAATTCGGTATGAATTTCTTTAATTGCTTAACAACATTATACCACAGACGATTTAATTGCACCGTAATTTTGAACAAAAGTAATGAAAAACAAACAATTTGTCAAGCTAGAAGATTAATTAACAGAGTTATAAGCTAAAGTCAACTTATACCTTTTCGATAGGAAGGGAATGTTAAAATGCGTCGATACAGCCATTAAACCAGTCCCCGAAAGGTCACACATGCTGTAAACCTGACCTACAAAAGCCGGTCCACCGCCTTTTCCGGTCGTGACTCGAACCGTCGATGGAAGCCTCGAACCGGACTCCGCAGCAGGCATGCTGTTATCCGCCGAAGAAGATGGAAAATCTCTAGGCTGCGTTGGGGAAAGAGAGTCCGGCTGCGCTGAGTCGGATGAGGCGGCGAGCGAGAGGACTCGGTCCGGTAGGAGAAGCGGCAGATGGATTTTCGATGAGGATGCGGGTGGCGACCGCGGTTTGGGGGCGAATAGCGATGATAGATTGGTGGAGGCGTTTTGGACGAATTGCGTGAAGTGACCATCGGGGGGGTGCCGGCGACGGCGATTACCGGCGGCGGATGCCATGAGATGTGAACCAAACAACGAGACAGGAATCTGTAATTCTGTGATTATCTATTTCCCTGTTAGAACAAATATATAAAAATAAAAATAAAATTGTAAAAGCGTTTTTAATCACCGAATTTTCCCAAATGTTGGTTTATGCGACTTCTGTTTACATTTTATTTTAAGCCCCCTCGTGAATTTTAGGACCAATTATTTTCAAGAAAAAATCCCTTTTGAAATTTGTTTTGTTTGGATTTACGACAACTTTATCAACAAAAATATAATATTTTTTTATAAAATATAAAATGTAAATTAAAATACTCTATCAGTCCCACATTTGATGCTACTGTTGACACAAGTGATTTAGAATAAATATAATTAGCACATAATTAAGAATATATTAGTAAAAATAATTATTTTATAATATAAATAATTATATATTAAGGTTAAAATAACTAATTATTTTAATTAAAATTAAAAAAATTAAAATGAGATTAAAGTACATAATGACGGAGAGAATGACAATATGCATATAGTAGGTTGGACGGAGAGAGTATAAAATAAGAGACCTTGTTTCAAATATATTGTGAATAGTAATAATATAATTATTTTATATTAGTATATTTGCAATTTATTTTAAAATTCATAAATTTAAATTTATTAAATAATTTAATAATATTAAGTTTTAAAAAAATGATATTTCAATTATTATCACTATACAAATTAGGTCAGAGATCTATCATAATTTGTTACTCTTTTCATTCCAAATATATATATATTTTTTCTGTCAGTTCCACGTAATTTTTATTTTGAAATGATAATACATTTAATCACATTTTAAATTTTATAATTTATATTTTTTTTAAATTTTAATTAAACTATTTAATTATCTTAATCTTAATTTATAAGTATTTTTATTATAAAATAATTTTTTTATTCATTTCGTTAAATTTTAGTGTTTATAGTAACTTAGAAATATCATCCATGTAGATAGACAAAATGACAAAATCAATAATTTTTACATTAGAATTTTGATTGTTCAACCAAATCTTTTATTTCTCAATATATATACATAACAAAAAATAATATTTAATATAAAATATTAATTTTTATATTATTAAATTCTTTGTGGTTTATATAAAAAATATCATAAAGTAGAACGTCGAATAAACAATATAATTTTATTTATTTATTTATTAAATACCTGCAATATGCTTAAAAAATGATATTAAAAGAATATGCTACATAACATACCATACGGAGCATATGTTTACTTTAAATTGCATAGGTTAGGCATTTCTTAGTTGCTACTAGCCTACTATTGCATCATCGATGTTATTAATTCTTATTTATTACTCTTTTAAATTTGTACTTATTTCTTTTTTTTGTAGTCAAAAAAATATTTTATTTTTTTAATTACATAATATTAATTTTTTACTATAAAATAGATTTATATATTACCTATTTTATTAATAATAATAATAATAAAATTAAAAAATAATAATAAATTGTACTTAATTAAATAGGTGTAAATATTGATGACTAATAAATAACAATGATTTGAGGATAAAAAAGATACCCTTAGTCCCTTACTAGTAATAATTTATATTTTTACTAGGTAAATATGGATGATGATTTGATACAAGTAACAATAATTTTAGGGTAAAAAATAAAAATAATTCTGTAGTAAAGCATTTTTTTAGGTCCATTTAAAATATTTATTGTTTATTACATTAGAATAATTAATACAATACTCCCTAATTTTTTATTTTATCATTTTAATTTATCCAAGTCAAATGTTCTCTTTTTTTAAAAATAAAAAATAAAATAATTTTTAATTAAATTTTATTTTTTACATTATATTTATTTTAATGTTAATGATAAAATGGACATTATATTATTTATTATATTGTATAATTATAAAATACTAATTTACTTTAATTTATATTCAAAAGTCCAATAGAAACTTAACAAAATGAATAAAATGTACAAATAAAATACAAAAATATAAATATAAATTTCTATTTATACTTGTAAAGACTAAAATTACAAAACTTATTACTGCCATCGTACAAAAATACATTTATCTTTTACTTGTGAAAAATAAAAAGTAGTAGTATTTTGATATCTAGTTGATAGTTAAATTTTTTTAAAGTAAAAAATAAAAAATTTTGATTTGAACAAACAAAAATTAACATGTAAGTTTATCACTTGACGAAAAGAGTTATTTTTTAATTAATTGAACATAAATATACATATTTTTGCATTTGTTGTCTAAATACAAAAGCAATTATAAGGGTGTGTTTGTTTGGAGATTGAATTTTAAATACACTGTTCATTCCATTTTTTTTTTTCATGAAAAATATCAAATCAAATACTTATTTTTCATTTTTTATATTACACTAAAAATCAATCTTTACATTCAAAATATCACATCTAACACCTATTTATATCACATCATACAACTAGTCAAATTCAAAATTTTCATTATTTAAATCCCAACTTAAAATCTAAACATCCAAACAAACACACCCCAAAAATATTTCACTTTTTCTTTTTTACAAAATTTGTTATTTTATCATTATATTATTATTTTTTACATCAAACAATAAGAGACAAAATTGTTTTTATTTTATTTTTAACTATTCATTACATTTAAATATTAATATTATTTTATAAATTATAAAAAGAAAAAGTAAATATATGTTCTGTCTTTAATAATCTATCAATTTTTTTATTTTAATTCGTCTTATAACAAAGTTTATTTTTTTTAACAATGGTACTTTATACTAATATTAAAAATAATTTTATAGTTTATAATATATTATATAAATATTATTAATTTTATGTCACACAATACTAAAATTATAATCTATAATATAATATTAATATTCGTTAAATTATGTTAAAAAACAAACACATAAGGCACTAAAGAGTACTACTGTTTAGGCAAGAAAGGAATAAAAAGTTTTCATTAGGGAAGAGTATTCCGCTTAGACTGTGTTTGTTTGAGGATTGGATTTTAAATTCCTTGATCATCTCATTTTTTTTAAAAAATATTGAATTAAATATTTATTTTTTATTTTTTATATTATACTAAAATTTATTTTACATTGAAAATATTAAATTTAACACCTATTTATATCATATCATCGATTCAAAATTCAAACTCCAACAAACACAAAGAAAGTTATAATAGTAATAATAATAAATGGAAACGCAAAGAAAAAGTAACCCGATTTCATACCTGCTACTTCACCGATTCTCTACTGCCCTGCCCTGTCAACAGCGCAGTATCACTCCAACCAAGCCAAGATTTTGTAATAAAATCGACGCAATCTGCTCTGCACTGCACTGCACTGGTCAACTATGCTACGCCCCTGGTAACCGCACTTTCCAATTTTCATTTGCGGACGACTCACGGCGGACTACAGCAGTGGAGGCGACGGCAGAGCGGGGGTGGCGAGGTGAACGAATCGGAAACCCTTGCGCTTTGCGTTAGGGTTCTATTGTAATCTTCGCGCCGTTCTCGTGATGCACGCTTGCCTCAAAGGATCAAATCCTTAGAGTTGATCTGTATTCTAAGGTAATGGTGATTTTGTTGATCTTAATCTTGACGCGAAGTGTGTTGTCATCCGCGTGGATTTTGCGGACTGGCGGTGGTGTTTTCTTCTCGTCGAAACAGATTTGAAGTTAATTCAGTATGTGCGAAGGAATTTTGATTGTTTTTAGGGTTTTGGGGGCAATTGTTTCTGAAATTGAATGTTCGTTTTGTTTTAATTGCAACTTTGGTGATGAATTGAATTTTGTCTTCTTTCGTTGAATGATTTGAATCTACCTGAGTTGTACAATTACGCAAACCTGATTCCATGGTTAATGATTCTCCATAGTTAGAAGAGTCATTTGGGATGATATGCACAAATATGTGTTAATACTTGTTGCAATTTTGCTAAGTGATCTGTGAAGTCACAAGCCTCATTCCGTTAGATCGAAAAGTTATTGGATAGTAAAAGGATTACAATATAGAACACAACTTCTCTGTGGATTCCTTATAGTCGAACCTTCCGAAACTGTACTACAGGCTACATTTTCTGTACTTAATCCCGATGATATGTGCTCTACGGTTCATTGTAGGTGTAGTTTTTGTTAGGCAACAAGCAGATTAATCAATTCACATGGCTGATTCGGAAGAAAATAGTGCCTTGTTTCCGATTTTCATCTTGTCGGTAATTGCATTGCCTCTGGTTCCTTATACAATACTGAAGTTATTCCGGGCTGCCACAAAGAAAACAAGGAGCATTCACTGTGGATGCTCTGACTGCACTCATTCGGGGAAATATCAGAAAACTGTTTTTCAACGGGTCTGTTATATGTTATTTATCCTCTTTGACATATTATTGTAACTGCTGCAGGTGCAATTGATCATATCAGTTTACCTATCAATTCTTCTATTTCAGATAACAAATGTCACGACATGTGGTAACCTCACCCTGGTGCTGCTGTGGATCATCACAGGGTTTCTTGTTGTTTATGTTAAAAACATGAATCAGGAGGTACACTGTGATTATCAAAATTGTGTGATTGTGTTGCTCGGTAGTGCCCTTGATGTTTTCTTTATTTGTTTAATACCTCTCATTGTCAACTCAGATTCAAGCCTTCGAACCATTTAGTATTCTCGGATTAGAGCCAGGAGCATCAGAATCTGAGATTAAGAAAGCATACAGGAGACTCTCCGTCCAGTACCATCCTGACAAGAATCCCGACCCAGGTTATCTTACTTGGTTCTTCACTTCTGTTATGAATTTGATTGCCCGAAGAAACAAATACCTTGATTTTTATTTGCCTGACTATAAAAGTGGTAATTTGATTCTCCAGCCGCTAATAAATATTTTGTGGAGTCCATAGCAAAAGCCTATCAGGCTCTAACCGATCCAATTTCACGGGAGAATTTTGAAAAATACGGTCATCCCGATGGTAGGCAGGTAATATATCTTGGGACTCAAAGCTTCATCCACACATTTGAAGAAAAAAAAAAAAAGAATAGAAAGATAAACACTATTATATGTATATGGTGCAGGGCTTTCAAATTGGAATTGCCCTTCCTAAGTTTCTTCTTAATATTGATGGCGGATCTGGTGGGATATTGTTAATGTGGATAGTGCTTCTCTTCATTCTGTTTCCGTTGGTGGCAGCTGCCATCTATCTTTCAAGATCATCAAACTATTCAGGAAATAATGTCAAGAATGACACCCTAGGTGCCTATTTTCAGTTAATGAAGCCTTCCTTGGCCCCTAGGTATATTCCCTACCTTTGAGTCTTTTATTTCTCGGGTTAGATAGGAATATTTGTTGGTGAATCACACAATCTTATTACTTTTTGATAAATGAATCCTACTTTTATTAAGAACGATCAGCTCTTTGTTATAGGTGTAGGATTTGCCTTTGAAAGTTTCACAATTGGCTTAATGATTCCAATTTGCAGCAAGATCATTGAAGTCTTCATAAAAGCTGCTGAATTTATGGAAATTCCAGTTCGTAGATCAGATGACGAAGCCCTCCAGAAACTTTTTACAGTAGTAAGAAGCGAACTTAACATCGACAGGAACAACAAAAAAGAACAAGCCAAATTTTGGAAGCAGCATCCAGCACTTATTAAGGTAAAATGAACATTTCAGAAGTAGACTTCTATTTCCTAGTCGAATTTGATTATTTATTTTCATATTTGACTAATATTTTCATTCTCCACGCCGCAGACTGAACTGTTGATCCAAGCACATTTGATGCGTGAAGCTGCAGCCTTAACCCCAGATTTGGAACGCGATCGCAAGCGTGTGCTCCAACTTTCACCTCACCTCCTTGACGAGCTAATGAAGGTCGCTCATTTCTGTAGTTGTTAGCCGAAAACTCATTAAATTTCTACATTCATTATGCAACACTTATATATGACCATGATGTGCTCGAATATACGTCTAACTGAGGTATCTATATATGAACAGATGGCAATTGTTACTCGAACTTCCAAGGGCCATGGTTGGCTCAGGCCTGCAATTGGAGTCATCGAACTTTCGCAATGTATTATTCAGGTAATTTGACAATTATATGAATGTCAAACAGTTATACTCTTTGCTAATTGATTCGTTTCCTATGACTATGATGCAGGCCGTTCCCCTTAGTGGTCGGAAGGCTGAGGCCACCACCCCCTTTTTACAGCTGCCTCATTTCAATGATGATATAGTAAAAAAAATCACCCGAAAGGTATGACATATTTGAGCTACACAGAAACTTATAATCGCTTTTTTCGACACCTTTTATCGCTTGCTATATTTGATACTCTTTGGTGTCGAAACTTCTGTAGAAGTTGCGGACATTCCAGGAGTTTCAGGACATGTCCATGCAACAGCGCACCGAACTCCTATCCGAAGCAGCCGAATTCACACCCCTTCAAGTGGAAGACGTCGAGAAGGTAATGGAACTCATTCCTTCTCTAACAGTCGAAGTTTCTTGCGAAACTGAGGGAGAGGAAGGAATACAAGAAGGTGACATAGTCACCTTTCAAGCCTGGATTAATCTGAACCGTCCAAATGGCTTGATCGGCGCCCTCCCCCATGCCCCCTACTACCCCTACCATAAGGAGGAAAATTTCTGGATTCTGCTGGCCGACCCCAGTTCGAACGCCGTGTGGTTTTTCCACAAGGTGAGCAGTTTCCTCGACGAAGCCACTGCAATCAAGACTGCATCGGCAGCGATCGAGGAGAAAATGGAAGTTATCGGGGCGAGTCCCAAGGAAACAACGGCAGCTATAAAGGAAGCGGTCGAGAAAGTGAAGAACGGGTCTCGGCTGGCCATGGGGAAGTTCCTGGCCAAGGCTGAGGGTAACTTCAACCTCACTTGCTACTTACTGTGCGACTCGTGGATCGGCTGCGACCACAAGTCGAATTTAAGGTTGAAAGTTGTGAGGAGGACACGGGCAGGCACCCGAGGCGGGCAGGGCATGGAATCAATGCAGGATGGTAGTGAGGAGGACGAGGAAGTCGAGGAGGACGAGGATGCGATTCAGAGCGAGTACAGCGACGAGGAAGACGACGGGAAGAGAGGGCGTGGCAAGGGAAAGAAGAGTGTTGATTCGGAGAGTGAAAGTTCAGAGGAAGAATGAGGGAGGTAAAATAGAAGAGACAGGCTTGTTTTGATGATTCTTGTTTTTTTTGCCAGAAAAAGGGTTTTTTGTTTTTGTCATTACAATATCATCGTCTGTTGCAATTAGAGATGACATTCTGGAAAATTTTGAGTAGCTAATGTTGGAGACTGACTAGAAATTGTTTTTTTTTTTTTTTAAATAAAATAAAATTATGTGACGACTTATTACTGAAAAGGTCTTTTTAGTAAATATTAAATGAAAATTGATAACAATTTACTGGATGGAGAATCGGGATGCCAAATGGGGTAGATTAGCCCTGCATCTGCCCCGATCACGGTCTTAATTGGGCGCGTTTGAATCTAAAAATTTGGTTTGGAGCGAATTGTAGATTTTGAGTTTTAGATTCGGCCGAATTCGGAGCGGATTGCTGATTTTATTATAAATCCGCCTCATTCTGGACTTGGATTCGAATCCGAATATTTTAATAATTATAATAATTTATTTATATTTTTATATAATATAAATTATTATTTATTTAAAAAATTTAAATATAAAATAAAATTTTAATTCTAAATTAAATTTATGTTTGCATTTGTTTATCTAGACTACTACTATCACTAGGAACTATCACTTTTACGCATATTTTTTTAATATTAAATTATTTTTTAAAAAAATTTATTTTTTTCTTTTCTCTAAAAAAAAAAAACTGATTCGTGGGGTTCGGAAGGAACAAGTCCTGAAGTCGGATTGAAGCGGGATGGGGAAGAGTCTTGGAGCATAATATTTTCAAAACAATTTTGTGGGTTTTTTTTTACTTTTATTTACTCTTTTACAAATATAATTTATAAAATTATTATATACAAAGAAAAATAAGAATGAATTAGTGAACTACCTATCAAAATTACACCAAAGAATCAACCTAAGAAATGAATATTTACATTTAGCTGGTCTAAGAGAGTCAACCTATATGCAACATAACCCATTTCAACCACCAGCTTGCATAAGTCAAAAACAAATTAATGATATATATCTACAAGCTTAAACTTTTAAGTATGATATCATTTATCAATTCTCATTCCTAATTTTTCCATAAGCAAGTTTAAAAAAAAATAAATAAAGGAGCTCTGCTAACCTTTCTGAAGCAATGCCAATTCAGTTTGTGTAGCAGTGTTTTCAACAGCCATCCACCAATTCTCATCTTCCTCATAAGTTTCATCCTGTCAGGACCTCATCCATAATTAGAAGGAACATATACATATGCAAGAAGGTCAGTACTAATACCTTTAAATATTTCAGTGGCCAATGTATTCTTTTTTAAAAAATTGCAATTAAAGAATGCTGGACTGACCATCTGAGTAAGGCTGAGGGTATTTTCAACCTGCTCTGCAACTTTAACTGCTTCATGCCACCATTCCTCTTTAATGCAGCTGGCATCGAAGCTTTCATCGTCTGTGGGAATGGGATCGGTGTCTCCAGGGTCGGGAACAATGTTGTCTGGGACTGGACGAAGGGGGGATCGATAACCTGGCACATCCAGGCAGCTAGGTAAAAGAAGTAGTCTTTAATGTGTAGAAAGGAAATGGGAGAATAATGTTGTTTAGGAAACAACTAACATGCTACCTTTGCAATCTGGATCATGACACTTTTGGTAGTAAACGGCCCTTCTTAGATCAACGACGTAGATGACTGAAACAAAAATGTGATGAACTTGTTAATCCATGGCAGTTCAAAAACATGAATATAGAGCCCAAGTAGCATCGCGTTTCCAAGAAAAATACCGTGATTGCTTTTATGTTCTCTGCCGATTCGTTCACAGTATCTATTCTTCAACATGCTGTAAACCATCAGCCAGTATTCTGAGAACCAGTACCAGCTTCGAATCTTGCCTGTGAATGGCATATAGCTAAGGATATGATAAACAGCTTTTGAAGCAATATAGGTGGCATACAAAGTTCGAAAGAAATAAGACTAAGCTAAGACTTGCAAAAACTAGCAAGAAATTATATGTTTAACCAATTCTTCATTTTTGATAAAAGATTTTCTTTTGTTCTTGGAAGAGAACATTACCTGATACATTTCCATTTGAGGCGATAGCTTCGACAAATGCATCCAAAGCTGGGAATGGCGATTTTCCCATCATATAAGTTGATGAAACATCACTTGTGCAGGCGCTCCGGTTAAACTTCTCAGGACATTCGAAATGTTTGTGGGTGTTGTCGGTAATCTGCTAAAGAGAAATGTTTTCAAAATTACGTAAAAAGAGGAGATATTATGCATACATTTGATCACAAGGGATGAAAGAAAACTGAAGAAAAGAAGAGTTTGCAGTATGAGGAATTACCTCAGTTTCGAAGTGCAATGCCTTTATACAATCTATATCCATTTTGCAAATTAGACGTATCTCAGAATTGGCATCAACGTTGCAAATCAAGGATGCCATAAAGACTTCTTCCTCCCCCTGCCGCATATAAAACCTTATGAGGCTAAATTTAAACTATCAGCCACAGAGAACAGATAAATGATTTGTTGATCTACTTTTGGATTCACTTTATTAGTGAAAAAGTAAACTCCTTACCATTCCCTTACACATATAACGTCCACTGGGTAGAAGAAAAGAGCTCTTCCCTGCTTTTGATGAAAAGGGTATCCTAAAACATCGATTCCTAGAATAGACAGCAGTGTCTACAAAGAGCTGGCTGGTACAATTCGAACCTTTGGCAACAAAAAGTTTCCCATACTTTTCCTCTCTTTCTCTATAAAGGTGAACGCGGGAGCATACCTACTCAAAAGACGAGAGAAGCAGTTGCATTTTTATTTCTAAAACCTTAACAAGAATATAATCTCTGGACAAATTTGGAAGCAAGGAAAATGTGTAATGATCTAAAGTTACCAAATGTGATTAATCATATCGAAAACCATAGATTGTGGATTTCAGTTACTGGCAAACAAACCTCGGCAACAAATGCACCAACATGTGAGTTGTCTTTAAATGCAGTATTCGGTAAGCGAATGATTAGATGGCGAGAAAATTTCACTGCACACAAATAGCACAAGGAAAGATATTAAGGTATGCTACCTTTGGCATCTCATGGATTATACAATTGAAGATGCCACAGCTCTCCCTGTAAATGCATGCTCAATGCTCATAGATTATCATCTCCAGATAGGAGGAGGGCAAGAAACAGCAAATCACCCTACCTTCAGTTGATGAATCAAGTTCCACAACAAAGTCTTCAGTTCCTTGAATGGAATACTTCTCAAGCAGCGCATCAAACACCACAGTTATCAGAAGATCCACCATCTCATCTCCATCTCTACCCACATTTTCTCTTTTTTCAAACTCCAGATCAAAATAGAGATGGCAAGGAAATCCCTGTACATAAAACAATTACCAGAACATACAAATCTTTCATAAACTTCCTCATCACAGTTTGATAACTATCATATAATCGCCATAATCATTTCTAGATACTGATTCAAATAAAGGAGTATACCTCTTGGATTACTTCATAATGATGACGAAATTTGGGATTCATTTCTTTATACCTATGTAAATCCAACAATCACAAACACAGTTCAAATGCTGGGGATGGGAAACATACATACATTTCAATCTACATCAAATGCATAAATATATCAAAGGAATGATATCTAAGCATAAGAGAAGGACTTGCCTCCGCCAGAACTCCTTATATGTTGAAACAAGAAACCTCCTCTGACCGTTCATGTGATCTTGATAGCTGAAAACAGGAGCTGTCATATGCTGTTTGGCGAATTTCATTGCTTCATCTTGCCTGGGGAACGTAGTCCATACTTCTTCCCTAACACAAATATCACGATAAGGTTTCAATTGAAAAAAAAAATTATATTGCGTTGGAGGGAAATTTGGTTTTCTTCTCTTATTTTGTACCTCAATTTGTTTTGTTCGGCGAGATCAACTCGAATTTCACGCAGCAATCGGAGCAGACGCACAGGCTTTTTCGGAGGAACACCATTTGGAGAACCGTAGAATACGATAGGAGAGAATTGCTTGCCAAATCTGTTCGCATGTACTGTCTTATTTTCAGAGGCGAGTGTGTGGAGTTGCGGTGAAAGATTCTGCTTCAATTTTCTCTTTTCTGTTCTTTTCTCTCTGACGGCAGATTCTGAGTCGTAGAAAAATTAGAAGCATTGTTATCGATAGTCCGAATATTTCAATTTACACTCTACAGAGATTACAGAACGCGAAGCAGAGGAATGAAAAGAAAAAAAAAATGAAGAGAGAGAGAGAGTACGCGGAGGAGAGGTTCCACATTTGAAGCATCGAAACAAGCGATCCACGTCGTCCATGGAGCTTCCTGGCTTCCCGACGAAGGTCGTTCAATAGTTCCCGGCGGCGTAAGGCGGCGTGGGAGACGGTGGTACTGTTCTACTGGTTTTATTTAAGACGCGAGCAGGTAATTTGAATTTTGATTTTATTTGGCCGGGGCGATTTCCCTCTATGCTAACGCCAGATTAATTTTTAGGTGTTGCCAAACCATCGTACATGCTACGAAGCGTTTTGTACAACCCTTGTTTTGATATCCCTAGCATGCTTTTCACGTGCTAATGAAATAGTAGTATATCAATTGCCGGGACTCCACCACCCAAACATGGCGTTAGCTGCGTTTACATATCCAACTTTCACACACACACACACAAATATAAAAATAAATTGTATTTTCTTACTAAAAATAATTTTATTTTTTTATGACAACAAAAAAATAGATATAAATTTGAGTAGGATGGTGAATATTAACCGAACAGCTAAACCTAGTGAGAATTTAAAATATCTTGTAATAATTAAATGTTGATATAAATTTAAAATTTTAATATTTTAAATCCGTATTGAGTTATCCTACCATCCATCCCAATGTATCGTGTCTCCTAATCTTTGTGTCGCATTTAATTATTCCAATGAATACATCACTACATTCTTGATCACTTAAGTTATTCTACTCGAATTTTCGAATATATGTGATGTGTAAAGTGCATTTACCTACTCTACTAAAAGCACTGCTTGAGGAAGCTTCCTTTTCTGTTTTCTAGCAGATCATCCATTCCATTCCAACATCGATTGAACTCGATTCTTACATAAACCATCAGATGTCATCTTGTTATCCTCTGTTGTAATTTAACTTCAAATCTAACTGCTCTTGGCTCTTCTTGTTGCCATTATATATACTACACTCTATAACTATATCCATCTCTGATCTGTCTGTTTAGCTTAGTTTGTCGATTCGACGCAATGGCAGCTAACGATGTCCCATGTTGCGAAACGATGTTTTGGGTATATTTAGTCATATGCGCCGCACTCGTTTGTTTTGCAGGTCTCATGTCTGGCCTGACTCTCGGCCTCATGTCCCTCAGCCTCGTCGACCTTGAAGTCATACTCAAAGCCGGCCAGCCGGAGGACAGAAAAAATGCCGGTGAGAGTTTCTCCCCCTCGCATAGCCAGAAACTTTAGTCGTTGATTCATTCGATTTTCGAATTCTTGCAGAGAAGATTCTCCCAATAGTCAAGAACCAACATTTGCTGCTATGTACACTTCTTATATGGAATGCTCTTGCAATGGAGGTACTTAATTCTCCTTGAACGAGAAATTTCGAGATCTTTTAATATTTACTCGCGTTTTTTGTTTTTGTTTTTTGTCTTGTAAGGCTCTTCCGATATTCGTTGATGCTCTTCTCCCAGCCTGGGGCGCGATCCTGATTTCGGTCACTCTCATACTTATGTTCGGAGAGGTACTAAGTCGTAACGATACATACATATATATATGTGTACGTATTTAAACATCGATGCAGATCATTCCTCAGGCTGTATGCTCTCGCTACGGGCTGAATATCGGGGCAAGATTATCGGTGATAGTTAAACTTCTAGTTTTGATCGTTTTCCCTATATCGTTTCCCATCAGCAAGGTGCGTCGAATGGCTTCTTATAACCCGAGAATTCAGTAGTGCTTAGAGTTTTAAAATCGAGCGATCTATATGTATATGTCGACTAGCTTTTGGATTTGCTGCTCGGGAAGGGACACTCGGCGCTGCTGAGGCGCGCCGAGTTGAAGACACTGGTCGACATGCACGGGAACGAGGTTAGTTATCTTAGAAAATCGAAAACAAGCTTAGCTGAATTCCTGAACTTGATCGATCGATCGAACTTTTTTGCTGTTAGGCTGGGAAAGGAGGCGAGCTGACACACGATGAGACTACTATAATCTCCGGGGCTCTCGACTTGACCGAGAAAACAGCTAAAGATGTCATGACACCGTTGTCCGATGTTTTTTCTCTCGATCTCAATGCTAAGCTCGACGAGTGCGTCTTCCCTGTCCGGATTCTTCTTCTATATATAACATTTTTTGTCATGTTGATTGAATGCTATGTTTTTCGAATCCTTAGGGACACGCTGAGTCTAATAATCAGCAAAGGGCACAGCCGGGTGCCGATATACTTGGGAAAACATACTAACATTGTTGGCCTTGTTCTGGTAACTAAACTTCCTTAGCCTACTTAGTTTTATTTCTTCCAAGACTTCATTTTTATGCGACGACAACGACGGCGACAACAACTATTGATGCAGGTCAAGAATCTGATTAAATGTCATCCTGAAGACAATACTCTCATCAGGAGCCTTACCATAAGGAGAATGCCTAGGTACAAGATTAATGTTGTTTTTGTTCTGTTTTCTTAAGCTCTGCTAATCGGATTTTGATTTTCAATTTTGTCGTAGATTTCACGAATGTCTCCCGTTATACGACATACTGAACCAGTTTCAGAAAGGCCAAAGCCATATGGCTGTCGTGGTTAGGACCGCTACCGACGTCGTGGAAATCACAACGGATGCGAAGCCGGAGAGATCATTGGAGAGAAATGGCAATCATAGATCGAGCAAGAAGCGCGCAGACAGAAACATCGACGTCATCGATGGATTAGGCTCTTTTTGCAACCCCGACGAAGAAGTTCTTGGCATAATCACCATGGAAGACGTCCTCGAAGAACTTCTTCAGGTCATATATATATATATGTATGGTAAACTATGTTTTAGTCCCAAATTTGAGCATCTTTGTCATTTTAAGATTTTAAATAGATTTTTTCTAAAAATAGTTCCGTATACCACGACCTATAAAATAAAAATATTTTTTAAGAAAATTTCATGGGTCATTGACGTGGCATCCTACTTGGAGATGACATGTCAGCTGCGTTAATGTCACGTTGACCAACGTAGCAACTCCGGCACCGGAAGACTATTTTAGAGAAAAAAATTTATTTACGGAATTATTTTTAGACATAGTCTATTTAAAGTATTAAAATGATAAAAGATGTTAAATACGATACTGAGAAAATAGTTTACTCTATATATATTACAATGCATGAAAAATGCTTGCTTGCTAGCTAGCTATCGATCCATGGATAGTTTGTTAATCTCTTCTCTGTTTCGACAGGAACAAATCTTCGACGAAACTGACGAATACGTCGACGTTCACAACAAGTATGTTCTTACAATGTCAGCTCTACATCGACACAATTCTTACAATAACAGCTATTAATCCATGTTCTTGTTAGGATCAAGATTAATCTAATTCCCTCGGCAAAGGGGAAATCGAAATCTCCCATCGGAAAGGCTTCGCCTTCAAGCACGAAATGGCTTACGTCTACTCCTTCTCCGCCGTACTCTTCCAGCCATGCGGCGCCGCTTTCTCCGTATGCGCAATCGCCCGGAAAGTCGCCGGCGGCTTCGCCTGCCGGGTCGCATTACAGATCGCCGTCGACATGTCAGGTTCGAAACTAATCACAACCTTTTGTACGAATGTTCTTAGGCCAATGGATAGATTGAAAAACTTATCCGTTTGACTGTTTTGATTTTAAATAGTTTTTAACGTGATATTAAAAAAGTGAATGGCTCGTAACTTTATGAATGCTTGCAGGTTTCCAGAAAGTCTTATGAGAAGCTTAGGAAGCCTGACAATCCTTAATCTCATCTGTTTGTACATTGTTTGTTTGTGTTTTAATAATAATAGTAATAATAATATATGATATATATAACATCGATTTGGATCAGTTGATGGCTGGGGAAGAAACAGAGGGCAGAAAGGTTTGAACTAATGCAGGTAAGAAATATGAGGGGGTCAAAGTGGGACTTTGTAAAAGTCTTGGGGACGAAAGTAGAATACGCGGAAATTAAAAAAAAAAAAAATCCATTTGGGCAACGCTGAACTTTATCAACGGCGACATTTTGCATTAATTAAATAGCGTCATTGTCAATGATAATGTAATTAATAAATATCGTTAGTAAACAAAACTTTTACTATTTATTTAAGAGAATATATATATATATGGTTTTCATCGTTTCCATTTGTTCGTTGAGTTAATGCCGTTTTTAGCCTCCTCAGACATCATCCGACGGTTTCCTCAATTATTATTTATTTATTTATTTATTATTATTACAGTGAATAATGTGACAGCCAACAAGGAACATATAATAATAATAATTATTATTATTATAATATTTATATAATCATATATGACAGTATAACAGCATAGTCATATATAATTATATACTGAAATATACATCACCGTGTAACAACATCGTGTATCAGTGTACATGGCCGTGTATTTTTCAGGTCAACTGCCACGTCACATCTGCTATATCTACGTCAGTAATTTCCTTTAATTTTTTAATTGTAGGATCAAAATTGATTGAAATTATTTATAATAAGACCAAAATTGATGAATTTTTTTATATTTTGACCAAAATTGATAAATTTTAATTATATTTGGACCAAAATTGATTTTTTTCCTTTATATATTTATTTTTGTGGATAAATAAATTATATATTGTAGTATATAATATGTATATATATTACTCCCTCTGTCCTAATACAATAGTCATGTTTATTATTTTTATCCGTCTCGATAGTCTCATTTTCATAAATAACCATATTACTATAAAATTATACTTCCTTTTCATTATTATTACACAATTATCACTACTTTTTATACTAATATATTCATAAGGACAAAAGAGTCTTTTACCCATACTTTTTATCTACTATCAATATAATATCAATATTTTTTTAATCTCATGTTAAACACAACTCAGATTATAGTCATGGGACGGAGAGAGTATAATTTTTAATAATATTATCATGTTACTAAAAAATATAAGTGAACAAACCCAACATATTTAAAAACAAAAATGATTATAAGGTATTCATTTTACATTTTTTTTAATAAATATTGTTTGAAACAAAATTTAAATTCAAAATCCCAAGACAAAGTAAAATACTCCTATGGTGATTTTCCATTGGTTTGTATAATAATAAAAGAAGTGGGGAGATTGTGATCATTTGGGCATAAAGGTGCTTAAATATGTTAGTATTTTAAAATTTTTGGGAGCAAATAGTCTGTTTGATTTGTGTTTTTGTTTATTTTTTTGTATTTAAGTTTTATCCTTAGGTAGTAATTTCTTTTGATATTTTGTTAAAATGAATATTTTAATAAAAAATACACTAGTTATATAATTATAACAAATCTATACACCATAACCGATAGAACCAAAAAAAAAAAAAAAAAGTTACGGTTCGGCTAGTGTGATTTATCTGTCCAACCTAGTTTGAAGGGTATTAAATTCGATCGGGGTATCCAGTGCGTACTTTCGAGTAGCGCCTGCAGGTTTACACGTAGCAATAACAAGCAATAACTTCAATTTTTGGGGTTTGTTTAGTTTTTTATTTGAATTTAAGGTTTTGATTTGAATTTTAATATAAATAATACCTTCTCTGTCCCAAACGATTTAAGGAATATTGATATTATATTGATAGTAGGTAAAAAGTAAAGGTAAAAAACTTTTTTGCCATTGTGAGTGTATTAGTGTAAAAAACAATAACAATTGTATAACAATAATGAAAAAGTAATAGTAGTTTTATAGTGCTATGATTATTTATGGAAATGAGACTATTGTTTTGAGACGAACAAAAATGATAAACAAGACTATTGTATTTGGACGGAAAAATAGTTTAATATAGTGTTTTATAAAATAAAATGATATATTTTTATTAATAATTGTGTTAGGTGAACAGTATTAAAATAAATTTGAGATTATAATCTGACACAATAGCCGTTTTATTTTTATTTAGTGTTTTTTGTTATTATTTATTGATTTTGAAATATTAAAATTTTCATTTAAATAATAATTAATGTAATATTTTTAAGAATATGTATATATATTTCAGAAGATATAAATAATAAAAAATTGTATAGTAACTGAAGAAAAAGAAAAAAAAAATATTTAATTTCCTACACTTAATTTTTTTGTGTAAAATATATATTCGATGTGATATTTTATGAAAATAAAATAAAATAAAATACTATTATTAATAAATAGTGTTAAAATTTATGTAAATAAAATTATAATTTGTCATTTTTTTTAAATGAACGACCACAAGATGATGTTAGGAACAACATATAAATCGACAAAAAAATGTAGCAATTTTCCAAATACACATTCCACAAGTTCAATTTTAAATGATAAGATATTCAACATCGAAGATCTAAAACCGAATCAAACTTATGACTTTTTCATCAACTTATTTATTTATTTATTTTTTTAAAAAAAGTCATAATCACTGTGTGATGAACATAAAAACTAACGACAAAAATAATAGATAAGCAAAACGATCATAAAATGTCCAATAAAAGCTTAGGTTTTGGAAGCATTCTTTGTTCTATTATTGATGCTTCTCGTCGTCCAACACGCAATTACTATAAATTTATCAATATTCGAAAAATAAAAATAAAATTGGAAATTTCTATTGGAACTATGAACATCCTCAAAATTTTATTGAATTATAGTACCACAACTAGTAATAATATAAATAACGATTTATTCAATTAATACATACATACAAAAATATATACACAATTATATCCAAGAGCCCAATATTTAATTATTTATTTTTCTCTGGCAAGAAAAAGTCCCACCTCTTTGCAAAATATAATAAACAAAAATACCAAAACTACCCCCGGAAATAAAACAAACAAATTTCAACAATTAACAAATTACACACCCGTTGGGATCCTCCTCCACGCTCCGTTGGCCGTACGGCGGCGGCGGCGGCGCGTGGTACTGGTACTGGTACGCCGCCGGGTAGTAGTACGGTTGCTGGTAGAACGCCGGAAGAGCCTTGATTACATTCGGATCCTCCTTCGGACCGTCCTTTTTCTTATCGTCGGGCTTCTTCGGCTCCTCCTTCTTAGGCTCTTCCTTCTTCTTCTCCGGCTCCTTCGCCGGCCCGACGGAGACGATCTCCGTGCGGCAGAGCTTCCGCAGTCTCGCCACGACAGCGACCGGATCTATGTCGCCGGTGAGCACCAGCTTCTTCTCCTTTGGATCGAATGCTATCGACTCCAACCCTAAATAGAATTGGGGAGCCATAAACGAGATTACCGAAAGTTCGAGGATCGAATTGCAAATATGACGTAACTGTAGAGAACTGTACAGTAACGCACCTGAGAGGCCGGAGACCTTTTTCATGGCTTTCTGCTTAATTTTGTCATCGGCAAAGTCCAGCTTCAGCACAATTTTCTGCAGAAGAAACCCAATTCAGACATCAGTAATTAATTTTCAGAGACCCAACAAAGACCATCAGTGTTTTTATATTACAAAGAATTAAGATCAGAATCAGAATCAGAATATATAAAAGAATAAAGAGCAGAATGAACTGACCTTCATTTCCTTTTAATTTCCAGGAATTTCAAGATCCGATGAAGAAATTACAGTTGAAAAGTGCAGAATAAAGACGACGATTTAAGGGAAGAAGAAGAAGAAGAAGATGATTAGGGTTTAGGAATATTCGAGGTCGGGAAATCCGAGGAGGAGAAAATGTCGAAACCAATGGCTTCCCAGGTAAGAATCATTATTGTGCATTTCTTGTCTATATAATATTGTAGCAGTACACATACAGTGGAAGCAGGCAGGCTGAGTCAACAAGGTCAACCGTCAACGTCGTCTTGCTTACGTCAGGGTTTTAAAATCCTCAGTCGACGTTGTTGAATTCTTACAATACGATGCCGTTTGGAAGATTCCTATCCTCTGCATGTAATTCTTGGTTGAGGGCCCATCTCTTGAAAGTTCTTTTGTCCCATTGTTTTCCTTTCCTTGCCACCCAAATTTCATTACCAACAATCATCGTTTCGATTGTATATATACTTTTGATGTTTTAATTCTCTATTCATTCGGTAATAATCTATCTATTTTCATCCGTTTTATACCAAAATATGAATTTCATTTTCTAGTAAAGGTGTGTTTGTTCGGGGGTTTGGATTTTGAGTTGAGATTTGAATAGTAAAAATTTTGAATTTAAATAGTTGTATTATGTGATATAATTAGGTGTTAATGTGATGTTTTGAATGTAAAATTGATTTTTAGTATAATATAAAAAATAAAAAATAGGTGTTTGATTTGATGTTTTTTAGGGAAAAAAATAGGATGAATAATGGAATTAAAATTCAATCCCCCAAACAAACACACCCTAACTATATTTTCTACTTAAGATTATAAACACTCTTCAAATTTACAATATATTACACTTATATTTACATGATACAATATAATACTAATATTTTCAAACTGTGTGAAAAAACAAATAGATAAATAGATATTAGACATATTTATTATCAATAGTAATATTTATATATATATTTATAAAATATTCCCTCCGTCCCACCAGAATTTAACCATTTGATTAGGGACAAAGTACTTAAGGTGAGAATGTTTAATTAGTTAATAATAATTAGTTATAATATTATTATATTATTTTTTGTATAATTAATAATGCTTATAGTTTTAAAGTAAATTTAATATATATTATTAACAAAATTAAAATATATGTTTAAATATTTAAAAAATATATAGCAATTAAAAAATATATGTAATATGTATATTATTTATCTTGTAAAGCATAAAATCTTTTATAATACAAGTAAATAAAAAAATATTTTTGTTTATTTATAATTAACATAAATAAATTTTATAAAAGATGTATGGTTTTAAATATAAATAAAAATATTTATTTTTTAAGGAGAGGGGTAGAAATAAAAGGGTTTTGAGTGGATATTAATTAAGTTGATTTATATTTATTAAATATATTTTAGTTTAATAATTTTAAAAAAAAATAGAAATGTGTCAATTGTTATGAAACAAGACAGAAATAAAAATAATATCAATTGTGATGAGACGAAAAGAGTATTACATAAATTTTTTTATTTTTATTTTTTTTTGATAAAAAATCACGGAGTATTAAATATTAAATATTTTATTTTTGAAAACAAATTGTGTAATTTAAAAAAGTTGTACTCCATTTAAATGGAGTGTGTATGAGTAGTATGAGTGATGATTGACACCTCCTCAAGCTTTTTATTATTGTGGCTGCTGCGTCTGCTTGCATAACTAACTATTAATGGTGTATGATGGAAGCTTGGTCACGCATCCTCGTATTAGTTTTACTATATGTATATATATATATACTTACTCGGTCAAAGGTTCTTAAATTTTTATTTTTGTTTGTCCTAAAATTTAGTAATTGTACAATCTACCTAATATAATAAATGTTCTTCTAATTTAGACTATATTACACAAATATCATTACTTTTATATTACACAATACTAATAAAGATATTTTTGTTTTTTTCACTACAATATATTATAATACTAATATTATAAAATTTATGTACAAAAAGTAAACGACAATTGCACCGGGACTGAAATATTAATTTCTTTTTGGATGCATGTGTAAGTGTAAAACATTTAGAAACTTATTGGGCTTGTAATTCCAAACGTGTTTCAAGAATTTAGCCCACAAAGTTGCTAAGCCCATCATTGATAATATTTTTTTATTCTAATAATAATATATAGTTTTGCTAGAGCAAGGGTGTATTTAATTTGAGAGCAAACACAATGGGCAAATTTTTTAAGGGTGTGTTTGTTCGGCGGATTAGATTTCCAATATACTATTCATCCAAATTTTTTTTTTTAAAAAAATATCAAATCAAACACATATTTTTTTATTTTTATATTATATTAAAAATCAATTTTACATTCAAAATATAATATCAATACCTATTTATATCACATCATACAACAATTCAATCAAAATTTTTCGCTACATCTTATGATTCTCAAGTCATGCATATTGTAAATACGATACTTTTTAAAAAATATAATCCTCTCATATCCTATCCTATATATAACTATAGTAAAAGGTTTGGACCCCACCCTCTCTTAATTTCTGACATTTTAGAATTTTGGAATTTTCAACAATAAAAAAATAAAAAGAAATACTCAGTCAAATTTTACAGTTTCACTCAAATTTTACAGTTTTTTTACAGTTTTCTTTTCTGTGCAATTTCTTCCTCTCATACTCACATGTATTTCTTTGAAGATAATTTCATATTACGCTTTTTTTGTCTCCTCAGAGAATTTTCATATTTTGCTTTGGGTTGAAGAATTTAGTTCTTTGAAGAGAGTTTCGCCTTTTAACCATTTTGTCTCATTAGAGAATTTTCATATTTTGCTTTGGGTTTGAAGAATCCGGTTATTTGAAGAGGGTTTCAGATTATAGCTTTCAACCATTTGTCACACCATTTGTCTCCTCAGAGAATTTTCATAGCTTTGGGTTGAAAATTCTGGTTTTTTGAATAGGGTTTCAGATTACGGCTTTCAACAATTTGTCACCTTAGTGATACGCATTTGTCTCATCAGAGATTTTTCATACTTTGCTTAAATTCGGATCAATTTTCATATTTTTTTACATGTAATTGTTAATTATTTTATTTCAATTTGTTAATTGTTACTTTGTTTTCTTTTCTTGTGATGCAATTCTCTTTCTTGTGATGCAATTCTCGACATTGATGATGTTGATTGTGGAGTGTGGATGCATTTGAATCTGAAGTTAACTATACCCTATTTTATTTATTTCTTTGAATGATAGTAATTGAATTAAAGCAAATTAGGACTCTCCACCCCTTTGGTGTAGTCCACTCAAGTGGACCCACCATTTTCTTATTTTTGCTGATTACTTACTTAATATATATTTCGTATCTATTTATGTTTATATAGATGAATACCGTATGAAGTATCAAGGTTTTTAGTATCTTTATATTTTTGTAGATAGTTTTATGGAGAAAATTTAGATATAATTTATATATTTTTTGTTTAGATAATTTTAGTATTTTTTAGAAAGATAATGCATATGCATTAATTAAAAATTTTGAATTACTTATTTTTTTTCTAATAAGTAAATATATATTTCTTATCTATTTATATTTATATAAATGGAAAAATAATGCCAAAAATTTATTTGACTGCATTTACAATGTTTGCAAGAGCAGATGCTCCATCTCCGGTGTTTCAAGTTATAGTTATGATAGATTGGTGCGAAAAATATGAATATGAAAAGACCTTAACAATTATAACTATTTTTTTCTAATTTTTTTTGAAATTATATATTTTTTTCCGTAGTTTATAACTATTTTTTTCTATTTTTTTTGAAATTATATATTTTTTTCCGTAGTTTATAAAATAACTTTTACTTAAATATTATGATTTATATTATATACGATTCATGTACAATATTTTATCTACTTTTATTTATATAGTGTAAAAATAATTTTATTATATATATTTATTTTATATAATTATAAATAAATTATATATATAAAATTTATCAAATATATAATTACATTACAATATTGTTTTTAACATATTTTAATTATATATACACCCGTGCAATTAGGTAAAAAAAAAATAAGTAAAATAATTATTAATTAAATTTTATATATTTAATTGATTTAATTAAAATTAAATGTTTATAATAGATAATAAGCTTATATTTATTAAATATAAAATATACTTGTATTAGAACAAAAAAAAAAAAGAGTATTTTTTAATAGACGAAAAGAGTGATATTTTGTAAATGAGTAAAAAAAGTATAAACTTTATTATAAATAGATTATTTACGTTAGAAAATTATTCAATTGAATTATCCGAAAAGAGATATTTCTAACTTTTATTATAGCTATCATTTTTTTGTCTGATTATTGGGTCTGCACGTTAGACAGCGCAACTGTAATAATTCCTGTCAGGCCCAAAAAGGCTTTGTCGATAAGGCGGGGTAGGAGCGGTCAGCCACTCGACACGTGTCGGCATTTTATTGGAACGTTTTAGAGTCACCTAAGAACCCAGAAGCAGAGGATCTGAACTCGAAAAAGTCGGCTGAGATTCCACCTATAAATTGAAGCTGTTGAAAATATTTATAAAATAAACAAATAAAAAAAAGGAGTCTCAGTCTGCGCCGCAGAATCTCTGCATTTACTTCACCATCATCGTCACAAAGGCCTACCAGAAGAAGGATCAGAATCCTTAAGATTAGATACGCGCATGGTGTCATTGAACGCGAACCCACCCGAAGGCTTCTACCTGGATGCGACCGGCATGGCTCTGCCGAATCTCGGCTCGTTTTCGTCCCCCGCGGCGGGGAATGCGGCGGCGCCGTTGGACGACCCGAGTAAGAAGGTGCGGAAACCCTACACCATTACCAAATCGCGCGAGAGCTGGACTGAGCCCGAGCACGACAAGTTTCTCGAGGCACTGCATCTGTAAGCCTGTGGTTTGGATGTTCAATTTTTTGAATTTGTTAATTTGTTGGAATTTAGGGCTTTTTTAGGTGCGGCGATGAGTTGATGGTTTCTGAGTTGGTTTGTTCTGGTTTGGTTGAATTTTGGGGTTTTCGTAATTCTTCTTTGGGTGCGGCCTGATATTTTTGATCGGAAATAGTTGAACAAGTTTAGAATTGAGTGTTAGTCCTGAGGTTCTCTTTCTAATTGTTGTCAATTCTATCAATCTTTTGATTATCGATTTTGGTATTCTACGCTCAATTTTGAGCGTATTTGTTATTATTATTTGTGTTAGGGTTTATCACTACAGGAGCTTCATCAATGTATAAGATTTGAGTATGAAATCTGTCTTGTGAAGGGAAGATTCATCATTTTTTGCAGTTCCTTTTAATGATTTTGTTTTAAATTAAAGGGGATATTCGATAATGAGGTTGATCTGAGCTAGTGTTATGTAGTACTATTCCTATGTCAATAAAGATCAAAAGTAACCAAGTTCAAGACAAGTTTTAAATATTTTTATTAGGGAGAAGGGTTATAAATTATGCTGACTCGATTTATAATTTTCATTCAGTTTTGACCGTGATTGGAAAAAAATTGAAGCATTTGTTGGATCAAAGACAGTCATTCAGGTAATTGTTGCATATCATCAGCTTGATTTTCTAGGTAAAGTTGCTTGACTATTTTCTTAAGAAAGTGGCTCGAACTCCTATACATATAGCAATTATTTGAATTGAAAGCTACTTGTTAAGAATTTTATTCTCCGATTGAAAGTATTGGTGCAATCTCATTGACACGTGTAATGCCTTTAGCTGATTCTTTTTACATTGCATCATACTAAAAGGATATCTTGTGTCCATTTGATAAAAATCCATTCATATAATCTGAACATTTCTTTGTAGTTAATTATGCTATAATGTTTCGACTTACATATCTAAGTTCATACAATGTGATTTGATGTTTGCAACATCTATTGTCAAGTAATATTTTAAAACTTAGTTTAAATGACACATAAGATTCTATAAACATCTTTCAAATAAGTGGGAAGCATTGCAAGAAATCGTAGAATGCTGTCTGAAAGGAATGGGAAAGAGCTTTTGATGGTTTGGTTATTGCACATATCAGGAATGCATAATTTGCCTGAAAAAAACTAATTTCTCATTTTATACATATTCAAATATACACTAACATCATATTGAATCTGCTACAAATGCGATGCTTGATTAAAGTAATTCAAATGCTATTTGCTACTTTGTTTTTTAATACAAAAGCGAGAATTACAATACTTTGGTGCTTCAAAGCCTTTTTACTTGGGAATCTCTCTATGAAGATAAATATTTGTTGCTAGGGTTATTGGATGCACTTAATTTTTTGATGCTACCGTTATAGGATACCATTAGTTGACTGTTACGTTGTAATTGACAAATAAATGACCCCTATAGATACGTAGCCATGCCCAGAAGTATTTTCTGAAGGTTCAAAAAACTGGAACTAATGAACACCTTCCTCCACCTCGGCCTAAGAGGAAAGCTGCTCACCCATATCCACATAAAGCTTCCAAAACTGGTAAGGGTTTTATTCTGTTCAGGCATGGTGGTAGTACCCGATCCTGAAGGTACCTAACTTGTTTTTGTTGTGATTGGTAGCCCCGGCAGGTTCACAGGAGCTATCGTCCTTTCAAGCTTCTCCTGCAATTCCTGATCCTGGAGGTGTACAGAGGCCAGATACATCCACATTACTTGTACATCCTGAGACTGCTGTATCTGTACCTGGATGGCATGACAATTCCATGCATAGCCCCGGCTTTTCACATGTGACTACAGGTTCATTTTATGTTCTTGTCTACCATAGCATTTCTTCATTAGGGGTTTCTATGTTGTCTGTATAGAACTCAAAATTTTGTTCTGCTGCAGGCAATTTCCCTCCTGCTGGGCAGTCAATGTCTAATGTTTACTCTTGTGGTAGCGATGGAAACACTCCGAGGACAAGGTCTAAGGGTGAGATTAGTCAACTATTGAAATTTTCTATTGCCAAAGTGACTTGCTGGTTTGTTTTCAGGTGATCTGACAAAATGCTGCAAAAAAGTTTATTCTTGTTAGATTAAAAAACGAGTCGGTAGTTGTTAGTTAGCCAACGAGGACAAGTTGAGCTTAGCCCATTGTGGGCAACCCACGGTGCCAAGATAAGTGCAGCCTATTTTAGCCTCATTGTGGCCATAGCTTAATGTAAACAGTGAGATCCTTAATTGAAGCGAACACCCCAGAATTTTTATGATGCTCTTGTTGATTTGAAACTTAGTTGCTAGTTCTTTATTAACTTGTTTAATATGGATTTTACCTGTTAGTTATTTTCATTTTACCCTAAACCCTTACCACCATTCAATTTATTTGTTGTGCCTCGTCTTGTCATTGATCTCGGGTGGACTGTGTTATTTTTCCGCTCTACTATATATTGGTTTAATCAAATTAATATGAGCCTGTTCCCGACTCTGCAAATGCAGTTCTTCCTGATTTTGCTCAAGTGTACGGCTTCATAGGCAGTGTCTTTGATCCAAATGCAACTGGACACTTGCAGCAACTGAAGAAGATGGATCCAATTGATATTGAGACGGTATTCTTGCTGTGACTCTATTTTGAAGTTTCTCTTTTTAATGAGGACAAGAAAAAACTTAATAAAAAAAGTGGCACCGGTTTTTCATATATATATATAATTATGTATTATTCATGTTTCGTGTTCTATGGTGTCTTCCGACTACTTAGTATTGGTTCTTAGTTGAAGCAAAATTTTTATTACTGACAAGTGTATCATTCATCATTTCATTTACACCTTTCCCTTACATGGACTACTACACAGGTTTTGTTGTTGATGAGAAATCTTGCCATCAATTTAGCGAGTCCCGAATTTGAGGATCATGTAAGTGCTAAGTCTTTCCTCAAATATAAGTGTCGGTAATACGCATATCTTGCTAGAGATTCTTCGTTCTTTCATGTTTTATTGTGTTTGTATGCATTTGTGCACACTCCTTTAGCATTATATTCATCAAGCTATGCTATGCTGACTTATATGGCTTTAGTAATTTATGACATGTTAAGGCTGAAGGCTACATGAGATTTGCATTTGTAATCATACTCTAATTTACTGTTGCAGAGACGGTTACTTTCATCCTATGATACTGACTCTGAGAAGGACATTGCATTTGATGTTACCGATTCCTTTATTAGTAGTCAATCCGAGGATGCTGCATTACATGGTAATATAGTGGTGCATTTCTAGTCCCGGCAGTAATTTTTCATGTTGTGCAATTAGTACGCCTTTTGTCTGAAAAAGAGTGCTGTTTTGTTTATTTTTGCAGGATTCTAATGGAGTTTTGGTGGTGTCCTGGAGCTGTGGAAAGCCGTCAAATTCTAAAATGTAAGTATTCTATTTTCTGATGCGGTAAATTGTCTTGTATGCATATTGACTTGGGGAAAAAAAATGTTCATCTGTCAATTGTTAGAGCTTATTTCTGAAAAATGCAAAATTGGATCCTCTTACAAATTCTTTTTAAATGTCAAAGCTATACACTCCGCGTGGAATCTTTCTTTTTCTAGTATTTTCTTTTTTACTTTTTTGAAATCAGTTATTATAGATAGTACTCTATAGATTATTTGCCTGACACAAACCACTATTATTTGCATAACCTCATTGTTGAAGAATACAAGGACATTCTTTTTACACATGTAAAACTCAGAGAGCAAAACCCAGACATATGCTGTAATCTATTTGGGCAGCACTTATATAGTATCATATATCATCCTTTCAACTTGCTATGCTGTCAGTCTTCTTTATTGCATACAATATAGTTGTTATTTCTGGTATAACAAGTGCAGTATTATTATTATTCAATACTATGTCTACTAGCTAAAACAGATGCATGTATATGCTAGTTTGAGGTTGGATAACTTTGAGAAGCAGGTTGGGTCGTACCTGTCAAGAACATGGCTCCTGGTTCCAGGCCAACCGAGTGGCTAATGATACCAGAGAAATTGCTTCTGTGCTGATCCTGCCAGAAGCCCAGTGCATCTTTCTCCCCAAAGCTTCCTACAACAGCAGGTTGCAGGGAAGTACATGAAGTTGTGCTAATCTTTATATATATATATATATATATATACATACATACATACATACTACACCAGACTAGAACGAATGATGATGCATAACATAGGCTTATAGAGTTGTAATATGATTTGTATATGAACAAAGGTTATATTATATGTGTATGTATAATAATTAATGCAAGGCATGGTCCTATAGAGGTTAAGAGTTAAGAGTATCAATCTATTTTCTGTTCTATTTCCAATTCCGTACAGGACCTATGTGCTTAAATGCAGTCCAATTTCAGTTATAGGGAATGTAAATAGACACATAATTGGTATAGGGTGTAGCAGGAATTTTCATGTCTATATTTGCCAGCACTGCTAAGTAATTTGTTATATATGACTTTATCTGCCTACTTCTAGAGAGTTAAATTGTCATACCTGTAGTAGATGTTCCAAAGCCTTGAAAGATTGTTTGCTGCGGAGTCCACTGCAGGAACTGCATCACATTCATGTCAGATGTATCCACTTGTTCGACAGGGCGTGCATTGATCAGAAGGTGATTTTGCTGCTCTGTACGAATATTTGGCTGCTGCCACAGTGAATACTGAACCAAAGAGTCATGCATTTCGGGTCTGGTAAACATGGCTTCCTTGATCGGAGGTTGATGGAAATATGAACAGGAATACCAATCCTGGCTGGATAGGTAAGGGGATGTATTTGGTGTCATCAATTCTGAGATAAAACTCATCTGATCATTCCTTGTATGGAGAGACGACCTTTTTGGATCAAATGTATCTGGTGCTTGTGAGTAAGGTAGCTGAGGAAGCAGTCTTCTGTGCTGGGCTGAGCCTGATAAACTAAGTTCTGTAGATGTCGCGAAAACACGCGGAGCTTTTGATATATTTTTGAGTTCCACTGCTGCATCTGATAGTTCAGGTATTGGAATGGGAGGAGCCATCAATATATCATCAGTTGAAATTAAGCTGTCTTCATCTGGCAAATTTAATTCTGCTCCTGAATAGGCTAAGTCAGCATCATTATCCGATGCAAGGAAGTCGAAAATTCCAGATATTGACCTCTCTGCTAAAAGTGGAGAGTGCTTCTGAGGCAGGCATGTTTTAACATCAGAATTTGAGGCGGTATCTCCTGTTGCATCAGGTGAGAACTTAATCTCTTTCTGCAATTGTATGATTTCCAAAATTTCAGACCAAAATTCGTCAAAAAGGTCGTTGTCCTGATTTATTTCCTTGGTGAGCCTGGAGTCGATGCTACCACTTCTGTTACACCTCCAAGAGTTGTCTAGTGAAGAATTGATTGAATGAGTTTCAGTATTGCTGCTAGATGAGGCACTTTGATCAGCCTCCATTGAATTTCCTGAGCATTCTGCCTGAAGTTCAGATGAAGCATCCAAAGGTTGTGGCATCATCTGCAGTGAAGAAACTCTGTATGAAAACCTACATACAAGGCACTCTGAAAAGATACCTATTTTGTAGGAAAAATAATGCTATATTGGCAGAAAGTTAACATTTCAACAGTATTTGAATCTGTCAAAGCCAAAACAAAGCCTTTCAAGACATGCCTTTCTGCCCTTATAAATAATATGTCCCCAGGAAACAACAGATGGCCATACCTTAATACAATGTGGAGGGCGGTAAGGATTTTCAGTCTTCCTAAGCTGAAAGAGATCACTTTTAAGGATTTTTCGATCCAATATTCCGGCCTCAGATTCCAACGCCGAATGTATATGCTGAAACATGACATCGTTTCTCACTGCATTACAAGTTAAAATGTGTCAATATTGAACCAAAAGATTTGAATTATACAAGCTTCAAAAGAGTACAAAAACTTTTCAACTAATTGAATTAAACAATTTTGCTTTTATAACAAGAAGAAAATGCATGCACTGAAAGGAAAAATACATATTTTTTCAACGCTAGATGGAATGGCCATTAGAATAAATAGTAGCTTTCATGTCCATCTATTCTAAAATAAGTACATACAAAAAGTTGCCCATACTAACTACAAGGAGAAGAGAGCTATACACATACAACGCATCTGAGAGAAAATGATGAGACATGCAAACCTGAACTGTAGTTTCCTTTTGAGCAACACTCGTTGCTTAAAATAAACATTGGATTGTCCTGTCTTTCACCGGAGAACCCTGAATCCAATCTCGTGGAAGGGACTGAATCAGATGAGTTACATGGTATCTTTCTGGACTCCACCAAACCACTAGATGCTCCATCAAGTTGACTGTAGCTAAGTAAACATCATTTTAAGATCCATGAAGAAACAAAATAGCAATGTTTGGTAAGTTATAAAATCTAAGAGGTAGAAACCTTAGTTTAAAGTCTCAAGTTCACTTAAACATTGTCTTTGTATGACCAGTTCAATAAAAAGGAATATACTTCATCCTAGTTTGAAAAAATTCAGGAAACTAAGTTCACACTACACCATTCATTACTATGTACTGAATTTTTAAGTCCAAGGACCAATTTAAAAGCCTACTTATCCAGAAGATCGATCAGAAGCTCATAAAATACCACAATGGTTTATACAGAATTTCAAAGAGACAGCAGAACCGATACTGATAAGAATGATCACAATGAGCGCAAATAATTCTCACCGCAAAACAAACATGTCAAAATCTCCTGGGAACTTTCGACAGGTTTCCGCCTCATTAAATTCCAAAAGCGAAGCTCTTGTATACCTTGTAGTATTTATTTTTTCGCTTCTGCAGATAAAACAATTAAACAAGTCAAAACCTCTTTTACACAAGATCAAACAAGTCCGCTGAAATAACTTTTACTTTACAAAAATCAATGCATAAATTAATGTTACAGCGTCCAACGCTTGAAAATCAATTATTGCATTACCTGAAAAATTCATCTTCAGTTCCGTGAACTTCCAGCAGCTGCTCCAACCTCCGCTCCCGAACTTCTTCGCTCATTTCAGGCGATTCATCTACAAGTCGATTCAGAAAATCAATGAATAATGAGTATATTTCAAATCCTATCAACATAATAACTGCATCAAAAGCAGAATTGCATTCAGTACTAGAAGCACAGCACTAGCAAAAATCAACAAAAAAACTTAAACCTGTACTGCGTGGAACACACTGCAGCATATTTTTATTTGCAAATCCAAAGAAAAAAATGCAAAAATCATGCAATTTACCTTCATTGCTTGAAATTTAAACGAAGAAAATCTGCAGAGAAAGATATCGGAAAACGAGAGAATAGAGACCCACACATGGACTCAAATTCAGCGCGAAATGTCGTTGCATTCCCTCACTTGCAATTACTTTTATACCCTCCCGCTATTTTCGTGAACGCTTTGTAGTCCATTTTAAGATTTTGGACTTTAAAACATTGTATTTTAAAATGGGCCGCTGCTGGAGAATTTTAATGGGCGCCTAAAAGGCCCATTATTTATTTATTGAGCCACGAAACCCTTAAATATATATTGGGCCCAAAGCGTTAATCTGGGGATAGCTTTATAAGAAACCCTAAATCTCAATTGCTAGGGCACTCTACTCGGAAGCGGCAGCTGCATTTTCTGCATTTGGTGATTCTATCGACTCTCTTCTAGAGCAGAGCAGCCATGGTGCGTGTCTGTTTGTTTGTTCTTTAATATATATGTTCGGACTCTTTTTTACGTTTTTCAGTGTTGATTTTGTTTCTGCGCGCGGTTTGTTTTGTTGGAAGTATGGTTTAATTTGGAGGCTGTTAATCGGTGCTTTGATTTTCAGATTATTCCAGAGAAGAACCGGAGAGAGATCTCCAAGTACCTCTTTCAAGGTGAGGAGAATTTTCTTTCTTGGATTCAGGATTCGTTTGCGTTTGAAATTGTTTGTTGGTGGCGTTTTTACGTGTTTATCTTGGAACAGAGGGTGTGTGCTTTGCAAAGAAGGACTACAACTTGGCGAAGCACCCCGAGATCGATGTCCCGAACCTCCAGGTGATTAAGCTCATGCAGAGCTTCAAGTCAAAGGAATACGTGCGGGAGACTTTTGCCTGGATGCATTACTATTGGTATCTTACTAACGATGGAATTGAGTTCCTGCGGACGTACCTCAACCTGCCCTCAGAAATCGTCCCCGCCACGCTGAAGAAGTCGGCCAAGCCCCTTGGCCGTCCCATGGGTGGACCGCCAGGAGATCGTCCTCGGTAAGTGAAGTGACTGTCTCGTTTCTGCATCTTTAGCATTTGGTTTGTGAAGATCATTAAATACGTTGATTTGAAAATCGTGAGTTTCCAGCTATGTTTAATACGTTTTTATTCTACTCCTTGTAGATTAATGCGAATGTTTTATATTTCCATTCTTCCTCCCTAAATTGTGTGTGGCTCAATTATAAAAGTATGATGTTTTATACTTTTATTGGTGGTCGCTAAGTTTATATAATCTACTCTGGATATCTGCCATAACTTGCATGCGTAAGCAATTATATGGGATCTTATAAGTTTTGTGTGAATCTGACATTATTGCATGTTCTACAATGATTTTTGAAATTATTTCCTGGAAACCGTGTCATAGATTAGTTGTTGTACTCGTTGTCATGCATTCTGTTGTTGCATGTGTGCCCTATGATTTGCACTTTGTGGCTATTGATATTCTTGTATCTGTGTTCATTGATGACATTGTGTAGATTTATTGGTTAATTCATTTTGGTGATTATCTTTAGCCAGCACCCATTTACTTAATTCTGTAATTTTCTTTCTTGGCTTTTTCAGTGGACCTCCTAGATTTGATGGAGATAGACCACGGTTTGGTGGTGATAGGGATGGCTACCGTGGTGGACCAAGAGGGCCACCTGGTGAATTTGGCGGTGACAAAGGTGGAGCGCCTGCTGATTATCAGCCTGCTTTCAGGGTATTTTTTAAAAAAATTTCTATTTGACTTTAGTATATCTTATTTACATTATAAACACTTATGTTATATATCTTGTTTATGTAATAATGATTCCCCAAGAATTATATTGCGTTTCTTAAATTTAGTGCTACACAGCTGATATAGACCTTTTTCCTAGTAGCATTTGTATACTCCTCCAAACACTAACTATAGCTTTGCTGTTTGGTCTTCATTTGATACGATTTGTAGTTTGTCTTATACATGAATTGCTATAAAAGAATTCGACCTTTTGGATACATGCTATTAGTTCAATAATATACATAGGAGAATATTATCAGATCATGTTTACCATCTGACTGAGTTCTTCGATTTGCATGTGGTGCAGGGTGGTGGCGGGCGCCCTGGTTTTGGCCGCGGTGGGGGTGGCTTTGGTGGAGCTCCTTCAAGTTAGGTTTTTTATATCATCTACTTATATAAAATTGTGGCACCTAAGTTGAAGTTTTGCATTTTACCTTCTGAAATGTACTCTCTGATGTTTTTGTTGGTCTGAAATTTTGTTCCCGTGACAAGAACGTGTTGGCTGCACATTTATCTGCCACAATTACATCTTTTTCGTTTGTTTATTTGTTATTATGATGCTTTCATTGACTGGTATTTTTTGCCCCTTGTGTATTTTGTAGTTGCATTATCACCAGCTTGAGCTTTGTACATTGTTTCAAAATGGGTTGGGGTCGAATTATGATAAGTTTAGTTGATCCTTAATGCTGTTCAGTTGGAGCAATGCGTATAGTTTTACAACCTCCTTTTTGTTGGCATTGGCATGTGAGTTACTCAAGTTTATAGTTTGATAATTTAACTCAATTTCAAACTATTTCCCTTTCCCAGTCGCCATTTATATTTTTATTTATTTCTTTCAGCTTTTCATTTATAAGACACTACACAAATTTACTCACACACTTTATTTTACTCTTTAAATAATAACGGTGTTTAAATATTTCAATTGCAAACAGGAACAGCTACTTTATATAGCACGGCCACGGCTCACCTTACAAGATCTTATAAAATAGGCAAAATAACAAAAAATCCACACGTTGATTTTCGAATTTGCTAAAAACCCCCTCTGATTTTAAAATTGCATAAAATTTATTTGTGGTTTATAAAATATTGCATATTCGCCTCTGCCTTCAAAATTGGACTAACGGCGTTAATTTTTTATTTTTTGGACCGTTATACCCTTATATTTATTACTTTTGACCACTGATTTTATCTTTGACCATTATTTTTTTCATATATACATACGTATATACACACATATATTACTAAGACATACAGAGACCCACTCCACCTGCTTTCTTCTTCAGAGACCCACTCCACCTGCTTTCTTCTTCTATCTTTTTTTCTTCTCCATTTTTTTTTTCTCAGTTTCTTCTGTTTTTTTACACATAAATATACACACATACATCTGTATTCTTCTTCCATCTCCTTATTTCTTCTTCCCCTGCCTATACATCTGTATTCTTCTTCCATCTCCTTATTTCTTCTTCCCCTGCCTGCCTACTGTTCTTCTTTTTTTTCTTCTTCTTTCTTCTTTTTTTTTTCTCCATTTTTTTTCCAGTTCCGTGAAGATTCATTTCAGTTTAGGCTATTAGTGATTTATTATGTTTGTTAGATTCATAAATCAATTAAAACTCTTGCCAATTGAAATTTGGGAATTTTGAAGTTTAACCCAATTTTTTTTTAAAAAAAAATTATCTAATTGAGGAATCTTGAAAAAAAATCTGATTCATACATAACTCAGTGATTTAACACAAAAAAAATATATATTTATTGTACAAAAAAAATAGAAAGAAAAAAATTCATATATGCTCTGTCATTCTTACCCGCCATTACCAACACCACATTTCTTAATATTTCAAACATTTTCCTTTCGTCATTTTCTCAAATGAAAATTTCAATTTGAGGATTACAGATTAGATTGATTCTTTTATTATTTTTCCTTATTCGAGCTCACCCCACTCCAATCCACGGTTTATTGCAAATATTTAGGAACTGTCGACTTCTATTATTGCGGAGGTGCGCCTCTGCTGCCCTATTCTTACTGAACTTTTACGGAAGAAAAATAAAGCGATTTAGAGTATAAGAGAACAACAATGACAGAAAGGTTGGGGAAGATGAAAGAGCATAAGAGAGAATAGAGGGTAATTTTGTAATTTTCTTTCTTATATTAAGTGAATTTTCAAGAATACACGCATTAATGGTGCGTGCAGTACAATTGCCGTTAAATATTAACGGTGAATATATTTTTTTGCAAGAAATCACAAGTAGGTAATATAAAATTTTAAAACTAGAGGAATTTTCAGAAAATTTGAGAAATCACAGGAGGATTTTAAGCTATTTTGCTTATAAAATATACTGATTGATTTGGGTGTGTTTACCTCAATCAACCTCCAAACTGCGAACCATAAATATATAAAATGTATTATATATCACTTTGGATGAAGTTTAAGAAAAAAAATAAAAATTTCTAAATTAAATCCATAAATATGTGTATATATATTGCTTTGGGTAGAAACATTCTAGAGGCTTCCACTCCCATCTCGATTTCTTGATCTTAGCCATTGCCGTTCTCTTCCGGCTAAAAACTAAGAAACACGCTTTAGTATTTGAGAACTGAAATCGCACTAGGGGCTCTTTACGAGCTTACTGGATCATAGCCTTTTGGGCCTTAAGGTGTATGGATAATGGGCCGGCCCAGTGTTTGAAATAATTATTTTTTCGTTTTTCCAAATTAGACCCCATAATTTCCAGAAATAGCACAGTTACCCTAGTTATTTTTTCGTTTTGCTTTTGGGTATCATCTCTGCAACTGAAATTACCAGTTTTGTCGAGTCAAACCAGTGACACCAGCTGACCGTCGGAGCCGGAATCCGCCGCCGCCGCAGATCAGTGCCGCTGGATCTTGCCCAATGAGTGACATTTTCTTCTTATTATGGCTGCCAAATCGGTGAAGAGAAGATCAAAGAAGTCTTCATCGGACTCAAACCCAACAAGTTCTACTAACAATTCGATGGCGTCTTTGCCTTCGCCCTTGCGTTCGAGATTTTGGATTGTTCCTATTATAATTACATCTGTTTTGTTTGTATTTGCTATGATTCTTTTTAGCGTTTCGCCGAACAAGCTTAGCCCGCTTGTTTCCGACGCGGACGTTGATCTCATATACGGCGTTGAAGTTGTGAATGAGTTTCCTCATGATCCCGAGGCTTTTACTCAGGTTCGCTCTTGAATTTTTCTTGCAACTCATCATCTTTTTCAAGTGGATTAGCTTACGGTTCGCAATGGATTTGAATTCCGTAGCATTTTCTGGCCGAACTCTTTCTCCTTTCTATTTTTAATTGTATTTTGTGATGTGTAGCGCATATACTTCCCGCATGTTCAGCTGCAAAAAAAAAGGTAATTATAAAGATGAGTTGGAGTAGTGATCGTCTATCTATATAGCCTAAAACTTTCCACGATGACTTATAGAATTGTATAAACCAACACGAAGGACTCAAAATCCCTTTGTCTAATTTGAAGATGGGAGAAGGATATTTGTGTCCTTATTAAGGTTGCAAATTCTCTTCTATTTCAATACAAGTTGTATTTGGTTTCATAACGATACTTTATCAGTGCACTTATATGCCTTAGGAAAGTGGTTCATTTTATATCTTGTGGATGTACTTGTGAATATTATCTAGTCCCCTACTGAGACTAAGAAATGGTTGGTATTCTGTTTGAGTTTGCTGATAAGTGAACCAATGTTTTTTTCTAAACAACTGTTGTGAATCTTCTAGTTGGTGAGCATGGGACATTATTCTCCATTACAAGGTAACAATATCGGATTTGATTTTCAGGGGCTTCTGTATGCAGGGAATGACTCCCTTTTTGAATCTACTGGACTTTATGGGCATGTGAGTTCGGCTCCAAGGTTTTCATTTTCATATTTTATCAGGAATTTGTTTATGCATATTAGGAATTGGGAGTTAAGTTGCAAATTTAGGCTCTGTTGCACACAACCTTTCACTATTCATCAACATAGTATTTTTTTTTAAAAAAAAATATCACATTAAATAATTATTTTTTCTCACAAAGAGTTACATCAAATACCCAACTTTTATTTTAAAAAATTTTCAATACTCCAAAATTTCCAAAATTCGTATATACATATTTGTTTCTTATGTACCATACCTTGAGATATTTTAGACCTTTTACAAGCAGGTAATGAGTAGCATGCCAATGTCAGCCTAAAAGATTTACCACATGACACTTGCAGCAATAGAAACAAGCTAATAGGAAGAGATTTTTAATAATTACACAGCACTGAATGCAAGATTTTGATACTGAGAAAGTCACTGTCATATTCAAAAGTTCTGAAGAAGGCCATGAATATCTATTACCAAGCTTGCTTATGATCGTGTATATGATTTTAATGTTTTGATCATATATATGAGATCAAATAGACCTATTAATTGAATAGGCACTCCAAGTAAACTTTTCAGTTTCTGAATAGATGCAATTACGTTTCTTGAATTTTCATTTAGTTATTCAGAATTTCTCCTAATGCCAGAAATCTTATTTTCTTGTCTAAAATTGCAGTCATCTGTTCGAAGAGTTGCTCTTAGGACTGGAAAGGTACATTAGAATAGATCAATTTGGGAATCATATGGGAATCTAGAAACAGTTACTCTTATCAAGTTATCTTAACAACTTGAATTTAATATTCACAGGTTGAGGCTATTCACAATATGGAGTCTGCTCACTTTGGGGAGGGTATGACTCTCCTTGGTGACATGTAAGCATGCACAATGATATATATTCTTTTAGTGGTGATCTTGCTACTAAATCAATATTTTATGTTAATGACACATTTATTACATCCATGTTATTTAGAATGTTGTCTTTCGGTCTATCCTTTTATATTGATTCTAGAATGAGTTATACAGATTTAAGAATGAGTCACCTTCTAATTTATTAATCTAATGTAATTTGTAGGCTATTTCAAGTTACTTGGATGAAGGATACTGGTTTTATATACCACCGAAAGAACTTAACCCGAGTTTGTGCCTCACCTTTATTGCTATCTTCATCACTTTGGGGTTCATGCTACTTTCATCTGACACTTTTCATATGTGAAATATATTGTATTTTGGTGCTATTACTTGTTGTATGAAGATACAATTTCCTATAATATTATTGTTGCTAGTGATGTGGTCTGCGGATATGCAGGCACCTTTTGACCAATGCTAACATGGCCAAGAAGTTGAAATTTGAGCCTGTTGCCTAAAACATGAACTTGTAGTTTAAATAAATTTAGTTGATGCTTACCAGTAGTGTATAATTAGTTCTAGTTGGATAACAAACCAAGATTATACAGTAACTTAACTTGACAGATAAATGTGCATAAATGTGACATGCAACTATCTGAAACATCAACCTTTTCTTCAGTAGTTGCAATGTACTAGACTAGCAAGCAGTGTTTCATCTTGTTAGCAATTGATTCATTTTGTTCTCTACTTCAAGTGGTTTCATCAGCACAATTTTATAAACTTCTAGTTCTTCTGCATCTCTATCAACTGTCCATTATATTCCCACTATGCCATGTCTTTTGCAGATTAAGAGATTCACCAGTCCAATGCCTGACGGTTGGGGCCTAGCCACTGATGGAAATATTTTATTTGGAAGTGATGGGTCTTCAACCTTATATCATATTGATCCTCAAACAATGAAAGGTTCAAAATTGTTCTAAAAGATGTCCCATTTTAGCTTTACACTCTTTAATGCACTTTCGACTCAACCAATCAAGTCTTCCCTACTTACCTCCAGTTCTTGCATCCAAGTAGTATTAATACACTGTGCAATCATATATTGATCCCATTGTCATCACATACATCTCTGCAGCTCTTGAAAAACATGTCGTCAAGTACAAAGGCCAAGAAGTTCACAACCTAAATGAACTCGAATACATTAACGGCGAAATATGGGCAAATGTTTGGCAGGTATGTCATAGACCATCCGATTTCCCTCTCTTCAATTATGCACATCTTTCCCCTTAAATTGAAATACCATAATATATCACTACTACAGACAGACTGCATCGTGAGACTATCGAGCAAAGGCTCCCGCGTACTGGGGTGGATCTACCTACCTAGCCTGAGGGAAGAACTATTACAAAATGGAAATACGGTAAATCCCTTCGCTAGATAATCCTCATATCTGACTTTTGCGTACAAAATAGTCCCGGCGCATATGAATCAATCCTCCAAAAATTTCAACAGGGAATTGATGTCTTGAATGGCATAGCATGGGATGAGGAACAAAACCGTCTTTTCGGTAAGTCCTTAAGTACAATCCATTTGAGCTCGAGTTGAGATGATTGTGTTAGGATGTGGACTTGTAACTGATGAGACATTTCTTTTGTTGTTGTTTCGGACATAAAAAAAAAAAAAAAAAAAAAAAAAAAAACAACAACAACAACAGTGACAGGGAAGTTGTGGCCAAAGCTATATGAGATAAAAGTGCAACCATTGAAGAATCCATTGAAGGACCTTATACCAAAGGTCTGCATACTTCCCCGGTTCAATTTCAGACAACATTAGATTCAATATGTTCAACAATTTAACAATATATCTATATCAGAAGATAGACATAACTTCAGTTTATTGGGGTAGGCTAATTAACTTAAGTTTTCTTTGTTATTTATACCTATATCTTTATATATATATTTATCACGTGGAAATCAGTAGTCGTTATTCTTCAATTGCGCTCTGGATAAAACTCCGATCGAATTTAATACTCTACAAACTAAGTCTAACAAGACATGTGCTGATAACCATTTTATCAGTGGATAGGTGCTGATTACAGTTTTATGAAATACCTATTGACTTACGCATGTTTTTCTTACTTTTCTTTTTAGTGCGGTATAGTAGGCCGAATTCGCATATGAGATATGTTGTTTGGCTAACAATTATTATGTTACTTGAAAAGTTAGGAGGGTTACAAAATCAAATTTCAAGATGTGCACTCATTGTTGATTGTAGTTGTATAGGACTCCTTCCGTTCAGCAAAACATGAATCATTTTGTTAGTGACAGGTATTTTAGATAATGTAGGTTATTAATTTATTTTTTATTAATTTATTAATAATAAGTTAATGATAATATATTATTATTTTTTATATGTATAGTGTTGTTGGTATTTTAAATATTTTTAGAATTATATTTCAATAAAATATATGTAATATGGATATCGACAATAAAATTTTATATAATACAAATGAATAAATAATATATATTTATTTATCATTATCATAATTTAATTTTATAAAAAAATGAGAAGTTTTAAAGGTAAATAAAAATATTTGTTAATTGAAGAGAGATAGAAATAAATAAGTTTTGAATAGATCTACATGTAACAACTTAAAAAAAATGGAAAGAGGTATTTTTTTTGGGATGAAGGGAGTATATGTTTTGGCATTTTATGAGTATACTCTCTAGGTTAATATGTTTCTCTGTTTAATGATAGTGAGCCCTATAATATTTAATAAAATATATTACTGATATTTAATATACAAGCAATCTTTTATTGTTTTTAATTATTATGGAAGAGAATACTATAATGTAATTTTATGAAAAATATTGGTAGAAATTATATCCGAGATGTCTTATAACATTCATTGTTATTTTGGCTTCATTATTATTTTGGCGATGAAAAATGTGATTTGATACTGAAATAGTAGGGTCCGGTAATGCCGCGGCGGATTTAGGATTTTGAATTTTGTGGGTCTATAAATTAATTAAATTAAATTAAATTAAAATTAAAATAAATAATTACATCAACAAAAACTTACATTAAAAAGAAATACGAAAATTCAAATTAACAATCACTAATACATCAAAATAAAATAACTATAAGTATTCATGACAGAGATCTTATATTTTAGTATAGTCTATATTAATTTCCATAAACATATTTGTTTCTATAAAGTAACAACAATCATTGAATAATTAATCTCTAATGCTATTATGTAATTTGTAATTTATGATAGTTGTCCAATATAATCTTTCTACTATTGCAATTACTAAGGAAGAAGTTTCGTAGAAGATGTTTTATTTTATTTTATTTTTGTCTCAACAAATTTTATATAAAATTTATTTAAATTTTTTAAATCTCAAAATATCTCAAACATCAATAATAAAATAATCCAATAATAATTTGAAAACCATCAATTTTGCTTATGAAACTTCTGCAGATACAATTCTGCAAACAGATGTTATCTCTTCTTATTAAAAGAGAAAAATCAATTAAAAAAAAAAAAGATATCAATAATTCATTTGGTAGGTCTTGTAGAATATTGCAACCGTCGTTGTTTTATAAAATAAAAATAAAACTAATATTTAGGGGTGTATTCGTAATTTTAGTGATAATTAATATTATTTTATTTTAATTTTTATGTGGATCAATTGAGCCACCTTGTCTAATACTGCATTCACCCATGGGTAAATAGATTAAATACAACGTGTAGATAGAAAATAAAATGTTATTTTCTATTTTCTTTCCCCAATAAAATATAATTTCTATGGACATTAATGTATTACTTCTCCCTCAATTTTAATTCAAATTATTTTCTTTTTATTTAAAACATAACTACCTCTCTCTCGAGAGTGGCGTTTGTTTTTTACACGTAGATTTTTTTAATATTAGTATTATATATTATAAGTTGGAAGGATATTTATTATCTTTAAAATAGTACAATTAAGGAGATGATAACTTTGTTTTGAGACTGACAAAAATAACACCCATTTTTCAATATGACAGAGGAATATTATTTTTTAATCTACTATAAAAAATTTTAAAAATACAAAAAGAAAAATGTACTTAAAAAAAAAAAAAAAGAACTTACACCTATCATTCAAATATCACACAAAATACTTATCTTAAAATATATATATAAAAAATAAAAATAATAATAAACAATGCATTATTTGATGTACTTTTTTTATAAAGAGAAGTTTTTTTTTTTTTTTTTTTTTTTAAATTAATAAAATGAATTTTTAAGTTCTTTAATAACTACTTTTGTATTAGTGATTTATCATTTCGTTTTCCTTTTTCAATGTTAATAGTTGATGATTTTAATGATTATCATTTTTTGAATATATAATATTTTTATCTTATACTATATTATAAAATTATTCAAACGTTGTATGAGATGAGACACAATATATACTCGTATAAAATATTAAATTTATACTGAAATTTAAATGTGATATACTGATAACATTATCCTGCCTCATATTTTGTGTTCATTTTGGATTTGCCTTCTGCAGGAGCAGCACAATAACGTCATATCTGCTGGCGAAACCGCTTCCACCTCTTAATCGGAGCCGTTGGATCATTGCAGATCGGGAGAGATCAACGGCCACAAATTCATACAAATCAAAACCCACTGCTTATCGCAAATTCGCCAAATAAAATCGAAAAGTCAGAACTTCTGGATCCCTCTCCACCAACCGCCACGTGGCGGGTTTTTTAATGTGAATTTTCCATATTACCCTTCCTTCTCCTACTCGTCCCCGTCTCTTCCCACCTGCAATCTCATGAGATCAGTTTTTTTATCCTTTGCCCTTTTCTTTTTTTCTTACGAACGACGCTTGCCTATTGTAGATCCGAACGCTCTTCATATATCGCTTCTCTTTTCCCCATTCTCCCGACCCTCTTGTGCGATTTTTCTGCTTGCTTTTCGAGGAGGTAGGTTATCTGATTCATATGGTTAATTTGTTTTTGGATATTTTGATTGATGCGTGGTTTTTTTTTTTTTTTTGCTCTTTTGTAATTGATTTGATGCTGTATGAAGTTTGAAGGGATTGATTTGTGTTATAATATAGGTATCTCGATTGAGTGGATTGTGCATCGGATTATTGGGGTTTGTGGTGATTAAACTAAAGGGAAATTACTTTGATTTGTTTGCGTACGGGTGTGTGTGGAGTTAAGAGTATTTAGATCTGGCAGATATCAGTGGCTTTGTTTGTATTTTGGAATGTTATTGTTGTTGGGGGATCTGGAATTTAGAGGTGTTATTTGGTGCTCCGAAGGTTGAATCGTTTTCTTGCGTATAGAACAAGGGAATTGTAACAATTTTGTTTCTTTATTAGCTGATTTATTTAATTTCCGATTATAGTTTGGATTATCCCAACTGAGAGTATGTGGAGGCGTTTTAGTAGCCTTTTTAGTATGTTATCGTATGTTTTGGCTAGAAGAGTGTAATCTGAGAAATCTTGGTAATTGAGACCACATTTCTAGCCTTTTTGACAGTTATTCAATATCTGTATGTTTGGATATTGGATTGATTCAGAAACTTGATATGGCTAATTGAAACCAGTGATGTAATTGCTCAACTGCCTTTGTGCTAGATTGGCATGTGTACTTCATTAGTCAATGTTAGTTATTTGCATGTTACAGTTGTTGGAATAAATTTAGACTTTCTCTTTATGCTTACTGCTTCACATGTCTTTTGCCCGTTTTGTGTCTATATACAGCTGGTTTTACGATTTTCTTCCAACTTAGTTTGTTGTAGTAATATCTTGTCATTTGTCTTTCACGTGGAATTTGCGTTGCTGTAGTGCGGGTATAGATGGAGTTTTCTGTCGTACACGAAACTGCTACTTGTTTCGTATGATGTGTTTGCTAAGTTTTGCCCTCTTTATTGCAGGATAGAAGGAATGTGGCCAGTGTAACAGATGAAAAAATTGCTTGATTTTAAATAGTTGTTTCTCTATGTAGTGATTGTAATTGGGCACTAGAGGCTGTGGGAAATTGGGAGCAATGATGAACTTTAGATCAATTAGAAGCTACCAGGTTTCGCTTCTCCTCTCTCCCGTTATTTCTTTCTGGGAATGCAGTGTGCGCAAAATGAGGTATTCATTCAGACCTGAGTGGGTGTAGGCGCAAATTCTATATATCTAGTGTTTTTCTTATTACCAAATTTTTCATTTTGTTCAGTGTTAAATAACAAGCTTCCAAAGGAAAGGAATATATAGTTTTTATTACATAATGTATACATCTTAGGAAAGTTTTCTAGCGAAACTGAAAAGGAATTTCGGGAAAAAAGAACTTGAGTAGATAGGAGTGTGCAGTATTAGTGTCGAGCACGTGCAAGGGTTACTATGGATGGTGGTGGTGGTAAAGCAATGGGTTCTGGAGTTAAGAAACCCAAGAAGAAGCAAGTGAAGGATGAGCTCGATCGGATCAAGCAGGCCGAGAAGAAGAAGAGACGGCTGGAGAAGGCTCTGGCCACTTCTGCTGCTATAATTTCTGAACTGGAGAAAAAGAAGCAGAAGAAGAAAGAAGAACAGGAGAGGCTTGACGAAGAAGGAGCTGCCATAGCTGAATCAGTTGCGCTGCATGTCCTGCGTGGTGAAGACTCAGACGATTCAACTAAATTAGTGCTGAAGAAGAATGAAGGGCCGACCACATGGGATTATGCCGGCGAAGTTGTGAGAGGACGAACGGCTCTGCTCCCTCGTCAAGATCCGCCAAAGTATTCGCTCCCAAACGCTGGATGGGTTACTGAAGCTCATAAGTATGAATTTATGCGCAACCAGTGTGGAAATTCTGGAATGACAGCCCCCCCTGATCGTATGTACTCTCAGTATTTCGGCGTTAGGGGTTGGAGCCCGTTGGGGTTGTCTGCAGATCATCTTGCCGCACAGGCTGTTTCGTCTCTGAGAATTGCTGATGATGCTCGGGTGGATGCTTTTGCGTTCAACCGTGTGCTGAAAGGGTAGCCGGCCGGTAATGTATCTCGACCTTCCTACCTACCTGCCACGAAGTGTTTTGAGTGACGCCTTTGCTAGGTTGTTGTGTATATAATGTATGGTATGGTACGGTATCGTATCGAATGTTTAACTACTGAGCGAGCTCCTACCCTTTCCTGTTTTTGGCTACTACCAGGCTTGTGTTGTTTTGTGTGTTCTATGCTCTGCTGTTATCTTTTGTCGAACCTTGACTTACATTTTGGTGGTGTTGATTTTTAGTGTTTGTTTGTTTGTTTTTGAGAGTTAAAAGTTTTCTACAATATGCATCATCATCAATTCTATTGCTGATTTTTCTGGTCAAATCGGTTGCAAATTAGATCCAATAAGTCAAGTCATATTAGGCTAGGCGAGGCGAATCATGTTTGATAAATAAGATCTAATCGCCCGTCCATCGGTAAAATTAATTCAAACCTTATAAGAAATCCAAGAGTATGTTCGTTTGGTGGATTGGATTTTATAAAACACTCTTAGAAATATTATCACTATCCTAAATCCTATTATCCATCCACTATAATTAATGTGATTTTTTTAATGCCATGAAAAGTTTGCCATAAAAAGTTCCCAATATGATTGAAGAAATAAGGATGGTGTAATCCAATAAATCTACCTAAGAATTTAAATTTTTTGTTGGAATTTAAATAATAAAAATAATTAAATTAAAATAGTAGTATAATGTAATATAAATGAATATTAACGTGATATTTTGAATGTAAAATTAATTTTAATATATAAAAAATAAAAAATAGGTATTTTGATTTAATATTTTTAGAGAAAAAAATTTAAATCAACAGTAAAAATTTAAAAATTTTTGATAAAAATAACACAAAAATTAAAAGAAACTAAAAATAATAATTTTCTAAAATTTAATTTTAAATTTAATTCATAAATATCAAATCAAACGTCATTTTCCATTATTATTTATAATTTATTCAACAACATTTAAATATTATTTATTTCAAAATATCACATATATTCTTTTTTTAATAAAATAATAATTTTTACCCAACATTATCGTTACAAAATTCAAATCTTCAAACAAACACAATTTAAAAATTCATATTTCAAAAGATTCCCCAAAATTCAAATCCAAAATTCAATCGTGCACCTTAAAAATACTGAACCTTACATTTTAAGCATATACAATCAGCATTTTTGTTCTAAATTTCTCACAAATACGAATAGCTTTCCCATTAGTCAGGTAAAATTTTGAGGGTGTAGGAAGGTTTTAAAGAAAAATTAAAATTTAAAAAATATAATAAGACTATATAAAAAAAAATAATAATAAAAATAATTAATGGCGTTTTGTATGACTGACTGTTTGGGCTTATTAGGCCTAATACTTTAGTTGGGCTATTTTCATACTTCTGCAATTTGAACCAGTGGCCGCTCTATTTGTACTTCTCTAGAATCGTTGCCTTCTCTAGTACATTCGTCGACGATTTTGATCGGATTGGAAGTTTGCCGTCGACAGTACTCGCAGTAGTAGGTCTCTCTCTCTCTTTGAAGCTGTGAAACTTTCTTGGCGTTTTATTTCTATGTTGGCCGTTCTTTTCGGCCTTCCATTTTCGGAGTTGTTCGGGGGACTCTAGGGTTTAATCTCATTTCTGTATTTCAGTTGAGGTGCGACTGCGTTACGCTGCAATCGTTAACTTGAAATAAGGTGGAAAATCTGAGCTTAAAGAAATTCCTGTTGAAGATTGAAGAGGCACGACACGGATGGTGACCAAAGTTGCAGGTAATTTTGCTGATATTTGAATTGTGAAATATAGAGCTTTTGTGAATTATGTCGCCTGAAGTTTAAAGTATTTGTATGTCTGTTATACGTAAATCGAATGAGAAATTTGTGATTGTTGGAAAACCTAGGGCATGGTGGATTTGTCATGGTTTTAATGGTGTTTACATTAGGCTTTCGACCACTTCCTTGGTTAGGAAGAACACCTCTGTGCTTTATTTTGTTTATAACATTGATCATTGATAAATGTGATTCTTAAAATGTTGGTGCAAGTATAGTATCTTTAAGCATCAAATATTCTGTGTTCATGTTCGTTGCTAAGTTTTAGTTAACTGTTTAGATTTATATTCAACCATTATCGATTAAACAATGTAGGATTGATGTTGGAATTTTTATTGCAGATTGACTGATAATCAACAGGACTCTGAACCAGTATACCATGGTAGTTTCCATTGTTTTATCTTTTCTATTCATTTTATTGATATGTCGACAAGAGCCCTCATTATATTTAACTAAATCGAAAAAGGTTCTTATCTTCGGATTCCACTCACTACTACAGACGCGAGGTTTATGATCCATAATCAAGTTCAGAAAACTCTCTTTGCAGGACTCCAATAGCAGCAGCGACGACAAGATAGAAAGCAGACTATACATTGGCAATCTCGATCTAAGAATATCCGAGTAAGGCAACACAATTCTCGCAAAACATATACTATTACTTTGGTTATTCACATTTTTAACCAAATCTATCCTTAAATCTTCACAGGGCTGCTCTGATTAAAATGTTTTCCCCTTACGGAAAGATAATATCCGAGGATTTCTTGTGGCACACACGTGGCCCGAAACGTGGTGAGCCACGCGGCTATGCTTTCATCCAGTTCAGCACTAAAGAGGTAAATTGCTCATTTTCTGATCTCTCGATGCATTATAAATTCCTGATTCCTGTTTTAAAGTGAGCACGCAGGAAGCTATACTAGCCAAGGAGAAGATGCACGGGAGAATGGCGTCTGGACGCCCTTTAGTCGTCCGGCTTGCCAGCGAGAAATACCCTGCCGAGCAACCGGCGAACTCTTACAAGAACGCCGGCGAAGGACACCGATCTGGCCTTTCTTCCTCTGGCAGCGGACAAACTAGTCGAACTGCTAAAATTGCTGCAATAAAGAACAAGTTAAGAGCCATGGAGGAAGAGGGCTCCAACAATTCGAAAAAACAGAAGCAATCCGGCGGCGAAGCGGGCTCCGGTGACTGAGAATCCTTCAGCATATGCCTGAAAGAGATGTATATTTACAATTACCCCATCTCTGTCTTTTCTTGATCTAACGATTGAATTTTTATGGGACTTGCAGAATGGTTGATCTTTCTTGCATCTCTTTGCTGTTGTTTTTCGTCTGATTGTGTTTGTATATTTGTAATGAAGCATCGAATTCGCAGATTTTGGTACTAATTTATTTGCATAATTGCCAAAATAAAGAATATGACGTAACGTATTCTGTTTGTTTATTAGTACATGTGGAGAGAAGTGATCATTTTCATGATTTCAAGGATTGAATCTCTGCACTGCGAGATCTTTTTCCACCGATAAACTGAACGGCGCCGCCGGAGGTGTTACGAATGGCCGTAAATAGCCTCCTCCTCCACCCCACCAACTGCCTTCCGCCGCCGGCGCAGCGGCGTTTCTTCACTTCACAGAATCCCCATACTTCCTTCCACTTTCAGATTCCGACTAACCGTTGCCCGTTATTTCAAAACTCCTCGCCATTAACTCCGCTCATCGCGAAAAGGCTCCTCGAGACTTCCGGCGATTCAGCTCGAAGCGTAATCACCAGGTCGCAATTGAGCTTTCCGATAATTTCTCCGGAGGATCAATGGGGCACCTGGACTGCTCTTTTCGCCACCGGCGCATTCGGCATTTGGTAAGTACACTCTCTGATTTTAGGGAAAACTGTAAAATTAGGGTTAATCGATTGATTCCATCGTTGGTTGTTTTGTACACAGGTCGGAGAAAACCAAAATTGGGAGCGCATTGAGCGGCGCATTGGTGAGTACACTGGTAGGACTCGCCGCCAGTAATTTGGGAATCATAGCAAATGAAGCTCCGGCCTACAAAGTTGTATTGGAGTTTCTGTTGCCATTGGCAGTTCCTTTGCTGCTCTACAGGGCTGATATGCGCCGAATTATACAGTCGACGGGGGCGCTGCTATTAGCTTTCTTAGTTGGCTCAGGTACAGACATTTTCGAATATACATTTTTAGTTTTCTACACTGCCATTGTCCCTGTTCTTGAGATATGGATTCGAATTTCGCACTTTGGTTTATCCATCCTCTCCTACTTCGCGGTTATGCAACAGTTGCAACAACAGTCGGCACTGCTGTGGCTTTCTTTGTGGTGCCTATGCGATCGCTCGGTTCGGATGCTTGGAAAATTGCAGCTGCTCTGATGGGAAGGCATATCGGGGGAGGTAATGCGAAAGTAGATAGCCTTACTTTTTGTCCACATACATGCCATCAAATCATAGGACTTGAATGACTAATTTATGACATTGACTTGCAGCCGATAGATTGTTCTTGTCATTGTTCTTGTCTAACTGAAAAAAACAACAAGATAATGTTCCACGTTGATCTGTTTCTGCCTTCTTGACTAGATTGAGTTCTTGTCATTGCTCATGGATGAAGATAAGTTTAGATGTGTTTTTAAATTAATAAGAAGCTTTGGATGTGGCACTTTTTTATAAAGTCCGAAAACATAAGTAAACGTAGTGTTTGATCTTTAAACCTTAACATTCAAATCTACCGTGTAGCTGTCAATTACGTTGCCATATCTGATGCTCTTGAAGTCTCGCCTTCAGTCTTAGCCGCCGGCCTAGCTGCAGATAATGTTATATGTGCTGTATATTTCGCCACACTGTTTGCTTTGGCATCTAAAGTTCCGGCTGAGCCCTCTTCGTCAACAACAGGTGTCTGTACTCTTCTACTGCCATTAGAACATTCCAGACTTTCAATATTGTCAATGATTCGAACTTGGCTGATACAGGACTCAATGAGGAGTCGAAATTCAACAGCAAGCTACCAGTTCTCCCGACTGCCACAGCCATTGCACTATCCTTCTTTATATGCAAAACCGGGAGTTATCTTACAAAATATTTCGGAATTCAAGGAGGCAATCTTCCCGTTGTCACAGCTATCGTTGTCATTCTGGCAACCGTCTTCCCAAATCAGTTTGCATACCTTGCGCCCTCTGGTGAAGCTGTAGCGCTAATCTTAATGCAGGTTAGCACTCATCCACTTACATTGGCACTTGATCATAATAATTATAGTTTCGCAAAAATTGTGTTCATTTCAATTAGGGCCTCAAAATCACCATTAGTGGTGTGTTAAAACCTTACCTATGGCTTCCGTTCTTGATTTTAGAGACTTATTAAATCTTTTTAACTTAGAAATGTACCTTTGTTTGGATCCAAAATTCATGAATTATTTATGGAGTTGGGAAGCAGATATTCTTTGGTGTTATTGGGGCGAACGGGAGCATTAGGAACGTGGTGAATACAGCGCCGAGCATCTTCCTGTTTGCTCTAGTCCAGATTGGAGTTCATCTTGCAGTGATTCTTGGATTGGGGAAGTTGTTGGGGTTCGACCTCAAATTACTGCTGATTGCATCGAACGCCAACGTGGGAGGTCCGACAACAGCCGGCGGCATGGCGACGGCCAAAGGATGGGAGTCTATGGTGATTCCTGGGATTCTTGCGGGCATATTTGGCATCGCCATTGCCACATTTCTTGGCATTGCTTTTGGAAAAGCTGTTCTCAGATTCATGTGAGTTTGCAGCTTTGCTTTGCTTTGCTTTCTATGCAACTTCTCTAGCTATGTCTATGTCATGCACTCTGTTCTTATAAGAAACAACAATTTAGATTTGCTCAGGGGGTGTGTTTTGGATTTCTAATTTGGATTTTTAATAATAATTTTTTTTTGGAAATAACTGTACATGCCCACTATATGTGATATTTGATTCAAAATAAAAATTAAATTACACAATATTTATACAGGACATAAAATATTTTAAATATTTTTTTAATAAAATAAATAAATAAAGAATTGCTAATGTTTTTAATGTAACTGATTTTTAGTTATTTAATGTTTTTAATCTTCTCAACTCACTACTCTTTACAATTTATTGGGTCTTGATAAAAAATTTGTTGTTTTTTTCAATAAAATGTTGTATCAAAATATTATTAGTTAAGATTAGAATTAGCACATGATCGCGTCGGGTGTGCTATTACGTGGATTTTGACTTTTGAATTTGAATTGAAATTGGGTTAATCATATGTACCATTTAATTACTTTCTTATATTACATTCAAATGTTCCTAATTTTTACTTTCTTATATTACATTCAAATGTTCCTAATTTTTACGTGAATTATAAATATTATTGTTTTATATAAATAAAATATAAATAACAAAATACTAGTATTATTTATTAATGTAGTAAATAAATAAAGAAAAAATAATAAATATTATTATTTACTATTTTTGTTAATTCATATTTATAAAACTCATATCACATTCAAATTGTTCTTATTTTTTTATTTTTATGCTCAACTCAAATAAAATTATTTTTTAAAAATAAGACCAAAATCCAAAAAGCTTTTCATTGCTCCCCTCCCATGGCCATGGCTGCCTCTGCTCTGCCGGCTGTGCTTCCCCTAATCACCATCTTCTTCATCGTCATCGTCGTCTTCGTATTCTTCTCCGCGCCGTACGAATAGAGTCGGCGATGGCGGAAGGTCCCCGCGCAGGCTTCCTTCAAATGCTGCTCGTCGTCTACCACTATACGGTAACCGACATTTCAACGTCTCCTCAACGCTCAAATCTAATTTAAATGCCTCGCCATTGGTTTCCACGGACGATCACTGGGGCGTATGGACCGCTCTCATGGCTACCGGCAGCTTTGGTCTCTGGTAATTATGTATTAATCGAAATATATTTTCCTCTGCTTCACTTCACTGCCCTTGCTTGAGTTGAGCGCTTACACGTAATTAAGCTTCACGTTTCAGAATTAGGGTTTAGTAGGTCATTGAATTGGTTATATGCAACAAATTAAATTCGACAAGTACATAAGTATTATATCGATCTGTATAATTGGCATTGGCATTGGGATGGCAATGACATTGATATTTGATAGAGTGAATTGAAATTGAATTAGGTCGTCGGAGAAGACAAAAATTGGGAGTATGGTTAGTGCACCACTAGTGAGTATTTTGGTGGGGCTTGCGGCGAGCAATTTGGGGATAATTCCGAATGAGGCGCCGGCGTACTCGATTGTGTTCAAGTATCTGCTGCCATTAACGATACCATTGCTGCTCTATAAAGCTGATTTGCGACAAGTGGTACAGACTTCGGGTTCTTTGTTCTTGGCCTTCTTGTTAGGATCAGGTTAGCTACCCTACCCTACGCTACCCTACTTTTTAGTTTCTTTAAATATAATGATATATTTTAATTTTATTTTAAATTTTATAATTTATAATTTTTTAAATTTTAATTATAATTAAATTATTTATTATTTTAATTTTATTTTATATTATTTTTTATATTATAATTATTTTTATTGATATATTTTCTAATTAATTACCAATTATATTTACATAAATTCTCGTATTAACGTGAACAATTTATATTTTATATTTACTAATTATTTTATATTTATTGCGACGGTGCTCTCTTCTTCACGTCTCTCCGTCCTTTTCTTTCTTCTTTCTCTTCTTCCTCGCGTTTTCACCTGGCATTTTTTCTCCTTTTTTTTTTTTGTTTCTTTCTTCCTCTACTTAAGTTCACTTCATTCCTCACTCTACCTTACACAAACGTTGTTATATATATATATATATATATATATATATAAATCTCCATCTTGAGCCGTGCAGCAATCAATTATGTTGCAATATGTGGTGCACTCCAAGTTTCTCCCTCAGTCTTTGCTGCGGGTGTAGCAGCAGACAATGTCATTAGTGCTCTCTACTCTATTCTCTTATTCGCCTTGGCCTCATAAATACCTTCAGAACCTGCAAAACCATCTGCAGGTATGTGAAATTTCAAGGATCTATCAAAATTTGTGGTTTTTCGTGTTTAAATTTCCTTTTCCTAACCAGTGAAGCTATTTGATGCAGCAAATTCATTGAATCTTCTGGAGTTCAACAGGAGCAAATCTGTATTACAGATTGGTGCTGCACTTGCTGTATTCTTCACTATGTGCAAAGCTGGAACTTCCCTCTCCAAAATATTTGCAATTCAAGGAGGTGAACTACCTATAATTACAGCAATTGTCGTCGTTTTAGCAACGTTGTTCTCAAGTTACTTCCGGCACTTGGCACCTGCTGGTGATGCTTTTTCCATAGTAATAATGCAGATAATCAAATGCCTTAGTATATGTTCTAATAATATGGAAATTATAATCTTCCATGGTGACTCAATTCTCTTGCAAACAGGTGTTCTTTGCTGTTCTTGGCGCCAGTGGCAGCCTCTGGAACATAATCAACACAACTCCCAGTATTTTCTTATTTGCTCTAGTCCAAGTCACAGTTCATCTTATCATAGTACTTGGCCTAGGAAAGCTACTTAGGATTGATCAGAAGCTAATCTTAATAGCGTCGAATGCAAACATCAGTGGCCTTACAACAGCTTGTGCAATGGCCACTGCAAAAGGCTGGAGCTCCATTGTTGTACCAGGTATTCTTGTCAGGATATTTGGGATATCAATCGCAACATTTCTTGGCATTGGATTTGAAATTCTAGTTCTAAGATACATGTAAGAAACAAATTTCTCATCTTAGATTTGATTTCCTTTACATGCCTTTGTTTTCTTAGTATTTATTTAGCAAGAGAGCATATTTCTCATCAGTTCATCTATGTCCTAATTTGTTTGTAAAAATCTTTCTTATCTTGTAAAATACCTGTTTCTAATGATAGACCCTATTATACAAAAATTAATCGATCTTTTTTAGTTTGAGTAACAGCACACATCTTAAGTTCTTCATTTCAAGATTGTGTTATTTCATCTCATGTAGCTTATAAAGATATTCCCTTCATAGGCTTCGCGTATCATATACTACTACGTTTAGGTTAGAACCTCAACTTTCGGCTAAAGAATATGCGATAGTATCTGTCTAGTTGTAAGACCAGTTAAGGAAGATAACTACATCTTAGAACCTCAAAAACTATGTATTTGTATAGTTGTGGCAAATTCTTGTTAATTGTTTCTATCGACAAAAATATACATGTGATGGGATGTGTTCGTGAAAATACAAATGTCCTGTATACATATTTGCCTATGGAAACAGAAAAAAGCATAATATTTACAGACAACGAATATTCGAATAGAGCAGGACTACTTGACATAGCATAATTGACAAGGGGAATAATGTATACATCCATAATCAGCTGCTGAGGTATACTAATATGTACTGCCATGAGTGAAGCCACAAGTCAACTGTACTTGCATGGTACTATGGCAATAGATGTACTATAATGAAATGAGTAGTAGTAACACTTTGACTTTGAAGCTGGATCGAAGGAAAGGAATGTATGTACATTAGTAATTCATAGAGTTTGGACAATGCTGGATTGGTAATAAACACTATCTAACTTTGAACATTACTTCACTTTTTAAGCTTCTTGTTGTAACTTACGCCGGTTAATTAGACACCACGCGGCTCCTCCAGAGCGCAAGAGGTAACCTGAAGGAGACGGGAGCTTTTGACTTTGATATATTTTATAACAAGTGACTATGTGTCTCTGCTTATCGAGTACTTCAGAGCATCTATGGATTCACATTATCCATATCTATCTATATATATGTGTGTATGTGTAAGGGACTCATTGCACAGTACATGTTGAGTACAAGAAAACTTGGGAAGAAGAGCAGGAGATCTTCTTAGCATTGTTAGAAAATCGAAGATGAAATTCCGGGCAGTGTGGCAGATCTTCTTCTTGTTACTGTTTGTAGGTTACATTTTCGTATGGATTATGCTGCCTACTAAGATGTACAAGGATTCATGGACACCCAAGTTGAATCAAAGGCTCAACACGACATACTTCAGAGAACAAGGTAAATTCATTCGTTTCTTGTTTTAGCGTCGGTATTATACACAAATTCTTTAGCCCGTTTACTGCTTAAATTCCATGCTACAGGTACAAATCTCCTTCTCTTCAGTTTTCCAATAATCCTTCTTGCCACATTGGGATGTGTTTATCTGCATCTTCACAAGAAATCGAATACCCTGAGGTTTGGCCTTTTCTAACTACTGTTTTGTCCTAATGACACTTTGAGAATAACAGTTCATAAGCATCGATGAATTCTAATTCCTTATTGCAGTGGTAATAGCTTCTACCGTACCCTGAGACGTCCAGCTGCTGTAATGGCGCCGCTGGGAATCGTAAGCGTTGTCGAGCTCACATTTGCAGCCATGTTCATAGCTCTTCTGATCTGGTCCCTCGGAAATTACTTGTATGTTAGCTATAAGCACCTTCACATGCACACTCCTGGCGAAAAAGTGTAAGCATCAGTAATTCTAAGACCTCAAATTTGTTAAAATCGCCTGTTTTTGTAAAGAAAGGATCGATCATTACCATTAACAACTCGTCCTAACATTTGTTGTAGGTGGCAAGCAAAGTTCCGTAGCGTCGCCCTGAGGCTCGGATACATCGGAAACACCTGCTGGGCTTTTCTGTTTTTCCCGGTGACACGAGGATCGTCTATCTTGCCTTTGTTTGGCCTCACATCCGAGTCGAGCATCAAGTATCACATCTGGCTTGGCCACATTTCGACATTTCTTTTTGTTGCCCATAGTATCGGATTCATCGTCTACTGGTGGTCCATGACTCATCAAATGTACCTGGTACGCCAATGCTCTTTTCTTACATTCGTCTCGACTTCCATTTCCAATGTCTATTAAGAAACCATTCTCATTGCAGATGCTCCAATGGAGCAGTACATACCTATCCAACGTCGCTGGAGTCATCGCATTCGCGCTGTCCCTCGCGATGTGGCTAACGAGCTTGTACCGCGTCCGTAGGAAAATGTTCGAACTCTTCTTTTACACTCACCATCTCTACATTGTGTATGTGTTCTTCTACATGCTTCACGTCGGCGTCACCTACCTCTGCATGATCCTTCCCGGCATCTTCCTCTTCCTCATCGATCGGTATCTAAGATTCCTACAGTCGAGACAGAGGGTCAGGCTGCTCTCGACGAGCCTTTTACCCAACGGCTCCATGGAAATGACCTTCGCGAAGAATCCGGGTGAGTGAGCAACTATAACCAAGACTTGACTCTCTCTTTCAATTCAAAGCTAACGAAAAACAATTCTTCGAATTTCCTTTCCTTTCCTTACAGAGCTGTCTTATAATCCAACGAGTACGTTGTTCATCCATGTTCCGAGTGTATGCAAGCTTCAATGGCATCCGTTTACGATAATTTCCAGCAGTAGCTTGGAGAGGGACAAACTCAGCGTTATGATCAAAAGTCTCGGAGGTTGGACACGAAAGCTTCACGAACAACTTTCTTCTTCAAAGGATCATCTCCAAGTATCAATCGAAGGGCCTTATGGATCGCCATCGTCGCATTTCCTTAGGTAACTTCATTGCATCGATACACTCTCCTCAGCTCTTAATCGCTTGATACATGCTGATCGATGAGGTTAATATCTTTTTGTAGCCATGAGTCGTTGATAATGATTTGCGGAGGAAGCGGGATCACTCCTTTGATCTCAATCATACGCGAGATTGTGTTCAGAAGTACATTATCGAATGCAGAGGTTCCGAACGTCCTGCTCGTTGCCATCTTCAAGAACACAACCGATCTAGCCACGCTTGATCTCTTACTCCCCCTTTCTGGAGCTCCAATCGACACGTCCAAATTCAAACTGCAGATAGAAGCATACGTTACTCGGGAGCAAGAACAGCCTCTGGAGGATGCCAAGAAGCAAATCAAGACGAAACTATTCAAGCCATGTCCATCGGATATTCCGATATCTGCAGCTCTTGGTACGAATAGCTGGCTATGCCTCGGCGCGATAATCTCATCTTCCTTTGTCATGTTCTTGATCATGTTAGGATTCGTGACTCGTTACCATATCTATCCGGTCGAGAAGAAAGGGGAGAACTACCATTACAGCTACAAGATTCTTTGGGACATGTTCCTTGTCTGCCTGTCGGTATTTGTTGCGAGCAGTGGCATTATCTTGTGGCAAAAGAAGACAACATCTGCTGTAGTGGTGAAGCAAGTTGAGAATGTGGATCTCCCAACACCTACAACATCACCTTCTTCGTGGTTGTGCAGTTCATACCATGAAGAAGTCGAGAGCCTTCCCCTTCAGTCGCTTGTCGAGTCCACAAATGTGCATTTTGGCACGCGGCCTGATCTTAAGCGTATGTATTTTTTTCTTTTGGCTGAAAAGATATAAGCTTTTGAAACTTTTGATCGATCGATCGATATGGTTGGCAGAAATACTGTTGGATCGCGAGGAATCCGACGTGGGAGTGCTGGTTTGCGGGCCGGAGAGTATGAGGCATGATGTGGCGAAGATATGTGCATCTGGTTTGGCTAAGAAGCTGCATTTTGAGTCTATCAGCTTCAACTGGTGAAGATTTGAATCAAGTGTTGTTCTTCTGATTTGTCTCATGCATTTGTTGGTTTGTTCCTTGAGAATTTCCTGGTTTCACTTTCATATTTGCTGCTTCATGTCAAATTTGTGTTAATAAAGTAATACTATACAGTCTGCATCTACATACAACATGGAGTATTTTAGAATAGAAGATGATGCATGGAGCCCACAAATGCAAAATGGGGAAGAAAGGGCTGTGATGCATTGCATTGTCTTAATCTTACAACCAACCAGATCAACAGTCGATGAAATCAACAGTTAAGTTTTAATTTCAACTTAGACGGACAAAAAGAGGTATCTTGGCAAAATGTGTATTTAAGAGGAGCATAGAATTAGAAAGAACATGTTCCATAACAACATTGTAAGAAAAATGGCCACTAAAACATGGCAAATTAATAGTAACAGCATTCAACTTGCAATAAAGCTATTGATGCTGGTGATCCTCCTAGGGTACATTATGATCTGGATAATGATGCCCACAAATCTATTCTGGCTTCACTGGTTGCCTAATATTCGAGCGAAAACAGATTCGACTTATTTTGGACAAAAAGGTTCGATTCTTTCTATTCATCCATGTGTGTTTCGGAGGTGCAAGTTCTTAGTTCTTGACAATAATGTGTTTTCTGTTACTAAAATTCCTCAACTACACATATTCAGGTGCTAATATTCTAATCTACACTTTCCCGATCCTGTTTATCGCTATTTTGGGATGTCTATACCTTCATTTGGATAAGTACGGCGATGATACTGCAGAGAGGTGTGATTCTATACCATAAAATTAAACCACACGAGCATATGCACAAACACGTAGACACCTATTTATGCAGAACTTTATTAACAGAAAGCATTCATATCGTACCTCGTTGAGTCAGCCAGTTATTGTGAAGGGCCCTCTTGGTATTGTTTCCGGGATAGAAGTGTTCTTTCTGGTAGCTTTTGTGTCGCTCTTGGTATGGTCGATTTCTGCCTATATGTATCAAATGTTCAAGAATATCAGTAAAGAATCTGCTTCGAAGATGGAGGAGTCAGTGTAAGATGGTTTTATCTTCTCGAATTCTAATTATTGCAATTTTACACAAATCAGAAAAGAGATGCTGACCTGTTGGATGAAAATAGGTGGGAAGTAAGGCTAGAAAGTGTTGCTCTCCTGCTTGGCCTGGTCGGGAACATATGCTTGGCTTTCCTCTTCTTCCCGGTGGCACGTGGATCTTCAATCTTGAGACAAGTTGGCCTTACATCGGAATCCTCCATCAAGTACCACATTTGGCTTGGCCATACTGCTTTGGCACTCTTCACAGCGCACGGTCTGTGCTTCGTGGTATTTTGGGCATCTACACATCAGATTTCGGAGGTATATTATAAATTACACGGTGAAACATAGAAACAAGATTTAGCAATGATTTTGACAACTTACAGGTGCTGAAATGGGATAAAGTTGGGCCATCGAATGTGGCGGGAGAAGTAGCATTACTATCTGGAATAGCTATTTGGATCACGAGCCAGTCTCCTGTCAGGAGAAAGTTGTTCGAGCTCTTCTTTTACACCCATCATCTGTACCTTGTTTTCATCCTTTTCTTCATTTTCCATGTCAGCTTTTCTTATTCTTGCATCATGCTCCCCGGGTTCTACCTCTTCCTCATTGACCGGCTCCTAAGGTTCTTGCAGTCTCAACAAAGAGTTAGCTTGATCTCCGCTCGCACCTTACCTTGTAATGCAATAGAACTCAACTTCGCAAAAGATTCAAGTACGTTAACAAACAGTTTTATAACATGATTCTTGGACTGCAAATACTAATTTGACATTTTTACCTCTTCCTCCATCAGGGCTAACTTACAACCCGTCAAGCATTATCTTCATCAATGTAAAGAATGTCTCGAAGCTACAGTGGCATCCATTCACAGTTACATCAAACCACAAGACGGATCCTGATCAGCTCAGCGTTGTTGTCAAGTGTGAAGGAAGTTGGTCTAAGAAGCTTTACGAAATTCTTTCATCTCCAACACCAGCAGATCGTCTGGAAGTCTCCATAGAAGGCCCCTATTCACCTGCACCGAACACATATTTAAGGTTCCCTCATAATCAATCATTATAATTTGCTTGCTACTACCTTATATCTTTCCACTACTAACCAATCGAAACTATCATGCCAAATCGTAGGAGCCAAGCACTAGTAATGGTGAGCGGAGGTAGCGGTGTTACACCTTTCATATCAATCATCAGGGAACTCATTTATCTTTCAAACATGAATCATAAGATACCAAGATTACTCCTTGTGGCTGTTTTCAAGAAATCAGCTGACCTCTCAATGTTGGACTTCATCCTCCCATTATCCGGAACTTCTCAGGATGCTTCCCGATTGCAGTTACAAATAGTAGCCTACATTACCAGGGACAGAAGCCCCTCTACAGACAACCAGAAACTTCCCAGGAGCATTTTCTTTAAAGGAAGTGATTTAGAACAGCCAATTACATCAGTTTTAGGCCCAAACAGCTGGCTCTGGCTTGGAGCAATCATCTCATCCTCCTTCGTTATTTTTCTTCTTCTGCTTGCACTGGTTCATCGATACTACATATACCCTATTGATCACAACAGTAACCAGATATATTCACAGGCTGCAACATCAACAATCAGTTTAGTGTTTTTGTGTGTGTCTGTGATGATTACAGCAACTATTTCTTTTCTTTGGAACAAAAAACAATATAAGAGGATTACAAGGCAGATTCAAACCACAGAAACCCCAACTCCCACGGCAACTCCAGCAACAGAATCATGGCATTACATGGTAGATAGAGAACTAGAAAGTGTTCCACATCAATCATTCACAGAAGCAACTGAAGTGCATTATGGTAAAAGGCCTAATTTAAAGAGTAAGTAATCCATTGCATAAAATTTAAAGGTCCTGTATTTATACCTGCAGTGGTGAGCCGACAGAACACGTTTTATTTGTGTCTTCTGCAGATATTCTATCCGAGTGCAAGGAATCAAATGTCAGTGTGCTGGTCAGTGGCCCAAAGAAGATGAGACATGATGTAGCTGCAATATGTTCATCTAGTCTGGCCAAAAACTTGCATTATGAATGCTTCAGTTTTAACTGGTGAACTCAAAAGCAGCATATGAAGAAAAACCAGAGGATTTCATTTGCATTCTCAGAGATTCATGGATCATTTCTTACTTCATTACTGAAAGATTTCTCAGAAACTTGTCTTGACAATACAAATACTCATACCAATGGTCCAGAAAATTGACCAGATTTCTGTACGAGCATGGTGATTGACATATATTAACATATAAAAAATTTTGTATTTTCGGCAGTTCAGCAAATAACTGAGCTGTAAGAAAATTCCCAACCTACAAACATATTTGAAACACAAAAAGGCAGTGATGCTAAGAGGAAAACTGAACTTCAGTTTTCAGGGGCATCAGTAACTTCTACACCATGCTTTTTTGGCTGCCTTCAAGTTGCTTGTCTCAAAATTATTGGCAAATTACACCCAAACCGAAGGACATTTCAATTAGCATTAGGCATTTGGTCTTCTGTGCACCATCTCATCCCAGTCAGGACATCTCTTACTATCACAATTGGATTCTACCTTGCATTCCTTTCGACTATTCTTCATGACAGATAGTTTTTCAGACCGAAACATTGGTTTAAAGTACTCATCTGACTTCAATCGCCCAGAAGAACCAACAGCATGAAACCTCTGATTGTCCCTAAACACTGGTGATCTCATGTGCCTAGAATGGTTATTTGTGAAGGTATCATCATTATCCCATCGAAAACTGTGTTGCGGAGAAGAACGCCGACCCCTTGATTGGGGTAAGTATCCCTCCCCAAAATCAGGAGTAAAAGAAGGTTTTGTAAATGACGCCCTTCTTCTGTCCATCCAAGCCACAGATCTGAAATATGGAGACCTGCTGTCCCTTGTAGTACTCAAGATTTGATTCTTGTGCGAAGGCCATGGCCCAGGGGAAAGTGCTCTAGATTTGGAGCGAGATCTTCTGTGTGGAGGAATATGGACATGTTTACCAGAGTTTGGCAAAAAGTTCCGATCCTTTGCTGATGAACGTGAGAAATGAGTAGAGACATTGGCCTCATCAGGTAGAGATTCAAAATCTCTGTCAGCACGATGCAAGTAGTGAACCCTGCTTCTTCTATAGCCGCCAGCTTGGGCGGAGGGTACTCTTCTTTTCCTCGTACCAAAATAATCTTCACTCTCCTCCGGTGATCTCATGAAGGTCCTGTGCAGGTCTTCTGACATATAATAAGATGTTTCACCTTGGTCATGGAAACCCGGGCCACTCATCCTGTCCAAATTTCCAACCATATTCCTAGCTCTGTTGTAGTTATAACGCTCAGCTCCCTGGAAACTTGAGGAATATTGCCTTCTTGAATCCCTATATGCTGAGGAGCTACGCACTCCTCGTCTAGCATTAGTAGCAGGTCTAAATTCATCCAAAGGTTTGCCATGATAAGGACCCCTTTCGGTATGAGAATCCAAAACACTGAGACGTGATCTAGAGAACACAATAAAATAAATAAATACCATCAGATGCAGCATACATTAAGGGTGTGTTTGTTTCAAGGATTTTGGTGGACTTCTACTATTCACACAAATTTGTCCCGCAAAAAATATCAAATCAAACACCTATTTTTCATTTTTTATATTATACTAAAAATCAATTTTACATTCAAAACATCACATCAATTTATATTTATATCGTATCATGCAACTATTCCAATTCAAATTTTTTACTATTCAAATCTCAATCCGAAATCCAAGCCCTCAAATAAACACGCCCTAAGAGCCTTTCAAACATTACAGTGGTTATGATCAATGCACTAAGATGTAACTAAAGAATATTAATACAAACCTTTGTTCCTGGATAAAGGCATCCTTCCCATCAGTTGCATACAATGGTGACCATCCTCCAGCATGAGATTGAAGCCTTCCCCTGAGAGTTTTTGATGCACTTTCATACATTTCTGGCATGTCTCTTTTATCATTCAAATGCCTTCTTTTGAAGGAATCATCATTTTCCTTGATATTCATTTCCATAGGCTCCTCAGCTGTGGTGACAGAACCTACAGTTGATCCATTTCCAACCATCTCATTGTTTTTTGAATCATCTTTGTCAATATGCATCCTCAAATTCTGTTTAAATGTTTTGCTGTCTTTGGGTGATTTTTTGGAAACTGGGCTCCTTGCAGTATTCCCACAAGAACCATCAGAACCACCGTCAAGGACCGGAGAGTGATGGTAATCAACAGCATCAGAACCAACATCAGTTCTACCATCAGATTCATAGTCAACGCACTCAGATTCCAACTCATCTTTCTCCAAGGAAAACAATATTGAACCACGTAACTCTCCATCCTCATATGGAGAATCATACCCATCCTGACATTCAGTTGAACCGACACCATCAACTGCATGAAAATTATGATTGCGGGAAACATCAGAATCTCGCAGCCCATCAATAGAAGAACCTATCTTTCCGGTAGAGGAACTTGGATCACCACAATATTGTGTTGGAACAACAGGGTTTTCATATGAATCCAATGTCCTTGATCCTTCATTAGGAAGATTATCACCATCATGCTTGACATCAATTTCAGTTGATACTACATGCCCCATAAAATCAAAAGCCCCATCATTTTGAACCTTTGCATCAGAAGTTAGAACAGAAAGATCACCTTGAATAGTACCACCTGCGTCAAGAAAATTAGGATATTAGGTTGAGAAAAGCAACTCACTACGTTAAAATTGATTCGAGAATTATCAACATCATGTCCTCCAAAGATAGCAATGTCTAATGTAATCTTCAGAGAAGTCCTGGTACCTGGTGGTTCACAAGCCTCCCAAGAATCCTTCGAGTTTTTGCACTGCACATACTTCGCAGTTTCAGATATTTCCCAAGGTGGAATGCAATGTTCAACTGTATCTTGAGTTGTTGCTTGGATTACAGAATTTTGAACGTCACTACTTAGAACTAGATCTGGAATATCCTTTTTATTGTCGCTGTTAACAACTTCATCTGGGATCACATCTCCACCGATGTTCTCGGTAGCTTCATCAGACATCTCTTGCGTGGCATTAGAACAATCTTTCTTCATGTCTTCTTCAACATGCATATCATAATTTGAAGTGTTCCCAACAATGGATGCATCACATGGTTCACCCCAAGTCTCCATCGGCGTGTTTAAATCCCAATGCAGCCTGTTAACCCTCGGCATAGCCATCACATCCACTGATTTTCCAAGTGGGTTATGAGAAACAGTATCAGAGTTGCTCTGAATCAACAACCCATCAGCATTACGGCAAGTGGAACTCTCCGATTCACTTCTCTTTAAACCTGACTCACATTGTGCATTACCACTATCATCTTCTCGGCTGGCAGCAGATGCCAAAAGTTCAATGCCAGAGAAGTCCTCAACATTATTATATTCACCTCTCTTCAAACCTGGCTCACATTGTGCATTACCACTATCATCATCTCGACTGGCAGCAGCTGCCAAAAGTTCAATGCCGGAGAAGTCCTCAACATTATTATATTCATGTTCTGAACAGCCTGGAGGTGTCAATGTTTGAGGCAATGGAGGCTGTAGCAAATGTTTCCTTTTCTTGATTGGAACATTCCCCAATTTATCGGAGGTTGATTGTCCAATAGCAGCTTCTCCAAACTGTCACACAAAACCAATAAAACAAAAGTAAATAGGATATTGGCTATCGATACATCAATAATAATAACCACAATCAGATTATTAAATACCTTGTATAAATTAGACTCTGTAAAATCTCCAATTCTTCCAGGGAAGGAAAAGTTGCCCTCCTCCTCGGCAACACTTTTGATGCTTCTGGCCATTAGCTTCCTGGTCCGTCTTCCTCTCGGTACAACCGTCCAACTAAAATCTGGATTGGAGGAAGTAGTAACTTCAATACCCATTCTGCCAATCATATTTACATATATGAGCCAGACATCAATTAAGCATTTAGGTGATATCATCACATTACAATGTAGAAAGAAGATTCATTTCTTCATGGTCAAACGCAAATGAGTTTTCTCAAAATAGATCCTATACTGCTGCAGATTCTCCGTGTACTAGAATGAGTACGTAAGATTTAACATTATAGGCAGAAGACGTGCAAATCAAATCTCCAAAATCCCATTGCAAATCCAATTCAGGTCAAATAAGCGTTTTCGCATACTTTGCCGGAGAAAATCATGCTCCAAAAAGTAACAATAATCACATCTCCAAAACATCCAATCACGAACTCAAATCCAGATCAAAAGCCCCGGTATGGCTGTCTTAAAGTACAGATCTCAAGCTCATGAAGCACGTTCCTCAGTCTGAATATGGCGAAGACAACACAAATCCACAAACAAAAAAGTACAGATCTCAATCTCATGAAGCACGTTCCTCAGTCTGAATATGGCGAAGACAACACAAATCCACAAACAAAAAAGTACAGATCTCAATCTCATGAAGCACGTTCCTCAGTCTGAATATGGCGATGACAACAACACAGATCCACAAACAAAAATCATCAAAAAAAAATTAGGGTTCCTATACCTGTGTGCTTGATGATCCAAATAGTTCCTCCCGCAAAAAATTCTAGGTTTTGGTGGCCCAATCCAGAGATCCAAAATATAACAATTTCCCACCCGACAATGAGACTCACTGAAAACCTCAGGTCACTGGCAATCCTTCCTGCGCTCAAACGCTAATTCACAGGCCAACAATAATAAGAATCAGCCGCCTCGCTCCTTCAACCAAATCACGAAGATCGATGAAACGCTCCATAAAAATTCAAAATTCCCGGCGACAGCCCGCCGCCCGACGGTCTCTCGACTTCTGGAATTGGCTCCGTTCTGTCATTGGGAGGGCATCGATCTCAATTTATGGTCTGCACGTATCCCTAAAAAGTAGTGCGAAATGACGAAAACGCCCTTCGTTGCCCTAGATGTATTCCATTTCCACTTTGACAGCCAATTGCGGTGAACACTCTCTCCTCCAAAGTCGGCTCTGATTGCGTTGCGCCACGTCAGCAATTAGATCCAGCCGTGATCTGCAGCCATATGATTGCAATATTAATAATAATTTTTAAACATATATATATATATATACTTAGTCGAATATCCGTGCTAAGCGAAAAAAATTATAATTATATATTATATATATTTTTAATCTATATAAAAAAAATAATATCAATCAATTATACTATTCCGTCCAATTATAAAGTAAATATTTAATTTTGTAGTATTTTATTTTTATTTGGTAATTGAATATAAGATTATAATATAATAGTATTATTTAAAATAATTTTGAATACAAATTAAATTATATTTTAAAAATTTAATACTCTCTCCGTCCCTTGTCTTGTTTTTCCATTTTCGTCCGTCCTAAAAAATATTTAGGATTCCAACTTTATGGATGCGAAGAAAAAATATAATAAAATCAACAATTTAGAAAAAATCAAAAAAAATCAAAAAATTATAAATATATATATATAAAAATATTATCAATGAAGAAGAATAGCAAAAAAACTCAATATTATCATCAAGCGATGGTTGGACTGACGGTCGGGCCAACTACAGCTGACATGTTAACAAGGTTAGACATATATATATATATATATAAGCAAGATAAAGGGTTCTCCGAGGATACCTGCTAAGGTTCGTTTGGCGGCGAATGTTCCAAATTCGGGGAAGAGTGTCATGTCTATTTGGAATGAGATATTTGAGATTCCAACTTTATGGTTGTGCACAAAAAACACAATAAAATAAAAAATTTAGAAAAAACAAAAAAAATCTAAATATTATATATATAATATTAGTAATAAAGAAGAATAGCAAAACAACTTAATATTATAAATAAAAAATATATATATATAAAAAAGTATTTGGGATTCCAACTTTATGGCTGAAAATTTAAAGAAAAAAAAATCTAAAAATTATAAATATATATATATAAAATAAAACAACAATTCATTGTAAGTGCATCAATAATAATAAATTTTAATATTCTTATTCACACCATTTAGTCGCATTACCCTTCCCTCACATTTTTATATATATAGAAAAAAAAAATCAGTTTTCCTCCGCTGATATTGAAACCATCGACCACTATTTCAAAACTGTCATTCACATCCTCTATCATTTATTTTGATAATTTAAAAAAAAAACAATAAACTCTAAATTTAAGAATAAAAATAAATAACCTGTAATTAAAAAAAATAAAAAAATTTCAAAATTCTGAAATTGCAGAATTACAAAATTTAAAAAAAAGAAAAAAAAGAAAATGGGATCCACGACTTGAGCTCATTTATATATATATATATATATATATGATATGATGGTTTAGAGCCAAACCCAAAATGTCAAGCTCAGATCATATATTGCTTTTTTGGGCTTAGTAATGGGCCGTCGGCCCAAGTTTCTAAAATATTTGTCAAAGCCCATAACTCTTACATGCTTTTGTGATATTATGGACTTCTTTTTTGAGTTATATATATATATATATATATATTTAAGATGAATATGTTGATTTTTTATATGAAATAGTAGTTATTAGATTTTAATTTTGTCTTAAAAAATATTTATGTTTAAATTAAGAATGGTGGTGAAATTGTAAAGTAATACAATTGAAATAAATATATATATATATATATATATCAAAATTTCAAAAGTTTGGTTGAGGTATCGAGAGTAGAGTTTTGAGTGGAACTCGCAGTCCCTCTTTGACGAAGATGTCGAAAATTTGAACTCATAACTTTATTATCAAATTTCACTCCACACTATAAGATATCATTGTGGACAAAACTAACCCTTATTTAGTTGAATAACTAAATGATTTTACTTTTCGTAACCGGTGACAATAATGACATTTTAACATTTTGCGCCAATACATATATTTTTATGTGAGACCGTTCATTCATATTGCACTGCCCTAAATAAAATTTAAATAATAATAATATTTGAATTGTTACTGTTTTGAAAGAGTTAAATCCGTAAAATACTGATTTGACTTAGTAAGTATATACGACACATATCTTTTACATAACATTGTATGAATATAAAAACATATGTTGTATTATTCATATTTTTTATTGTATTGTATAAATATATTTATTACATTTAAATTAGCAATGGTATGTATTATGTGATACTATATCATATGATATTAAATTGTGTGTGATATTTAAATTATTTATTGTATATAATTATATGGTATATTATTGCTCAATATACAATATACTACAATTATTGCGTCAAATTATAAAATTCAATTGAGTAAAAATTGACCCAAAAAATCTAAAAAATTATATATAGAGTGTGTTTGTTTGATGAGTTTTGTTGGATTTATACTATTCATACAATTTTTTTTTTTAAAAAAAAATCAAATTATAACACTTATTTTTTATTTTTTATATTATACTATAAATAAATTATGCATTTAAAATATCACATTAATTCTTATTTATATCACGTACAGCTATTAAAATTCAAAATTTTTAGTATTCAAATCTCGTTAAGTCCAAACCCTCAGACAAACACACCCATATTATATATGAAGTGAAATTGATTGATATTTCCAGTATTGTCAATATAAACGTCACTCTACGCATTCATTCTTAGTATATATAAATAAGATATAAATATAAGCATACTATACTATGCCATACCATTGGCTCATTCATTCCTCCACCCAAAATATTAATGACTATTTAATTATTGTGCTGAAAGATTCCATCCGTGCCAATTAATATTATTTTTTATTTATTTAAACTCTCTTATCTTTTATTGAGCAGTTAGTTTCGTGTATATTTATCAGTTTTAAATTAAATCTAGACCCAACTGTTAGCAGGTTAAATAAAATCTACTTTTTTTATTTTTTATTGTTCGAATCTTCACATGGTCTGCAGTTTCTTTGCTTTTATAAAAATTGATAAATAAATATGTTTAATTTATTATTATTTTTTGAAATATCAAATTAAATATTCATTATTATTTATTTAAAATATCTCATTTAACTACTATTTTACATTAAAAAGATGGAAAACTATTAAAAGAGAACTCCTAGAGTAAACAAGTTCCAGCTATGCTTACTTTGATATCTTTTTCAACTTTGCAATACTAATGATTTTTTTAATTTAAAAATACATTATATTCAGCCTATTATTTTATTTTTTTAAAAAAAAAACAAGTAAAAACACCGCATCCACCTCGTCAAAATATTACACATTAAATATTTATTTTATTTGAAATACTATGGCCAATATATTTCGACTAAAATTTATGCTAAAAGCAACCAATACTACTGAAAATTAAAATGCGACAATTGAAGGTGAAACCGCTGCAACCAATAAAATTTTGACACGTAGTACACCCATGTGTACCCCAATAGATTTTGCGGCCTAAAATAGGACCTAAAGTAAACCCAATTCAAATCCGAACACAAGAATTCATGATTAAATCATCGCCGTTGATTCCAACGGCTAGGATCTAAGATGAGCGGATTCACTTAAATGCACAGACAAACTCCATACCTAAACAGAAAATGGCACGAAGAAGACGAATACCATTTTCACGCTTACGCTTCATTGGTTAAATCGTTAATACACACTAACACGATACTAACCAAAAACACGACTTTAACAATTAATAATCATCTTAATAAACACGTTATTTCCCGAAACAGGGAAACGGTAAAATCAACGCCAAGCAGACGCAACGGTAAGCGTCCGTCCCATCCAACCGAAGCAGACGCCGCCGGACTCCTCTTTAAGAGTGAATCCCGTGCCGCCACGTGTCACCGAGTTGAGTTTTGACCGGAGCGACTCGGCGTCGCGTTGGCTCACCGCCCGCGGCTGAAACCCCGCCATCGTCATTCGCACGCGCCACTTGCCGAAAACCTCGCACCTCTCCAATCGTTCCGCCCCCTCGCACGCCACCGCGTTCGACAGTTTCCGGCCGAGCGCAGCCTCGATGGGAGCCCGGTTTCCGGCGACGGTGGCGTCGAGAGAGTCGAAGAGTGCGCCGTAATAGTCGCAGGCGTCTCGAACGCGGGCGATTAGGGGGGCGGTGTTGGTGTTGATGTCCTGCTCCACCACCGTGACGGCGTCCGGAGACAGAGATTTGACGCGGCGGAGCAGATCGTCGCGGGGATTCTCCGTCGTGACGCTCTCGTCGGGAAGTTTGTACAGCTTGAATGCGAAATTCACGGCGAGTGCTTCGTCGGGTTGTACGTTCAATCCCGACCGGCATAGATCGGTTGTACTCAAATTCTTCACTTGGAACTTAAACGGAACGCCGATACTGGCGGCTAGCGCCGCCAGTTCGTCGCCGACTTTTCGCAGCTTCTCGCCGGCGGCGGCGAATTCCGTGAAGGCGGTGATGTTTAAGGCCGCCGGAGGTTTGTTATCGAGCTTCTTCTTCGCAAGCGCTTGGAGTAAATGCGAGTATTGCGCTCCCTGACTGATGTCGAAGTCCAACACGTGAATCTTCTGGAAGCCTAGCTCCGTGGCGGCGTCGAGTATGGCTAGATTCGCCGCCATGAAACCGAGCTCGAAACATGGAGAAGCTTCATAGAGCAGATGCGTTGAGGCGGCGTGGTCGTCGCCGCAGAGCTCCGTTACCGCCGGAGGATGCTGCGTGGGGTACACGCGCGACTTCAAAGCCGATAGCATGTAAGCAGAGAGTCTCTGTTCAGACGTACCTTTAGTATTCGCTACCTGTTGCAGGAGCGCGAGGCTTTCGACGGCGGATTCCGTCTTGCCGTCGGCAATCGCTGTCGCCGCATCGATCAGCGCTTGCTTCGCGCAAAGCACCGGTGGGGAAGCCGAAGTAGAAGAACACGACGACGATGAGGAAGCTGTAGGCGATGGAGAAACTGGTTTTGGCGTTAGACCTATCAAATTTTGGATCGTTTCCGACCAGTCACTGTTGGTAACCGCTGAAACACCTTCTCCATCCTCTTCATCGTCCAGTAACTGCTTCTCCAACTCCTGTAACCGATGGTTCATCATATTCTTCTCCGGATTCTGCGTAGAATTCTCCGGCGCATTTACTCCAAAATTCTCCAACCTCTTGCTCTGCGTCTGATTCGGAAGGGGAATGCCGTCGAACACATTGTGAACGCTTCGATCCGAAACATTCATCGCCTGCATACGGCTGTGCGCCACAAACTGACTGCCGAAACGCGAGTTCATCGAATTCGAAACCGACGAAATCGATGAAAACTCCGGCGAAATCGACGAAAACTCAATTGGAGAGAGAGTCGACACCGGAGACATCCCCTCATAATTAGGCCTAGCCTTCACGTTCCTCAGATAAAACCCTAACCCTTGGTTCTGCGGCGCAAACCCCTGCTGCTGCTGGAATCCGACCAGCGGCCTCTTCCCGATCAAATTCGACCGTCGGATCTGGACATCCTGCTCCGGTAGACCTCCGGCGAGCGGCGAACCATAACCAAACTGCTGTTGTTGGTTAAGGTTGGAACCGTAACTACCGTTAGACACAACAGCAGATCTCCTGCCAGTGTAGAACAGATCGGAGACGCCGCCGGAGAAGCCGGAAGACATTTTCCTCGGCCGGAATCGGAGAAATTCAAATGGAATATTTCTGCATTTAGGAGGGGCCAGTGTTTGGTAGAGTTTTTACAGTTCTGAAGCTATCGGATTGATTCTCATTGCCATTATTATATAGAAAGGAATTGCAGGGAAGAAGGAAATTCATTAATGCCCTGTTTGGTTGAACTTCAAACAAACAATTAGCAATAAATTATAGTATTTCATTACATTGAAATTTTTTACAATGGGCGATGCTTTCCCTTGTGGCGGCGTTGATTATTTAATTTACATAATTAGGCTTATTTAAAAATGAAAACGAACAATTCCTAACATCCAAACACGGCCCAATTCCAGCTGGCGGAGTTTCCTCCTGTTTTCTCCATTTTGCGTGTTTCTTTATTTAACACAACGGAAGAAAATGTAGGAATAAATTTTTAAGACTTTATACCAGATTCCAATAACTATCGTGTTTATCCACCGTCCGATGACGTGATATTTTTGGTGCGCATGAATCAACGGTGGAGATTCCTCGTGGATACTGCTTTTCGGGTAAACCGTCACATTCGTCAATGCTAACGCGCGCGATTGTCACGTGATTAGCACGCGTTGGATTTTCCTAAATCGTTGTAAATAGATCCGACACATTGAACATAACCATCGGGTTCTGTGACATGCACGGTAGTTATTATTTTTATTATTTATAGTATAATAATACTCCCTCAGTAAAAAAAAAATATTTTTATTGGAAATGGACACAAAAATTAAAAAATAATAGTATTTAATTAAAAATTAATATAAAATAGTAAAAGATTAAAGATTAAAATATCTTTATTTTTTGAATTATTTTTAAAAATAAATTAGATTAATAATTAAGGGTAGTTTGAAAAAATACGAATAATTTTGTTATAAAGTAGAGACCAAGAATACTAAATAAGAAAATAAGACAATTATTTTAAAACGAAAAAAAAAAAAAAACAAGACAACTCTATTAAGACATACGAGTATTAAATTAAAAAATTTAAATTTTAGAGTGTATTGTTTTGCCACATAAAATAAAAATATTATTTTAATATAAAATTCAAATTAAATTTCCTCAATTTAAACAAGGCTTTTTCACCGACCATTTTTTTTAATGAATTAATTTTAGTGTGTATCTTAAAAAATATATTTAAAATATAGTAAAATATATTGTTTTAAATCGAAATTGATTTTTAGTAATAAGTATTTAATTTTTTTTAAATTATATTTTGCAAAAAATATAAATAATTATATAAAAATATAAAATATTATTTTTGGGAACGGAAATTAAAAAAAAACACAAAAAAAACTCATGCACTAATGTCCCTAAAGTTTTTATTGTGTTTGTTTATTATTTCAAAATAAAAAGTTTTTGGTTTGTATGGTTGTAAATTCAAAATTAATTTAAAATTATATATTAATTTTAAATAATATTTTAATATATAATGTTATAAAAATAAATAATATATTTTTGTTGATAATGTAAACTATGAACAGGTAAAAATTTCAAATTAAATAACAATCAAGCATAAAAAATTTTAAAAAATAAAAACGTGGAATCCAAATACAAAGCAAACAATCCATTTTATATTCATTTATATTAAAAGTATAAAACATAACTCAAACAGTTTTATTTTCAATTTAATCATTGCAACTCCAATAATTTGTAATTCTATCATGTGAATTATTACATTATTGTTGTTACTTTCTATGTTGAGTTAAATATAAATGCATATATTGCATTCAAATATGGGTTTGTTTATTTTGTGTTTAATAATGTATGAATTTTTATATTTCCTCCGTCCAGCTAGAAAGTATACATATTTTTATTTTGGAACGTCCAATTACAAAGTAAATATTTCATTAAATACTTTACTTTTTTCACAAATACCCTTACTTTACATCACATCATTACTTTTATATCAAAAAACAAGGGCAAAAATGTCATTATACTACTTTTAACTACCAACTATAATTAAAATACTGTTATTTCTTAAACACCATTCCAAAAGTAAATGTATACTTTATCTGTGGACGGAGGAAGTATTAGACGGTGGAAATTATATTGGTACAAAAATAATAGTTTTAATGAATAAAAAATATATATTATGTTAATATTCGTGTATATTATATTTTTTTAATAATAATTATAAAAATTATGTCACAAATATATAAATGAACAAATCCTAATATTTAATGGTGTCTTTTTCTTTTTATTTATTTTATTGTTTTTATTTTATTTCTTTCATAAACCACTCGATCTTTGATTTCTATTATTTATTTAAAATTTTATTTTGTAATATATAAAGTACAAAATCAATGAAATTGAGGTTTGTTCTTTTAATATTTCAAAATTAAAATTATTATTCATTTGATATGATTTTTAATAAAAATATACATAATTTTTGTTATAATAAAACATTATATCAAAATACTATTTAAATAAAAAAAATTAAATATAAAATAAAAATATTTGTTTATTGATAAAAAATATAAATAAAAGATGTTTAAGATGAATAAATTCATATAAAAATAAATCATTTTTAGGGGAAAAAAAAATCATCTATGGTGTAACTACAAAATGTCACAAGCAAGTAACTATTGAAATATATTAATAAATAAACAAATTTACGATGTAACTATTTTATTTTTTATTGTTATATTAAATTATTTTAATAAAAAATTTATTTGAATATATTCAATATAATGTTACCATTAACTGTATCTAATTTTTTGTTATTATTTTATTAGTTAATATATATATATTACTCCATTCATCCAATTAGAAAGTATACATGTTTCTATTTTGGGACGTCAGTAAATATTTCATTAAATACCTTACTTTTTCCACAAATACCCCTACTTTATATGATATCATTACTTTTACACCAAAAAGCAAGGGCAAAAATATCATTACACTACTTTTAACTACCCATTATAATTAAAATACTATTATTTCTTAAACACCGCACCAAAAGTAATTGTATATTTTTTTTTGTGGACGGAGGGAGTATTAGATATTAAATATTAATTTTTAAGAAACGGGTCGGGTCAGGCACCTTCATAGGCCCGACAAAAGACTGTTTTATTGATATGTCGGGCTAAATACAGTCCGAAAAATTAAGGTCTATTTTTTTAGGCTAAAGTACGATTTTTTGTGTCAAATTCAAACCGAAATTTTATGTCATACTTATTTTTTTCACCTCTACTTCGTATATATTTATGTTCACAGTTTGTTCTGAACATATTCATATTCTATGTTATATTTACGGTCTTATTACGAATATTTCCATATTATAAATTCGCCATATTTTTTAAATAGTTTAATATATATTTTTATAATTTAATTAAAATATTGCTTATAATTTACTCGAGAAATGTAAAAAAAATTAAATTTAATATTTTTTAAAAATAATATATATTTTTATAATAATTTATATAGTATATTGTTTAAAGCAATTTTAATTTATAACTTAAAACTTCAATTGAAATTTTCTTTATCAATTTTGATTAAAAACCTTAATTTAAAACTTCCATATGTTAGCCGATGTATCCTCTAAAAAAAGCCAGCTATTAGTGATTCCCACCGTCACGAAATCTACGTCACAGCTGGAGCCCTTAGCCCATCCCATCCATGCCGGTGGATGGTTGTTTGATTTACTGACACGTGTCGGTGCCACTCACTTTTAATACTGAATATTTGGCGGAGAACACCGGCAATTCAGATGAGGTGAGTTTGTTTACGTTTAAAATTTGAAATTTGAGTTTGGAATATTAATTTTTTTAATTAAATTAATATTTATTTTAACATCAATAAATATTAATATGATATTTTTAAATATAAAATTAATTTGTAATATAATATAAAAATTAAATATTTTTAAAATAAAAAATTTGATTAAACAGTAGAAAATTCTAAAAATATATAGAAACACAGTCATTATGAAGTCTCTCATATTCAATTCATTTCATCGTAATTTTTTAATATGCTTTGGGTAAACTTTTTGGTCATATTAAATTTTCTATAATTAGACTTAAAAAACAAGTAGCACTAAAGGAACTATATGTGATATATAAGTTAAATATTTAACTTTTTTTTTCAAAATATATATACTTAAATATCCAAAGTTAAATCTACAAAGTAACTAATTTATTAAATATTCAATTTTCATAAAAATATATTTTAAAAATAAATAAATTTTAATATAATATAATATAAAAAAAATATAAGCATTTGATTCTATATTCAATAGTTCAACTGATGGAATACATATTTCTAATTTTTTTTTGTCATAAAAAAATATGCCCCAACTTGTCTCTTTTATTTTATTGGACATCATTGAAAATATTTTAAATGAATCTTGTTTTATGCACTTTCCCTTGGAAAGGCAATTGTTTTCCTAAAATTGTTTCCTTTTGTTTTATTATTATTATTATTATTTTCTTTTTGAAAAAAATACATTGTAGTTATTTTTTAAAAAAATATTCCATACAACCATTAGTATTACTTTTTACTTAAAAATACATTAAGGGTGTGTTTGTTTGGGGGATTGTATTGGATTTACACTATTCATCCAATTTTTTTCCCTCAAAAATATCAAATCAAACACCTATTTTTTATTTTTTATATTATACTAAAAATCAATTTTACATTCAAAACATCACATCAACACTTATTTATATTACATTATACAACTGTTAAAATTCAAAATTTTTACTATTAAAATCCCAACTCAAAATCCAAACCCCAAACAAACACACCCTAAAACTAAAAATGTCAAAAAACTAGATGCCATGTAATTCTTAGCCAATCAATTCAATAATTTTATCAAGAATAATATCACAAGATCTTGATGACACAATTTATATTCCCATTAAAAGAGAACACGAAGAGGGCATGATATACATATAGTAATAATATATATGTAAAGTATATGCTCTCAGTAGCAGAATCATGAAATAAAATAGTTTGATACCATAATCTTTCTTAATTTACTTTTGCAGATAAGACTTTATTCTCTTTCATTTTATTTATTTTTTATTTTTTCTTTCTATAAAAATATATTGATTCTTTGTATAAAATATCACATCTAATAAGTATTTTCCTTGTTAAAAAGAATACTACTCCCTCCATCCCATAACTAGATATCAATTTACTTTTTGCATGTAATTTTAGAAATATTAGTATTATATTGAAATATAGTAGGAATAAAATATAAATGACTAAACTAATCTTATTAGTATGTGTGATATAAACGTAATGGCATTTGTGTAATATATTGTAAGTTGTAAGGGTATTTGTAATGTTAGATAGATAGGACAATTATTAAAAAAAAGTAAATGGATACTTTGTTATGGGACGGACTAAAATGAAAAAATAAATACTTTATTATAGGACAGAAAGAGTATCTGATTTTGATTTCAAACCAACTTTTTTACTATTTACTAGCAAATGGTTTTTAATAACAATATTTTATTTTTTTGGAGCTGAAAAATAGTTCAACATAACTATAAAATAATTATTTTCACCCTCAAAATCCAAATCCATAGCTAAATTTATTTTTGATTATTTTTAATATGTTTATGGATAAATGTATAAAAATTTGGTGGGTGAATACAACCAAAATTAACAATGATAAATATACGTATTTGTAGTAGTTAAGTAGTATATGAATTTAAATAAAATAGTATATTTATATAATTCTAAAAAAATAAATAACTAAAAAAGTGTAAGTGTTTATAATATTAAGAAAAAAAATCAATTAATTGAACTCTGATTGGCAATTTTAAATTCAAAATTGTTAAAAAAGTGTATTCAAATTAATTCGATAAAATATTGAATTATTTTTATCTTAAAAATATTTTCTTATTTGTCCATTTGAATGATATATATTGTCATTTGTGTTGGTCAAAATACAAATTATGCATTTTTTAAAGTAAGTGTAATCTTAGTTATTTTTTATATTCAACATTAAAAGTAAATATAAATCAGATGAAGAAAATATATTATAAAAAATAAAGGAACATACACTTTTATTTGTTTCATAATATATTTAATATTTTTTGTCCATTTAATTTATGTTGAGTTTCTTTTTTGTTTGTATATAAAATGTGCATTTTTTTTTTATTTAGAACAATTTATATGTATATATTAATTTATATTTTTTAATATTACACTTAAGGGTGTGTTTGTTTGTTTTTTAAAATTGAAATTAACATTTATTTTATACTATTGTCAATAAAAATATATTATCTTTTTAAAATAGTATATAAAAAATATTATTTAAACAAAAATTCAAATCAACATACCATTTAAAATCACAATCAAACAAATCCTAAAGCTCGTATAAAAATAAATATTTAATTCGATATGATTAAAAATATTATTTGAACTAATATCAAAATATTAAAAATATTTATATAAATGGTGCTAATAAATATTTTATTCAATATGATTAAAAATATTATTTGAACTAATATCAAAATATTAAAAATATTTTTATAAATGGTGCTTAAAATATAAGTAACAATTATATATATATATAAAGGCAAAGCATTTCTTATTGAATATGTATGTGAGCCACACGTTCATAATTCCCATTCTGTGAATGTAAAATATTGACCACACATTCCACATTAGTTGTCATCTTTAAACATCAAAATTATTGCCCAACAAGCATAAATCATATTTATTTATTTATTTATTTCATTATTTATTATAAAATAAAGGTAATGATAGGAAGTACATATAAAAAAATAAATAAATAAAAATTTTACGTAGAGATTTTTTAAAACCTCAAAAGATAAAAAATAATAATAAATATATAAATATGTGAATATTTAATCCTTGGCTATTCAATTTTACGTTAACTTTTATTTTTTTAGATTGTCATAAACAATATTGCTGTTTTTTTTAGAAAAATATATATTTAAAATATTTATTTTAGTATAAAAGTAAAAAATAATAATAATAATTAGCACAAACTCTTATAAAAACTTGTGTTCAAATATTCTAATGTGATTAAAGTGCATAATTATATATTTAAAAATAGAAAAAATAAGTTATGTGAGAATGACGAAAATATAAAATAAGAACAAATTATGTGGAACGAATAGAGTATATAATAATACTTCAAATGATTTAATTTTAATTATGCATTAAAAATATTTGTTCATGTACTAGTTAATATTACACAATATAATATTATTATTTTGATCCGTCTTATATTTTATTTAATTTTTTATATTAATAAAATTACACCCTTTATAATAAATATTTTAAATTTTTTAATACATATAATTAATTGAGTGTATTTTTTGCTGTTTTAACTATTTAGTACTCTCTTCATCTAAAACATCGTGCAATATTTGTGTTTGCACGAGAATTTAGGTGGAGAGTATTAAGTATTGTAATTTGAGATAATTTGAATATTAAGTGATGTAATTTGAGAGAGAAATAATTATTTATTTTTTTTATTTAAGTGATATGATAAAATAAAATGAAATGTATATTAATATTATTAATTATTTTTAAATTTAAAAATATTATAGTAAATTTGGAACAAACAAAATAAAATATTGCATGTGTTTTGGGATAGAGGTATGGTACCATTTTCAGTAACGCCGTAACGGTCTTCTATTATCAACCGGAGTCGGTTTGGCTAAAAGCCGATTGATTAGCCGGTCAGCCGCCGGTGGTCGGTCAAATCAAGAGTCGTATCTCTTCCTTTTCCGCCGTTATTTGTATAACGGCGCCGTAATGGAGGATGCACTGGAACCGTAGATCAGGAGATATCGAGATTTTCTGACAGAACGAACAATCGTCAACGGGGGAAGCACGTGACCCTATCACTGTGTATGTATGTATAAGCACGTGACCCTATCATTGTGTATGTATGTATGTATTGTATTATGTATATATATATGTATGTATGTCCTCTGTTGTACTCTGTACAGTCAATTTTCGTTGTTTTATGGTGTGTCTCAATTGACTTTTTTCAATTTGTTTTTGGCTTTTGTTATTGTAAACTGTATTTAATCTTAATACATTTTTTTAATAAAAAAAATTGGGGAATGTTTTTGAACAACAGTAGAATTAGGTTTAATTTCAAGATTATTAATTTAATTATATTTTCTTTTAAAATTTATTTATTTTGATTTTAAAAAATTAAAATATAATATCTTGTTACTGTTGAACACCTTTAATTTGAAATTAAGTTATATTTCAATTTTAATCCATATAACATATTGAAATTAAAATTTAGAATATAATTGATATGTTAAATATAATAAGTTTATACTTTTCCGTGCCACCTAAATATATTTATTACTTATTTGCTAAATTAATAAATATTTATTTTGTCCAAAATTAATTAATTTATTTTGTTATTTCAATACATTCGAAATTCATTTATTTCCATTTTCATCAATTGTATTTTTAGCATAATTTTTTAAAAAATAATAATTACAATTTTTATAGCTCTATGGAAAATATATATTTAGCTATTTTTGTTGTCAGAACATAAAATATGTATTTTTATAATATGTATTTTTGGTATTACAAATGATTTTACATTTATATTTTATTTAACGTTTTGTGGATAAAAATATCCTACCTCTGTCAAATATATATATATCCATTTATAAAATAGAAATAAAGATAAAAAAATTAAATTAATTCTACTAGTATTTTAGGACATAAATGTAATGATATTTATTTAATATATTGTAAATTGAAATGGTATCTGTAATGTTATGTAGATGATACAATTACTAAAAAAGAAATGAAATAAATACTTTGTTATGAAGTGGTGGGAAAAATAGATAGATTATTAAGGATTGAATGGAGAAGTATGTCCAATATATATTTCGGTTAGTTTATTTGTTTTTAATTTCAGAGAAAAATAAATACGTAATTTATTAGTTTGAAATTGAAACCAACAACGCACCCTATATATGTTTCGCGCGGGAGAAGGCAGCATCATCATTCTTTTATAGTTTTCAGCTAAGCTTCGAAAATTTGAGTACATCAATTTCCTCCAATGAATGGTTGGTGCGGTAGCAGAAATGAAGCGATGCAGCCACACACTTACCACTACAATTCGAAACCCTAATCAGAGTTTAATATATGCATATGGAGTTGCGCAGATGGTGTTTTCCAGTCAAAATGTTAATCAGTGCATGTTCCCGACGCACTGATTCGGAGAGAGTAGGAATTTTTGAGCTTTGCTGAGCCTGTGCTCGTATATATCCATGGCGATGTGTATTGCGTTTTCGACGACGGTTATTCTGGTTCGTCGGAAATGGAGGTGCCGCTGCTTGATCGGAGCTTTGACGAAGGTGGATTGATCGGAGCAAATGGCGATTACCTTCCCGGTAAAGGATGGAAGACGTGTTGGGAGATTTTTCGGATTGAATCTTCAAAGCTGTGGGGAATAGGCGGACCGATAGCGTTCCAAATCGTGTGTGAATCGATCATCGACTCCATATCCACCATGTTCGTCGGACATCTCGGTAATATTGAACTCGCCGCCTTCTCCGTCGCTCACTCGGTCATCATCTTCTTCTCTTATGGCTTACTGGTTAGTATTTCGTAACAGAGCATTGTCTTCTGCGTTCCTGTGAATGCTGAACAATAGATTCCTAATTTCTATCCATAAAATTGACCATTAGAATGCTGGATTTCCAAAATTTTCACACGATCGAAATAATTTTCTCGTCAGTGGTAGTGTTAGGGCTCAATGTTTGCAACAAATTCAACATTTCAAATATGAATTAGAGTTACATATTGAATCTGAGAAATGAAAAACTGATTAGAACTTTGTGATTATGGATCCAGCTCGGTATGGGAAGTGCTCTGGAGACATTATGTGGTCAGGCATTTGGTGCAGGGAAGCTTGAAATGGTCGGCACTTACACACAGCGATCAATGCTAATACTATTCCTCTCGTGTATATTTCTTTTGCCTCTTTACATATTTGCTTCGCCGTTGCTTAAGCTCCTCGGCCAGGAACAAGACGTCGCAGAACTATCCGGACCTTTTGCGATGCTAACTATTCCTCAGTTATTCTCATTAGCCATCTCAATTCCAACTCAGAAGTTTCTTCAAGCACAGAGCAAAGTCTCTGTATTAGCTTGGATAACATTTTCTGCTACATTGTTGCAACTTTTTCTTTGTTGGCTGTTCATCACTGTTCTTGGCTGGGGAACGACAGGCGCTGCTGTGGCATTTGATATTACGAACTGGTGGGTTGCGATTGGGCAATATGTTTACGTTGTTTGTTGGTGCAAGGATTCTTGGAAGGGATACACTTGGGATGCTTTTAAGGATTTGTGGGAGTATACCAGATTGTCCCTTGCATCTGCTGTTATGCAGTGCCTGGATGTTTGGTATCTGTCGAGCCTTGTCATTGTCACTGGGAGTTTAGATAATTCTGTCACCGAAGTTTCTTCTCTTACGATATGGTGAGTTTATGAGAAATATAATACTTCATAATTCTGTTCATAGTTGTATTCTGATGCTAATTGTTTCATTGATGGTTTGTTTTTCAGCATGAATGTTAACATGTGGGAGCTTATGCTGTTTATGGGACTCAATGCCGCCGTAAGGTAAAAAAAAAAGTTAAAATTTGATGATTATATCTTGAAAACTTCTTGGCACTTAGTTTTAATTTCTTAACTATATTTCAGTGTTCGAGTTTCGAATGAGCTTGGCTCTGGACGCTCCAGAGCTACAAAATATTCGATCTATGTGACAATCGGGCAGTCATTTTTTATCGGGATTGTATGCATGCTTACAATTTTAGCTGCAAGAGATCATTTTGCGATCCTTTTCACCGACAATGTAGAAATGCAGCGATCCGTCTCTCGCCTTTCTGTTCTACTTGCATTTACAATGGTCCTCAACAGCATTCAGCCTATTTTTTCAGGTTCAGCTAATTCTATGCTGATTTAAAAAATATATATGCATTAATGTATATGTCAACCTTTTTTCTTATTCGTTTTGGTCGTCCTGCAGGCGTGGCTATAGGCTGCGGGTGTCAAGGACTTGTGGCTACCGTTAACTTGGCTTGTTACTACGGTTTTGGCCTTCCTTTCGGAATTTATCTCGGTCACATTGTTAAGTTGGGAGTTGTGGTAAGTTTGCACATCAATCTTATCAAAACTATGAAGTTTTCGACATTGTCTGGCTATAATTTTGTTAAAATATATTGAGAAAATATTTATTAGATTTATGAATTCTTATGAATGAAATAGAGGGTTTCAGTTTTATATTCTTACAGATTTGTTGCTCGATTCGTTTAAGGGTGTTTGGAGTGGGATGGTGTCCGGAATGATTCTGCAGACGCTTATTCTTGTGGCGATCCTTTCTCGGACCGACTGGGAGCGAGAGGTATAATTCTTTTTTTATTTTATTAATAGATTAGATCGGATAAAATAATATCGATCGAATTAATGGTGTTGTTGAAACAGGTGGAGAAGACTACAAATCGGTTGGAGAGATGGGAACTTAGCCATAATGGTGTATGATGAATTAATTGCCTGCCTGCTTTAACTACCTTTAAATTGAATTAACTTCATTGGTGTTTCATGTTCTTGCAGAGATTGTTATAAAGTTTAATAAATGTAGTAGTAGCTTAGAAGCGTTAATTATGTATATGAATGAATCGGGACCGTTGAAGTGGATCGATGATGGACGGATGCGATGAGGCCATCGAATGAATGACGTGTACGGTCAAGGAATCATACAACAATTTCTTTGAGAACTTACTTTTGTTAAGATAAATTATTATAATTTAGGTGAATGGAATATACCCTTAAGGTCTATATGTTTCAAGTTTGAGTAAAGTTAATACTGTAATCTTACTGATTTTTTCCATTTCAACCCACTCACAATCTCTCATTTTATGTCTTTTAAATAAAATAAAAAGATAAATTTAATTTATTTATATACATATATATTTTTTAATACGTAGACCCTAAATTACGTTGTCAATGAAATACATAAATGTGTCTTTCTTTTAAGTTTATATTTGTATTCTATAATTAATATAATCCATCACAACAAAAAAAAAAATATTATATCTGTCTAACTCTAGTCTCATTTATTTTTTTTTATCATTATATCTAATTTTAAAAAGTAAATATGACACGGGAGAGATATAATATTATTTTTTGTCATATAATATTAAATGCAATTTACTTAAAGAAAAAAAAAACCAAAACACAAATAAAACAAAACTTATACTATAAAAATAAAATAAGATAGTCCAGTAAAAAATCATTGGTGGTGTGGGATGACTCGCGACTTTGTTACAAATTAATATCCAAACGACTCATCTCAAAAGTAAACCTTATACTTCTATTCCAACGCACATAATATATATATATATATTATATATACACAAATATAAATACGACCAATAATTATGTATAATTTTTTTTACGCATCTACATTTATCTCCGTCTACATAAATATAGTCTCTTAATTAGTGCCGGCGCGCTTGCGCTTTTAAAGTCGGCGTCGAACGACGTCGTATCCTCTCGTAGCGAAAAATGGACGCGCCTCTGCTAGTACGGTGCTCCAGCGAGCCTCTCCTAGTCGGAGACGGCGGAGACTATCTTCCGGCGAGGACGGCGGAAGCGTGGCGGCGAATCTTCTGCATGGAATCGTTGAAGCTCTGGAGAATAGGCGGACCGATAGCCTTACAGATATTTTGCCAGTTCGCAACGACTTCCGTCGCCACCATATTCGTCGGCCACATAGGCGACGTAGAGCTCTCCGCTTTCTCCATCGCCACCACTGTCATCGGTGTTTTCTCCTTCGGATTTCTGGTAAGCTCTCAGCTCCATTATATCCATACTTAAATAACACTTGAGTCTACCAGATACTTCATACTAGAGAATTTTTTCGGAAATGCTTTCAAAATCTTACTGTATTTGTGCTCCATTAAGTCGTTGATCTGTTTCTTCGATTTGATTTGATTTGTACGGAGGGGCCGCCGCGGCTGAGATTCTAGGGTTGAAAACTCTATCTGCTTAGTTTGTTAAATCAAAACGAGGAATAAATTAGAGAGTAGAAATTATTAGATGAATAGATAGATGGTAATATAGATTCGATTGCCTTTACTCTCTAGCAAGTAGCAATCCTGAGATGAGATTAACTGAGAATTGCATTCGTTGAGGATAAAATTACATTAGGTAGTTCTTACATAGAATCACGATGTTCTGCAGCTGGGAATGGGAAGTGCGCTCGAGACACTATGCGGGCAGGCATTTGGTGCAGGACAGGTTCATTTGCTCGGCGTCTATATGCAGCGCTCGATCATCGTTCTATTTGGCACTTGTCTTCTCATTTTACCTGTATATATATTCGCTACTCCGATTTTGAAGCTAATCGGACAACCAAATGAAATAGCTGAGCTTGCAGGCCTTTACACGCTCGTAACGATCCCCGATTTGTTCTCATATTGCATTGCTTTCCCGACTCAGAAGTTCCTTCAGGCACAGAGCAAGGTCGATGTTCTTGCGTGGATAGCCGTAGTTGTTCTTATCTTACAAGTCTTTTGGTGTTGGCTTTTTGTTAATGTATTCCGATGGGGGACAATAGGTGCAGCCATAGCTTATGACGTTTCTAACTTGACGTCTGCATTCGCGCAATTCGTTTACATTGTTGTTTGGTGTAAGGATGGTTGGAAAGGGTTCTCGTCCTCTGCTGTTAACGAACTTTGGGCATTCGTGAAGCTATCGCTCGAATCAGCCGTCATGCTCTGCTTGGAGCTTTGGTACTTTATGAGCATTGTAATTCTTGCTGGAAATCTCGGTGATGCAGTCACTGCTGTTGGTTCCCTTTCGATTTGGTGAGCTTCGATTGTTTATTGTTATCGATAAATTTTGTGGATGCTTGATTGAGTTCATGTTTTTTTTCAGTATGAATATCGATGGATGGGAAGCCATGTTGTTTATTGGAGTCAATGCTGCTATAAGGTAGAAAGGGACATATTAGAACTTCGATTTAACCGGAAAATGATATTTTTTGAGTTTGATTGTATACTCTGTTCCATTTCAGCGTTCGGGTTTCTAATGAACTCGGGTTAGGACACGCTAGAGCTGCTAAGTACTCTGTCTACGTGACGATTTTACAGTCCCTCTTGATCGGCATTCTTTGCATGATTGTTGTTCTTGCCACAAGAAGTTATTTTCCGATCATCTTTACCGACAGCAAAGCTATGCAAGAGGCTGTGGCGAAACTTTCGGGCCTTTTAGGAATCACGATGATTCTCAACAGCGTTCAACCAGTTATTTCCGGTTGATATGATTTAAAATGAAGCTTTTAGCTTAACATCATCTTTATCCTTGAAGTTAACCGAAATCTGTGGTTGCAGGTGTTGCCATTGGAGGTGGCTGGCAAGGTATCGTTGCGTACATTAACTTGGGGTGTTACTACATTTTTGGTCTCCCTTTGGGGTATCTTCTCGGATACACTGCTCGGGGTGGAGTAATGGTGAATAGCTCCTTCTTACATGAATTTCGAAACTAATGTCCTATAGCTACTTAGAACAACTTTCCATTTTCAGGGGCTGTGGGGCGGAATGATCGCCGGCGTTGTCCTGCAGACGGCAATGCTGTGTGTTGTGCTTTACAAAACCAACTGGAACAAGGAGGTTCGTCTTACACCGATATTATAGAATGAAAATAGTTAAGAGTGCTGATTAAGACTAATCAACGTATAATGGAAAGACTGATCGAAAGCACATAGAATCAACTAACAAAGCATGTTATGTTTTCGTATGCTAAGATCGTTATGTGTGAATTATTATTATGTGTTAGTCAATATAATTAACCGTTATGTGTATGTTGCAATTTGGAAATGTGAAGAATGTGTGGAATTGTTGTTGCAGGTAAAGCAAACAGAGGAGCGGATGCGCAAATGGGGAGCCCAAGACTCGGCAACTAATTATTTACTGGCATAGTAAGTAATATAAGGATCCAAAATTACTTCACTTAATATTAATTGATTTTAAATTATAGCTCTCCATCTCTTCTTAACAATAGAATTAAGTTTTTTTTTTTTTTTTTTTTTTCTTACAATGTTCCAATTAATATTATTCACGTTATTTATTTGATGATACTTATGGCAGGAATTTAGGTTTATTTCTTAAGTTTAACGAGTACGTGTTACAGCCGCGTATAGAATAGTGGAAGTGGACACGCGCGCTAAGAAAGAATATTCCTATTCATTGGCCCAACTCCCACGTGCGCACTAGCTAATACCTGCCTTGATTATTAAGAAATAAAATAAATGAACAAATTATATTAGCTGATATAACGACGGGTATTTATTTGGTAAGATTTAAAAATAATGAAAATTATAATATTTTATAAATATATAATCAACTATTTTATAATATTTTAAATTAACATTATATACTTTTTTTTTAAAAAAAATAGAAGTATTTGAAGTTAATTCTTTTGAAAAAAATCCACTGACAAATGGTATAAAAATTTTAAAAAATATGTATGTAAATATACAAAAATGATAAAGAGTGGAAGCGCGTATGAAAGCTTAGGTTGAGATCCTTTTCTTCCTTTATACTCAACGTTACAAACGCTACTCGCTTGGTCCACTTCACTTTTGTCCTTTTCTTTCTTAAATAATAACAACATAATATTGTTATTTTATTTAACATTTATTAAAAAATAAAAAATAATATCAAACTGAAAAATAATGCCCCTAAAAAAAAAATATTTCAGATTAAAATTTTCATTTTGTCATTTCAGTTAATAAAAGTCAAAACTTTTTATATTTTTAAAAGAATTAAATAATTATTAACTAAATATTAAAATATTTTTATTTTTTTCACTTTTTATATTACTTGTAATTTTACATTACTTATATTATAAAATATTAATTTACATTAATTTATCTACAAAAATCAATCGAAAAACTTACCAAATAGACTAAAGAATTATAATTGCTACTACTTCATATAACTATTTCACCATAAAGGAAGAAAAGAACCTCGTCCGTATCCTATAAATCTCCCCCAAACCCAAACACTCATTTCCATTATTCCATACAATAATTTAATTTCCAAAAAAATGGGCTACGAAGTCGAGGTCACCGTCGCCTCCGCCAAAAACCTCAAAAACGTCAACTGGCGCCGCGGCAATCTCCGCCCCTACGCCGTCCTCTGGATCGACCCCGCCAATAAGTGTTCCACACGCGCCGCCGACGCCGCCGGCGAAGATCCCGTCTGGGACGACAACCTCATCATCCCCTTCATCTCCCCGCTCCACGACGCCACTCTCTACATCGACGTCGTCCACGCCGCCGCCGCCGACGACGACGGGACTAAGCCCATCGTCGGCTCCGCCAAGCTCCCCCTCCGCGACGTCGTCGACGCCGTCGGCTTCGCCGCCCGGTTCGAGAAAAACCTGGAGCTGAAGCGCCCCTCCGGCCGGCCGCAAGGCAAGGTCGAGGTCCACGTCAGCGTCCGGGAGCCGGGCCACCGCGCGCCGGAGCCGTACTACGCCGCCAATCCGTACGGCGTCCCTCCGCCGGAGGCCCGGGGGTATGAGAATCCATACGGCGCGGCTCCTCCGTACGGGCAGCCGGGCGGGTACTACGAACAGCCCGGGTATTACGGGCAGCCCGCGGCGGCGGCGGCGGCCGGAGAGGAGCATAAGAAGAGCGGTAGTAAGTTTGGAATGGGGACGGGATTGGCGGTGGGCGCGGCGGCGGGGCTGGTCGGCGGCGTCGCTTTGGCGGAGGGATTCGATGCGCTGGAGGACCACATAGCTGATGACGTGGCGGAGCGTGTGGAGGACGATTATGCGGACGGTGGAGATGACGAGGATTTCTAAGTGGGAATTTTAGATGATCAGCCACTCGCGTGCTTCCACGTGGCTGTCTTTTATTGGTGGTTTTGTTCTGTTAAGAAGAAAATTGTCCCTTTTCGATTTTACACCGTTTCTTCCAGCGAAATAATTTGTTGTTATTTCGGTTTGTAAAGTTTTTATAAAAAATAAAAGTAAAACTCTAACAAATTATACTTCAAAATTTATTTTAAATATAGTATCGAAACAATAAATAACAATTTATTGTAATTCCTCTACTTTTTCTAATCAAAATATCATATAAACATTATTATTTGACGCGGGTATACAAAATACAAAAAGAACACACACAGTGACAATTGCATGTTTTAAAACATTTGAAAAATAGTGGATCGACAAATTTGCTTCGAACACTTTTAAATAGGGTCAATTTTTCTTGAAGCGCAATTAACTTACGGTAACAACAAACTTCACTGACAATAATGTAAATACTTGAGTAAAATAATAATAAATGAGCCAATTATTTGTTAGCCCAGTTTGATTATAACAACCTCCAAATCCAAGAGATATTCAACTATAATCAATATTGAAAATAGTACATAACAACTTTAAATCCATTAATTTATATCATTCATAAAGTCTTATATTACATTCAATGCACATGTAATGAAAGTCGTGTACTGACACCAGTGTATACAATAAGCCTATAGTAATGTAGTTAACAAACAGGTTGTCATCTCCTTTGTGTCTCCGAGAACTTCTTCCTCCAGCAACTCCTCCGGTGAGTTGTGTATCAAACACAAGTGAAAATCATGGAGATGAGGTGGGACTCGAATGAAAACTTTTACAATAATTTATCTCTCAAGGATAAGCTCTCAAATGTGTTCTCTCACTAAACCGAGGTTGTCTCATCCTGTGTATACAGCAGCCTGATTTAAGTGTAAATTAAACAACAATTAATTCTCTTAGCACATAAATAAAATGTGGTGGTTCTCAAAATAAATCTGACATTCCTTTGACTATCCTCAATCTATCAAATTTGTCTTGTATGGATATATGCACATACGAGACAAAATGGACAGGATAAAACAAATATACAGTTATTGCATGTGAGAGTCTGCGAAAGTAACTTGCTGTTTTTGGTGTATGACGACAACTGTTGTGCAAAAAGTCATTTGTCCATATGCTAAAAGCAGAAATAAGGGGAGTTTTTTATTTAACAAAAACAAATTTCACTCTAATTTTTTTTTTTTTTATATTTAATATTTTTTTACTCTTCAAAGAATCCGAATATTTTTTATTTTTTTTTGATTTGGAATTTTTTTAAAAAAATGACCGAATAGTTAGAATACATACCATAATCACACACAATGGCTCACCAATTCATTTAGATAGAACACATGCTATATTTTGAAAAACACATAATGATTATATTTTTTTTTTAAATTTTGACTTCAACACGGCCGTGTATATTAAACACATAAGGAATATGGTATTAGAGAAAGAAAAATAAATCACAAATAATATTTGTTCACAAATGATACTCCCTTCGTCCCAAACACTCTGCAACATTTCATTTTTGGTATGTCCTAAACACCATGCAACATTTTCAAAATAGGAAATAATTAATTATATGTACCCCATACTTTATCATCTCACATCATCCAAATAAAATAATAAAATATATATTTATGTCTCCGTCACATCACCTAATTTCTAGATTATTCTACTTAAAAACCCGCCTAAAAACCCGTGCAAAAAACAAATGTTTGAGACGGAGGGAGTATAATATTTAATAGGGTCGGCACCGCCCAAGTAATTAAATTTAATGTACGGGTTAGGGTTTAAGTATATTTTACTAGTATTTTTTTTTTTTTGAAAATGTTTAATATTAATCGGTATTTAATAAATGTAAGCAATTTATCTATCTTCTTAGCTATAGGGGTAGGAAATATGTGGTGCTGAACATCCCTACTTCCCTACTAATAAAATTAGTTGCTGTTAGATATGTTTTTTAATTTTAAGTTGGTTCTAGAATTTTAAAAAATAATCAAAAAGATACATTTGATTTTTTATGAATATATATATATGTATATAATGTAATTTTTTTAAAATAAAAAATATAATTTCAACGTAATATTATAAATGAAAAAAAATGAAAGATTATTGAATACCATGTTCGTTTAAATAAAATTGTTAAGACATAATGCAAACATATCTTTGGAAACATGTGTTGGAGATTTAATTTATAAATTTCATTTTATTGTTTGGTTTGAATATAATGTTTTGTGAACAAAAAGAATATAGATTTTTTAATAAATTATATAGTAAAAAAACTGCAATGAAACTCCAGAGTATTTGTCTTTTATAAAATATTTTCTCCGTCCGTCCACGTTGCTGTTTCTGTCGGTCTCACATTCCATGTCACTTTTCTTTTTTTAAAAATAATTACATACTTTAATCTCATTTTATTATTTTTTGAATTTTAATTAAACTATTTAGTTATTTAAGGATAATTATTTTTACTAATATATTTTTAATTATCTACTAATTACACCCCTCCTGAAATACCGTATCTACGGTGCAGCAGATGCGGTATATGAGACGGAGGGAATAGTAAGCAAGCAAATTGAAATCACAATCTAAAGATTCAAGTTATTAATTTCCTACACACTATTTGTTTTGCTTCTAAGATTCAACTGAAGAAAATATGGATAAAAAGCATTGTATTGAACTATATATATTTACTTACAAGACAATCATATATATATATATATATCATCTCAAACTAATATAAAAACCCCTCTCTGCCTATCTATTATATATTTATTGCAATTTCATCTACCAAGGTTAATTTTATGCTTCTTGCAATTATTTTTTAAAAATAAAATTTAAATTTCTTACTTTGTGTTCTTCCTCATGCGCCAGACGACGTCGTTTAATCCCATCATGAAGTCCAAATTCCTTCGTAGACTCAAGTTGTTTGTCACCTCCAATGGTGAGTTCATTTTATTATGTAAAATTGATCCTAATCTTGCATTTTAGCTTAAACTAATTTTATTTAAGTTTTATCCTATTATTATTATTATTATTATACTTCGTTGGAGTTCTTTTTATGGATCGATATATTAACATTTAAGTACTACAATAGTATTTTATATAATTTTAAAATAAATTATATTGATCAATATATGTCTAACTCTTAATAGCCCAAGCTAATGACCCGAACCAAGAGTGTTTGGATCTTCGAGAAGAGTACGCCAAAGCATTTCGAACCGAATCCTACAACGATTTTTGGACAACAGTACTTGCCCTAAACAAAGGTAACCTTGTGACCCACCGAAGTGTCGGGTCGTCAACATCCGCCCGCCTCCCGTCCTATCGTCTCTTTGCCGAGCATCTCTTGGATCCGGATCAACCCACGGTCACCCGGATCCTTGCTTCGACCCAAACCAGGCCGGAGATCCTAATTCTCCTAAAAGACTACTTTTCAAATAGTTGTGAAGCTTCCCATGTATGTGGCCTACTTCTTAAGGATATTGATCATATAAGAAAAAGATCCATATTCCTAAAAGACCCATTTTCTAAAAACGGATCACCTCCGAAAGCATCAAACGGGTCAGCCCAAAGTCCGGCGGATTCACCCGAGACATTGTCTAGGGCAGCCCTATTTTGGAGGTCCAAGCCGTTTAGTCCATCGGCTCCATCCATGAGCCGCTTTCAAGCCATGCAGAGCAGCTCATCAAGCTTGCTCGGGCGGCTCGAGGCCCGTCGGGACAAGATCGAGGCTAAAATTAGCCGGCTGAAGAAGCTCAAGTGCGGCTCGGCTGTAGTCATAGCGGCTCTGACGGCTTCTCTGGTTGTTATGGTTGCGGCTCATGCTTTTGTGGCCCTGGTGGCTGCCCCAGGGGTGGCTGCGGCTTCGATCGGGACGTTTGACGTCGGGAAGCTGAGCCGGTGGTCGGTCCAGCTGGATGCGGCGGCTAAAGGGACTTACATATTGATAAGGGACTTGGACACTATAAGCCGGCTGGTGGCTCGAGTGAACAGCGAGATGGAGCACGTGGAGGCTTTGATGAAGGTGTGGATGAAGAGAGATGATCGGCTCCAAGCCGGCGGAGAAGTTGCGAGCCGGCTCAGGAAAATTGATGAAAGGTTTATTGAACAGGTGGATGAATTGGAAGAGCATTTATATTTGTGTATAATGACCATTAATAGAGCTAGAAATATTGTGCTTAAACAAATATTGAATTCATCGAATGAATTAGCCATATAATTTTATTTGTATGTGTTATGTCTATATATATTGTGTAGGACACACAATTATGTTCTAAAATGAGATGAAATTTGAAAATTGTAGAAATCCTTGGCCAAACATGGCATAAGCCTGAGAAACCTTAATTGGAAGAGGAAAAAGAAGAAGAAGAAGAAGAAGAGAGATATTAGAGGATACCATAAAATGGAGTCAAAATTGGGAGAATCATATCAAACCAATTACTGCATGCACAAGATCAAGATGCTACATATAATGTAAAAGAATTACCTCAAATTTAAAAAGCAGAAACTCACAATGCTACAAGATTCTTTATTCTTTCAGATTTCGGCTTCAAGCTTTGGGGCTGTGGTATCCGTTTGGGGGACTGAACCAGCTTCTTGAAGGGACTTCTTGTTGGGATTCTCGGAGGGAGGAGAGACCGAAGATGAAGAAGCTTCTTCGTCGGCCATGTCTGAAGCTTGGGGACCATCTGGAAATAAGTGGGAGCAAATGATGAACACACAAGTGGAGATGACGATGGAAAGAGACAATTTGGTTGCAGGCGAGGATACTGACCTTCGGAAGTTGTTCGCAAATCAGCTTCGCTTTGAGCTTTTTCGATCTCCTCCTGCTGTTTCTCCTCTTCCTGCTCTTTCTGCAGTTGGTCGAGGGCTCCTCTGAGCCAATCTGCCCTCTCCTGTGCTACGGGATCTACAGTTTCTGATGAAGAGACCATTTTTCAATTTCAGAAGACTTGCAAATTGAATTTCACTATACAGATGATGTTGGTTTGATGCAAGCAACTGTTGTTTGCATTTTTAGTTTTTACATGGCAAATATATCTTGGCTATTAACTTACTTTAATGGGATTTCAAATTTTAGTAAAATCTGCATCAAAGCATTTCAAGGTCTTCTAGATTGATCCATGCTATAACCTCTAATCTATTTAAATAAGATTCTGCACTTTCTTGAAGTAAACTAGAGAACACGAGGAATCTAGAGCTGACCATTTGGAGCATAAAGAATGTTGACAATGGATCACAGAATAATTAAGAACATGAAAATATCATTCATTCGCTGAAAAATAAACAGACATATTTTATTGCAAAATGCATAGACACTCACCAGGCTTTGCATTCGCCTCTGAACCATCTGATGCAGCTTGAGTAGTGTTGGAGCCATTATTACTGGGCAGTGGATCGTCCAGACCAATTTCTCGCTCGAGGGTGCTTTTGAACTCTCTGGAGACTTCCTACAACACAACATTTGTTGCACCCTGACATTAGATGTTTCCATGGAAGTGGGAGAACCATTTTGGCACTCAAGTGTGTCGAAAAAGCCTTACAATGAAAATACGAGACCGACCTGAAGTTCCTTTATTGTAGGTTGGAATGCACGAATGGTTTTGCCCATGTTACGAGCAACCTGCCACGGGAATTTACATGTAATGGATTGAGAATTCAATTTAATTCTAGGTTAGACTGAATCAAGATGGTATTGGATTTCCGCATACTCGCAACAATCAATAAGCTATATTAGGCACAAAGTGTCAATAAGATTGCCAGAAATATCAAACCATAAATAGATATGGCTCCATGATTCTCCATAATACAGAGCTCGCAAAAAAAACTGAAAAGGTACAAAACATGGAGAAGTGAACTAACCTCTGCAAGACCTTTAGGTCCAAACACTAACAAAGCAACCACACCAATGACTAAAACCTCAGGTGCCCCAACACCAAACAAAGATGCATATATTCCTCTACTTTTCCTTTTTCCTTTCCTTTCTGTAAACAGACCAAAACCTCAATTCGCACACCGTCTATTACAGAAGATTAACAAATTCAGCAACTGTTCAAGCTAATCAATAAAGGAATTACCCAGCTTCACTGAAAATCGCGAAATTGAGATGCCAGACGACTTCAGCCCGCTCCACTGAGCAAAAGGAATGAGCCCTAGCTGGGGAGCGCATCCAATTTTTCCAAAAATAGCATTCCTAGGTATTACAACTGCGGAGCTCGAGAAAGAACAGGGCGAAGAGATTCTCCTACCGGCGGATGACGAAGAACAAGAAGAATGCAGCAGCGACGATGCCGGCGTGGATGCTGCAGCCATTGAGCAGCTCGTGTGAGAGTTAAACCACCGCGCTCGAGTTGAAGGTTTGATGCGACATGAAAATGGCGAGGGTTACATTTAGACTCAATTCAACGTGAAGAGACAAGAAGCGTCTTTTTTTGACGCGGAATGTCACGGACCGGTCCGGTTCAGCGTCTGTGGTCATCTCGTGGGTCGGGTCAGACCGGATAGTGTTAAATGGCCCAATCCACATGTTGGGCTTGAGGAGTGGCTTGGCCCAATTTGGTGAAGTGGACAGTAATTGTTACTATTAGTTTTGGGTTGGGCAGGTTATTTGGATTGTGTTTCCGATTAAAATTTAACTATTTTTCTGTAAAATATTTTTATCAAATAGTATGATTTTAATATTAAATTTTATAAGAAACGCCATCCTTAAAAATTATTATAAAATAATATATATTGATTATTTTTATTAATTTACGTTGTATAGAATATATATTAGGTTTAGGGTTTGAAATGATTTGAGAATTAAATCATATTTTATATTTGATATTTTTAATATTGAAATATATATTTATATTATAATAATAAATATATGATAATAGGAATACAAAATTCAAGCAAAATATCGTATAGCTTTAAGTATTCAATTTTGTCATGACAAATATGTGAATCTTCTATGTAATTTTCAATTTATTAAAATGGCACATTTTGAGCGAGTCATGTCCGGACACAATCAGCCATGACATAAAAGAGTATCCTTACTATGATATTAGAAGCTCCAGGACCCTGTGCTTCCCGTAGGTGGCCGTACATTTTTCAAAGCAATACTCTCATTCCGGTGTTCAAATCCCGGGAGCTTCTAGATAATTAAGCATAAAAGTGCTAGTAAAATATAGTTATGCCCTATCACATACATTTGTACAGTATTTATTTATTTTTTTGTCTGTCATTAATTTTTTTTTTTTAAGTAAAAAATAATTAAAAGTACAATCAATATTAGAATCAGTATTAAAAAATTTAAACATATTTTTTTGAGTAACAGAGTAATAAATAAAATTTAAGGGAAATATTATTAGTATTAATTTTGAACAAATTGGTGACGTAGAAAATAAATATCTTATAAATTTTTATATTATAATGCAATTCAATCTGATGTTTAATTACGATGCGACCTTTGTACATTACAATATTTGTTGACATTATTTGAAAATATAATAATATATATTTAAGATATCAAAGTATTATTTTCGTGTCTTGAAAAAAAATATTAAATAAATAAACCATAAATCAACACAAATAAATTGGTATATATAACATTTAATGAATTATTAAATAGCTAGTTAATGGAGTATAAATAAATAAATTGGTATATATATATATATATATTTACATATAAATCGGCTTCCCTGTGTAGCGATCTCCGTTCGCCTCTGCACCGAATTCATTTACTGCGTTAGCTTTTTCGTCTCCTTCAATCGAAGCGATCTGGTCGGAGATTCTGGATTGGAAGCAGGAGCAGCCTTCTGTGTTCTTCCCGGCGTGGTTTTTGGTGGGGGCTCGGCAGCTTTGGATTTGCGGCGAAACAACGCTATAATTTGTAGATTCTGCGGATTGAGCCAGCTGTTTTGCCTATGAGAAGTGAGAACAGTTCCGAACTTGAGGTAATATCTGCTTCTGTTTATTGCAGTTACAGCTGTGATAATTTCAAGTGTGCGTAGATCTGCTGCGAGAGGTTTTGCAGTTGAGTGATAGAAATGACGATTTGTTGAATATTATTGATTATTTAGGGGTTTATTGATTTGGTTTCATTGATTTTTCCAGTAGGATGTGCGATTTAGAGGATTGTATATATACATATGTATATATATTTTGTTTAAGTCAATACATTTTTGTTAGTCGTGGTGAGCTGAATCCTTCTGTAGTTTCTCATGATTTGATGCATCAATTTCTTAGTGATTAGATTGGAATGGAAAAGGGAAATATACTATTTTGATTGGTGAAATTCGTTATATTGACTGTAGGGGAAAAGAAAAGGAAGAAGAAAGAAGAAGGGATCTCCTGAAATAGGGTTTTAGATTTTTTATTTGGTTGGTCTTTCTTCTAGTGGTTTTAAAGGCTTGTAATGTAATCTGAGAAATCCCCTGTATTGAGTCACATTTAACTGCTCTGTTCCTTTTTGTCTATTTTTAATTGTGTAGCATGTAGATCTCAAAGCTATGCTCATCAAAGTTTCAAAAGGGTAGACGCAATTTCGATCAATGTTTGCTTTTATAAATCTTTATATAGAAGTCCTTAAATCTAAGAGTTGAGCTAGCTTCGGTTGACTATGACAATAGGTTTATTAAATGGATCATTTGAAGAAATTTTCCTGCTTTGGAAACTAATCTTTGTATATGAATTATTCGACACACATCGCTTTCATATTGTGGAACCTTCTATTACAGAAAATATGCCTTCATGGTGGGGTAGGTCATCATCAAAGGAATCAAAAAAGAAACCAATTGGAGAGAGTTTTATTGACACATTGCATAAGAAGTTTAAAAGTCCTGAGAGTAAATCCTCCAGTAGATCAGGAGGATCTAGAAGGCGTGCAAGTGAAACAGTTTCTGAGAGAGTATCTCAGTCGCGAGCCGAGTCAAGGTCTGCTTCTCCTCTGAAACATGTAGCACGATGCCAAAGTTTTTCTGACAGGCCCCAATCCCAACCGCTTCCACTTCCTGGCATGAGCAGTGGAAATGTTAGCCGTACAGATTCTGGAATCGGTGAATCAGCAAAACCAAAAAGGGAAAGGACCTCTAAAACATCGTTGTTTCGGCCGTGTGCAGGACCTGCATGCATCCGACACAGGCTGGACCATTCTGAATTGGATGCTGAATTCGGTGTAACCTCATTCTCTAGTGAATGTTCGGTTGAGAGTGATGATCTTGGTGATTCACATCAGCGCACCCCTCCAGCAACCGACTATGATATTGGAATTAGAACTGCTTCAGGTAGCCCCTCAAGGTGAGTTTTTTATCATACAAAGATCTTACAACATTTAGCTAGATTTAGATCCTTTGGATTGCAGAATTTGTTCTTTAATTGTTAATGTCTCTTCTCTTGCAATTTTTTTCCCTGAAGCAATTTTATTGAGGATCATTCTCCCCTTGCACCTGTGATCTCAAAGGAGTCACCAGTTCTGGTGAATCTATACACCACCAATAAAAATGTCACCACTTCCCCTTCTAGAAGACGACCATTGAATGCTAAGGTGGCAAAGTTACAGGTCCCTCGCCATGGTGCCTTCTGCAGTGCTCCAGATAGCTCAATGTCCAGTCCCTCTAGAAGTCCGATGAGACCATCTGGTTATGAACAGGTTATGCGTTCTGCATTTGCAGCAGGAAAGGTTTATGCTGATCTTCCCGTTGTTGGATCTGCTCAATGCTCTAGTCCAGGCTCTGCTCAAACTTCAGGCCATAATTCAATGGTAGGTGATATATCAGGGCAAACATTTCGGCAGCCCAGTAGAGGGAGCCCCGAATATTCACCAAATCCTAGTCCTAGGTTGACAAGCCCTGCCCCTGGTTCCAGAACTCAGAGTGGTGCTGTAACCCCTGTTCATCCTAGAGTTGGAGGGAGCCATTCTGAATCTCCGAGTAACTGGCATGACGATGCTAAACAAAGTCACCCACTGCCTCTTCCGCCTCTACCTGCTTCCAATTCATTTTTCTCGCATCCTAGTTCTGCTGGGGCATCACCCTCTGTACCTCGTAGTCCTGGGAGAGCGGATAATATGGCAGGCCCTGTTTCTCGGTGGAAGAAAGGGAAGTTGATCGGTCGTGGCACATTTGGACATGTTTATGTTGGCTTTAATAGGTACAGACTCAGACCAGCTTTGATTACATACGTATCACTATTTGTCTCTGGCATTATGTTTCCTTTATTGATCATTCTAATCCTATTGAAACTGTTTACATATGGGTGTTCCTTCTTTGTATTCAGTGAAACAGGTGAAATGTGCGCCATGAAGGAGGTTACATTGTTTGCTGATGATGCAAAGTCAAGGGAAAGTGCAAAACAGTTGGGACAAGTGAGTTGTTTTCATAGATAGTGAGGAAGATGATCATATTCTAGCAATAACTGGCTTGTGGAATAAACACAAAATCAACAATCATTTATTTCGATGCAGGAAATTGCAGTGTTGAGTCGCTTAAAGCATCCAAATATTGTGCAATACTATGGATCTGAAACGGTGAGAGACATCTTACAATATATTGTCAGTGATGTTCTAACGATCCATTCGGCTGACAATCTATGCATTGATTTTCTGGGAACAGCTTCACATGATATTTTTATTCTAGCAGTGTACCACACTCTCATGCTATTGTTATAGGATGTTGTTTCGAATAGTACAGTTTCTTACAATCCACTGATTCATGGGGTTGTGCTTCTTAAGCTTGTATTGATTCTGATTTTCATTATTGACCAGGTGAGTGACAAGCTGTATATATACTTGGAGTACGTTTCCGGTGGTTCCATCCATAAGATTCTACAGGAGTACGGAAAGCTAGGAGAGTCAGCCATTAGGAGCTACACTAAGCAAATTTTGTCTGGGCTTGTGTATTTACATGCGAAAAATACCGTTCACAGGTAAATGCAATACTTCTTCCTGGATCAACGTGGCTTTTTAAGTTAGTGAAATATTTTCTCATCGAGATGCACTTGAAATGCATGCCAGGGATATCAAAGGGGCCAATATTCTTGTAGACCCAAATGGCCGTGTGAAGTTGGCTGACTTTGGCATGGCGAAGCATGTACGACTTTGTTCTATACGTGTCATTGAAATCTACTCTGCAAAATGATGATTGCTAGTTTGTTAATTTAGGTTCCTTAATAAAAATGATCTACGTAGGATAGTTTGCAATCTATGTAGTCGTACTGACATGAAGGGTATACAGATTGCAGGGCAATCGTGTCCATTATCATTTAAGGGTAGCCCTTATTGGATGGCACCTGAGGTCAGTTGTTTTCTATTCTTAACATCCAATTGCTTTGATCCTTTATTTCCCACTGCAAAATGAGATATCTTTTCGTATGTGTTTATATAGGTCATAAAGAATTCGAATGGGTGTAGCTTAGCTGTTGATATATGGAGTCTTGGCTGCACTGTCTTGGAAATGGCTACTTCGAAACCTCCTTGGAGCCAGTATGAGGGGGTATCTAATTTTTCCCCGAGATTTCAGAAATTAATTTGCTTTTTCATGTATGTTTCATAGTTCGTCTGTGTGTACATAATCTGATGGTTTTGTATTTGGGCATAAAGGTTGCTGCTATGTTCAAAATTGGAAATAGTAAAGAACTCCCGACCATACCTGATCATCTCTCGGATGAAGGGAAAGAATTCGTCAGGCTTTGCCTGCAACGCAATTCTGTACATCGTCCTACAGCTGCTCAATTATTGGAGCACCCATTTGTGAAAAATGCCCTTCCTCCTGAAAAGCAAATACTGAGCCCGTCATCTTCAGATCATCCTAAGGTACTGTTGTTTAGTCAGTAACTCAAATATGAGATGACCTTAGTGATGCATTCTGCTGCTTGTTTAACATATTAATGGTATTTTCCGACTCTTAATCAATTATCCAATAATTCTGACTCAAATGCATCAATTATTTCTCGTTTCTTTGGTATTCTTTGGGTAAAACTAACCTTATGATTGCACTTCATTGCTGATCATAGGGTCCTGGTCATTTAAGAAGTCTTCAGCCCTTGGACACCGAGAAACTCGCCATCCACTCGTCCAGAGTATCGAATACAAATTTTAATCCTAGGTCTGTCTCTCCCCTGTGTGTATGAATCTGTCGAAATGATTTTCCTTTTCCTAACTTTCACGATTGGCATTTACAGTGAGATTTACATGCCGAGGAATATATCATGCCCGGTGTCTCCAATCGGGAGCCCTCTTCTACAACCACGGTCGCCACAAAACCCGAGCGGGAGGATGTCCCCGTCGCCCATTTCCAGCCCCCACGCCACATCCGGCGCATCCACACCGCTGACCGGGTGTATTGGCGCCATCCCGTTGCACAATCAATACATTTTATTATCGCAGGAGCACTACGGTGGCCCTCAGCCGAAGCGCCCACCCCCCTGCCCTCAAGCCAACAGCAGCACGAATTATTGGGACCCCGACATTCTCGGAAAGCACTTGGGGAGGACTTTTAATGGAGACCTGTACGAGCCAACGCAGTCGTTCTTGGCTGACCGTGTGTCCCTCCGGGTGGCTGGAAAATTCGAGCCGAGCCCTGTGCCTCCTCCGCTGGCCTGCCACCGCATGACTTGAGTAAGTGTAAGAAAGATTGATTGATTTTAATGTTGTTTTGCAGTGGTGGCTAGCTTGGGGTCGAATTACCCGACCCGACCCGACCGGAATGTTAGAATGATGGATTTACTGTGGTAATTATACATCGATGATTCGATGGTCATTCTCATTGGGAAGTTGAGATTTTAGGAGCTGATCCTTTGGCTGTCTTTTTGTGGTTTTGAAACATCTATACTTGTAAGAAAAAACAAGAACATAGACAGGAATCTGGATGGAGATATATATATATATATATATATATATAGGGAAGCAGTGTAGAACTATTTATTTCATTGACAGATAAATTTGCAATTGCTGCTGTACATATATCCTTCAGTTCCCATCGATTTTCTGTGTTGAAATTTGTGGGAAAAATGGATGCCATATCATATCATAATTACTTGAATTTTCTCCCAAATATTTCACATATTTATGGTAGCTCAAATTTTATTGGCGGAGGAAGAACCATCATTTCTTGTAGTCTAATGAAATATTGTTCCATTCAATTTGTAACATTTGTTGTTTTGTTTACCCAATCAACACTTTTTTTTTTCTTTTATTTACTCACAAAAGTAACTTTCAATAAATAAAAGAAAAGTGATAAATTATTTTTTAATTTCATATCTGATTACATTATCTTTTTTAGGATTATAAATAAATTCAGTAGTAGCTTTATATTGTCACATATAGATATAATTAGTTGTGTTTGCAATTTAATAATTTATGAAATACATACTTAAATAAACTACATCATTATATAGTATTGGTTGTTACGTTTGAATGAGTAATTTTCATTATGTATAAAAATTATAATATAAATTAAAATTGAATAAAAAATGCTATCACTTTACGGTCATGAGTCAAATCCTGATACAATCGTGTCATTCCATTGTTTTATTTATGAACTTATATAGATATGCTTACTTGGTGATTATTTATTTTTATTATTAGATTTAATAGTATATTGAATATCATTTGATATTTATAAGAATAGTATATTTTTATAAAAAAAATTCTAATAAAAATATAATAATTTTTTTTAAAAAAAATTTAATAAAATAATAAGGGCCATTAACATTTTATTATAAAGAGTGATTTATAGGCGACCCAATTTACACATAGCGCCTTAAGAACATACATAATAACATATTATTGATAATTTGAATCAAAATGTAATTACCTACAAGGTTAATTTCGATTATATTGATACTACGTAACGGCTCATTAATAGATAGCTAACTATATTCTGAGATTAATAGCACGAAAAAACTATACAAATAATTGGAAAATTTGTCTTTTACTGCAATATAATTCTGATTTACGAAAACACTCTTCATTAATATCTATTCCTTCTTGATGGGTACTCTAGCCACGGAAATTGATGATAAATATAATTAATAAATAATAAAAAAATATATTAATAAAAATAATTATTCTATAATATAATTTATTAGTTTAAAATAAAAGTAAAATGTATAATTATTTTTCAAAAAATAAAAGTAACAATATGCATGATGAACAAAAACTAAAATGTAAACACTGATTAGTACTAAATACTAATATTATATTTAAACAACTATTTATATTACACTGTACAGTTATTCAAATTTATAAAAATTATTATTATTCAAATCTCAAATAAAAACCAAACTCCCAATCAAACACAAAAAAAAAAAAAAAAAAAAAAAAAAAAATCCCACGTTCGCCCCCACCCACCTCCTCTCTATATATACATACATAGAGAAAGTTAACAATGTTAGATTTGCAGGGACACAAAAAAAGATCATTTAATCTGATCAAAGATGAAAGATGCATGGTGCAGTCTGGTAATTCTATTAACATGGCTATGGCTACACAGTCTGATCATCATCACCTCTGGTGGCGTATCTGCATCACTATCACTATCAACACCGCCGGAGCAGCCGCCACTGGCAGCGGCAGCGGAAACACTGAGCATGGGGAACATAACAATACCTTGCTGCGCCATTAACTGTATCACTGTGTTCCTCGAACATTGCCTCACCGGCAGCACCTCCGCTCAAAAGCTCAATCAGTGCTTGGACACTAGTTGCGAATGAATATTGATCGATGCCCTGCGTAAAGATAATATAATCATTCAAAATAAATGCACAGCGCCTCCCCCTTGCACGGGCTCGGTCTCCATTAATTACTTGTGTATATACACATCTACTAAATAACACTAGGCGTGTCGTTTTATTATTGATGTTATAAATACGATCTGTAGATTTTTATTTACTTTTTTTTAATTATATGAGAATCTGCGATCATTACTCTATCAATATATATATTTTTACCTAAGCTGCAGGCTGGTTTAGCAGGCTGAGAGTGAAACTCCATAATTTGTTGGCCAATTCTTGATCTTTGGCTTGGGTGCTTGCCTCGGCCAAGTTGCAGTCTGCATAATATTTGCCAGTCATCTTTTTAATGTCCGGGTGCAATGCCACGTAGCACGTTGTTGCAGCTCCCTGCAACGCAACACGTTCAACAAGGATCGAATTTCAGCCACAAACTTACATTCAATTTATAGAAAAGCAAGTTACGTAAATATAATATAATATAATATAATACAAATACAATACATGCAATTGTCCATACATAATATATTATCATCGATCTAAGCAAAGATATATATATATATATGTATTTATACAGAACATCCTATAAATATAAATTGTCAGCATATGATTTCGATTTACATGTTTGCCCATTTTTTTATGTTTTGACTGGGCAAATCAACTATATACATATACGGATATATAATTTTTTCTTATACATGTTCTTTGTGAAGATGATTATACATAGAAATTACCTGGTGAACATTTTTCATTACATGCTTCCCAAGTGCAGCAATAAAGCCTGAAACAAGAATGAAAGGAAGAGAGAACAGTCGACAGAGCAATAGAGGGTGCAAATAGAATCAGTCACCAATGCAATATCCTACACTAATCTCACACTTCGACAATCTGGTAAATATTTGCAAAGCAAGGTGCAATGCACTATGCAACGCAAATTAATAGGCAAGGTATTGATCCATATATGCATAAGCATGAGTGCCAAAGGGGATAAGAGATTACCATTTACGAAACTGTGATGATGGAAAAGATTGGTTGCAATTAGACCTGGATGTACTGAATTAGCTGTTATCTCCACCTTGTCCCCCTATCAATAGCACAGAAGTGAAAATTATACATAGCTCAACCGATTGTGATTTACAAAGGCAGTTGGTTGCTGTAATGTAATAGAATTTATCGAGATCTAAGACAACTTTAGGTTGTTGCACTTTATTCTGTAGAGAACTAAAGTAGGCGAGAAGCCATTAGTAGATCAGAGACCATTAAAGGAGACGAATATCAATCATTTGACAAGCGAAGTACCTTCAAATCCCTAGCAAGTTTATTGGCATGCAGCACATTAGCAAGCTTCGATTGACCGTATGCTGAAATGCTATTGTAACTGTATTACCATTAAAGAAACAGAATTAATAACTATTTTTATGAAAATTCAAGTGCAACAGTCACTCAATTTAAAAAGATATTTATATTACGCTGTTCGATCATTAATCTTATCAAAGCGAATCCCTTCAGGATAAGAAAATTTGTGGCGCCGGGATGAGACATTCACGATCCTTCCCTCTCGGCTACTTTCACGAGCAGTTTTCTTCATTGTTTCCAGCATCAAGTTCGTCAAGAGAAAATGGCCTGTAGGAAGAAACACACTTCAGCACGCCTACGTAATGCACGTGAATGAAATGGTAAATGGATGCTAAATGTATGGATATTTTCAACTTAATTTACAGATTCTGCCACATGATTAATCACCATACCTACATGATTTGTTGCAAACTGAAGCTCTATGTTGTCCTTTGACAGCGTGAAGGGCGTCGCCATAACTCCAGCATTGTTTCTGAGGGAAAGTCATGCAAGCTGGGCACGAGTTAGAGTTCGAACATAGATTATATTACCCAATTTTCGAAAACAAAAGCTTAGAGGTTCCCAACAATATGGCAATTCCCTTTCACAATTTAATGCTCAATTGCTCATCTATCAGTGCTCAATGTTGCTGTATAAAAGCATAAGACTCATAATCAGCTATGAAGAATGAAGCACATTACTCAACTAGCATTATAGATTGTGGACAGTCAGTTGTATGATGGAAGAAATTGTAAATTCGAAAATCCAACAAAAATAAATCAGTTTCCAATTAACAAGGAAAATTGCACTTACACAAGTATATTCAGAGGAAGCTCCAAAGAATTGAAATTTTCTGCAAAGTTCCTGACGGATGCCATGGAACTGAGATCCATCTCCATAGCTTCGACCTTGGCGTTCGGAACTTGTTTGGTGATTATTTCTTTCGTCTCCAAACCAGTAGCAAGGTTTCTGACCGCCATTATGACATGGACTCCTCGCAATGCAAGCACCCTAGCCGTTTCTGCTCCAATTCCACTCGAAGCGCCTGCGATGACAGCAAAAGCAACGGCATTCAATCGCTTTCAAGCTCTAAAATTCTTCATTTACACTCTTCATTTTTTCGAATAGCCATACTCGGAATCTAAATGATAATTCAATTAGGGTTTCCAAATGAAAGCTCCGGCGAAAAATTTGAACAATATAATTAACAGAAATGAGCAAAATCGACCTCTAAAAATCACACATGAGAACAATAAAGAAAAAAAAGAAGACAGGGGAGCAACAATTGAGAACCTGTAACGATGGCGGTGAGACCGGTCCCGTCGAGACCTTCCGTCACTTGCTCCGCCGTTGAGGCGGCCGAAAAGCCGGAATCCCCTTTTCTGCTAAACAACCACATCCCTAAGCGACGGAAACAGTGAACTGTTTGTTTGGCTTTGGTTTTTCACACAACGGTATTACTTTAGCACCATTTAGTTTTTGCAGATAATTTTTTAAAGATTAGTATTATATTAGTTATGTTAAGTAAATATTACAATTTTGGACATAAAAATATCAGAGTTTGAACTCATGATCTCATATTCACAAGTTCACTTTCCACGGCCACAGCCATTTTATCAATCCTTAAATAAAATTAAAGTATATAATTTTTTTCAAATAACAAAATAAGTAAAACAAATTAAAAAATAAAAAATAAAAAATAAAAAATGAACATCAAACATGAAACCGAGTATTGAATATAGTACTATTTTTAGTATAAATTGACAATGTATTTCATAAAACATATTTTTAGAAAATATTTAAGATGAAAGATATATAAAATGCAGACTAGCAAAGTGACGAACAATTAGAGCCTTGAATTAGTCAAACAAAGAGCTGCTAGATGCACGTGATCAACTTGTCATGAGGATATATACATTTGCAAATTAATCTTCTAAATATTTTATATAATATTTTTTTAAATAAATGTGAAATATATATATATATATATTTATATGAGTATGGCAAGTTGATCATGTGCCATGCATTGATCAAAATTTTCTAGTTTGACTAATTAAGTTAGTATCAATAATTAAATCAAAATTATTATTTTAAACACAATTAACGTTACACACGTAGATCCATCCATCAATATATATACACACACACGTAAAGAGGAACTCATTTCTAGTAGTCAGATCAATCTGACAATGGCATTCTTGACTCGGACAATGATGTTGATGATTGTAGCAATAACGATGATTCTAACATTCGCTCACGGTGGTAATGGGGCAACCGTCATCAAGGGCTCGTGTTGTGACAATTGCATGATCACATCCATTACCTGCCGGCGTGGTTGTGCCAATAGTACTCTTCCACTCGATCAATGCGTCAAAGGTTGTTCTTCTAGCTCGTGTCTTCGCCATTGTGGCATATGCCCGTGATGCCTCAACTCAATACTTGGCCTTTATGCATCGCCCGTGTTTTCTCCATCCCGTTTTACATATATATTGTGTTTGTGTGTAATAAGATTTTGTTGCCGTACATGTTGCAACAATGTAATGATGCTATGCAAGAAATATTGGGAGTTAGGTCGTAATAATATGTCATCTTGTGTTTATTTCATTTTGTTATCGATGTGAATGATATGAATGTTAGTCGAAGAGTGTTTCAACATCAAACTTTTATAGTTCCATTAATGTTACGATTAGCTAGGATTATACATATGTGTGGTGGTTGTTAATGTACGGAATTATAAAATTCAATACAATGTTGACGATATATAATAAATGGACCGATAGAAAACAATATAAAAACGAACAATCCATCATTTATGTGACAATATATGAATTGACAACATATGACATAGTCTCAAGCAAAAAATATCGTCATTGAAAGATTACTATTCATATTACATTGGTTACGAAGTAAATTGAAAAAACTTTAAAATTAACTAGCAAAAACATTGATATTAAAATCTCAATTGATATTTATTTAAATATTACTATAGTCTTTGACTTGAAGATAGGCTATAACTTTAGTGATGTAGCATGTGAGTTCATATGTATTAAATAAACCCATATATATATTCTTGATTAAATTAGATGTAAGACATTGATTAAAGATATAAGGGCAAGATCATTTGAATAGTATACGGTCAACTCTTAAGGCTATGTTTGTTTGTGGGCTTTAATTTGAACTTTATTATCCCTTAATTATTACTCCCTCCGTCCACAAGAAAAATATACAATTACTTTTGGCGCGGTGTTTAAGAAATAATAGTATTTTAATTTTAGTGGGTAGTTAAAAATAGTATAATGACATTTTTGTCCTTGCTTTTTGGTGTAAAAGTAATGATGTGATGTAAAGTAGGGGTATTTGTGGAAAAAGTAAGGTATTTAATGAAATGTTTACTTTGTAATTGGACGTCCCAAAATAGAAACATGTATACTTTCTAGGTGAACGGAGGGAGTATTATTATTTTTCTAAAAAAAATTCAAAGCAAATATATTATTTTTTTATATAAAAAATTATATTCATCAAAAAAGAATGAGACCCTAAATAATCGGGTCATATATATATGTATATTATTATATCTATATAGGCATGGCAAGTTGATCACGTGCATTGCATGGGGATCCAACTTTTCTGATTTGACTAATTAAGTTAGTACATCTAGAATTAGGTTACTTAAATACAATTACTATTTATAACACATATAGATTCATCCATCCATCTCTCTCTCTCTCTATATATATATATACACAAAGATGAACTAATTTTTAGTAGGAGATCATTTAATTTTAATTTGTCGATGGCATTCCCGTCACGAACAATGTTGTTGATGATTGTAGTGACAACGATGATTCTAACATTTGCTCATGGCAATGACGGGGCAACCGTCATAAGTGGGACGTGCTGCAACAAATGTTGGTTGGCATCCGAAACTTGCGAGCTTGGTTGCTCGAATAATACTCTTACACATGATCAATGCGTCAAAGGTTGTTCTTCTAGCAGCCGCTCGTGTCTTCTCCGTTGTGGCATATGCCCATGATGCCCCAACTCGATACTTGGCATATATATTTGTTATATCGCCCGTGTTCTGGCCACATCAGATCTATTTATATATATATATATATATAATGTATGTGTGAGAGTTAATTTGTTGCGACAATGTAATGATCATGTTATGAAGAAGTATTGGGAGATAGGTTGTAATAAACCTAACTAAATAACTCTGTAATAATCTATGTTATATGTTAATTAGTCTTTATAAAAGCTATATAAGCTATATTTGTAGGATGTGTTTGTTTGAAGGTTTGGATTTTGGATGGAGATTTGAATAATAAAATATTTGAATTTGAATAGTTGTATGATGTGATATAAATAAGAATTGATGCAATATTTTGAATATAAAATTGATTTTTAATATAATATAAAAAATAAAAAATAAATATTTGATTTGATATTTTTGAAGAAATTTTTTTATAAAAACAGTAGAAATCCCACAAAATCCCTCAAACAAACACACGCCAGTGTATATGTATATATATATATAAAGTGTCTATTGGATAAATTACAAATCAAATTACATTAAATATATAAATTATTTAATAATTTATAATTGTACTTGTTAAGTTTAAATTTATAGAGGCAGCATCACATGTTCCATGTACTTCAGATCTGATCCATCTATATATCATCACCCATGCGAAGAGTGAAGAACGAAAAAACTTCGTTACAAAATTGATAATTTCTTGTAGTGATTACTGTAGACACGGAAATTTAAGTAAAGTATAATTAGTAAGTAATTAAGAATGTATTAGTAAAAATAATTATAGATTAAGATTAAAATAACTAAATAGTTTAATTAAGATTAAAAAAATTTTAAATTTTAAATTTTAAAATATGATTAAAGTGTATAATTAATTTTCCAAAAAAGAAAAGGACAAATTACGTGGGACGGACGAAAATAAAAAATAGAGACAAATCATGCGGGATGGAGGGAGTATTATTATTATTATTATTATAGAATTCAATAAATGGGTGCTTAAAATGAGTCAATTAATTTTTTATGTGATTGAAAAAAAAAAAATAAAATGATGTGATGATTGATTGAAAATTATTACCTCAATAACTAAATAAACATATCTTGTTAGTAACATGTGAACATGTTGGCTTGATTAATTTGCAATTAAATTTTTATTTTTATTTTTATTTTGTTATACATTATTTATCAACATGCGATAATTTTATTTATTTATTTATTGACAAAAGCAATGGGAATCTAATCAATACAATAATGGGTCGGATCGTCTCAATTATATCTTAAAAATTTTACAACTTGCATTATATTTTTTTGCGATTTGAAACTAAAATCTCAATATTATTTATTCTGGATGGTTTTTAATAATTTCACAAAACATTATATCAAAATACTATTTTAATAAAAATTTAAATCAATATTTTATTTTAAATTAATTTCAAACCACAATCAAATAAACTCAAGTTGCATAAAAATATTTCAAATACTTTCTCTGTCCCGCAACAAGGTTATCATGGTTTTTTTGCGTGTTGATATTTGAATATTAATTATTATATCAATACGTTTAATGACAAAAGGACAAAAATACGTTTATTAGTCTCTTATAATACAAATACAATGATATTTTTCGAGTAAATTATTCAAATATAAATATAAGAATATTTTTAATGTTAAGTACAATGACGCAAACACCAAATGACAACCTTCTTGCGGACGGAGGAAGTAAATCAATTTGACTTTCAATCGAATTGAATACATATTGTATGGATTTAAACTAATTAAATAATAATAGTCGTGAATACAACCTCTCACCTAAGTGTGTCTACTTGTATTATTTTTTATTATTCAATCGACGCCAAAATAATTTTTAATCAAATTTCAAGAACATAAAGAATCTTTCGAATATAACTAATAATGTTGTAGTCGTGCCCCCACCGTATAAAGAAAATATATAAATGTATAAAAACACACATTATATAAAGGGAATCGATGGAAAAAATACCGAGCCATCTATAGAAACAATTAATTTTTTATTTTTTATTTTTTGTCATCAACAATCCATCCATCATTTTGTCAATGGCTCGCGCAACATTGATGATTATTGCGGCAATAATTATTCTAGCATTTGGTCGTGGCAGTGAGGCGGCGATTGTGAGCGACTTATGCTGCAAAGGTTGTATTAATTTGGCGAAGAACAACTGTAAGAAGATTTGCTCGGCAATCAGTGTTTTAGGTGGCGAGTGCACAAAAGCTTGTCTCGCGGAGAAGGAGCAGATATGCTCTAAGGAGCGGATGCCAATGATGCTCTAACCTAATATTGAATCTATATGTGTCGCCGTGTAATAAAAGTACAATGCAATAATGTTAAGTAAGAAGTGTTTTTTTGTGTGTGTATATGGGTGTAAGAAGCATTTGTAATAAATAGATCACGAGG